TTTTTTTTCTGAAAGTTTTAGCAAGGATTTATTTTAGTATAACAAGACCCAAGTATAGAGGGAGGCTGGGGAGAGAAAAAGAGAGAGAAACACTTCCTGTTTGTCTGTGGTCTTACACTCTCCTAGGATGGGAGAAGCCACATCACCAGAAGTCTATCAACCCTAACCATTAGATAACGGTTCTGAGATGGGCGCTGTTTATTTTTGTTAAATATGGAGATGTTACCTACACCCACCCACAACACAGGGAGCGGAAGTGAGCTTTAGGACTTTCCTTTGCCAGACAAGCCTGTTCCTTTAATATTCAAGGATCCTTGCAGCTTGTTAACATCTTAAAGAAGAACACAGAAGCAGATAGCCCCTCTCTGTCTCCCTGTTCTTGTAACTTAGCATCTAAAAGGAGATGGGAGGGGGCAGCTGCTCTAGTTCTCCAGCCTTTCTTGTTCCAATGGCTGAGTCTGGCCCTTTAAATATTTATTTAAAATAATGTAATTTCTTTGTCTCCTCGTCAAGAGATGTCTTCCATCTCTCCTGCCTCATTTTCCCACCAAACGACTTTGGTCCCTTTAATCTTAAAAGGGATTCAGAGGGGTGATAATATAATCTTCTATAGCTACTGTAGGCTGAGTTTGGGCACTGGCCCTATCTAGAAAAGGTCCAAAAAGTCATTTCCCTATCTTAACCTTAGGTGGTGACAAGGGAAATTTACTTGGCAGGAAATTTAGCTGACTGGTTGTCAGGATCAGGACCAGGAGACATGAAAGAGAAATCAAAGAGAAATTAGTGAAAATCATCCTTCAAAAAATGCTTTTTATATAGATAAAACTAATAGATTTTTAGAGAAGAATCATAAAAACACTAAGGAAATGTAGAAAGTCTATAGATTTAGCATACTGAAAACACCTGCCATCCATAGAAAGCGTATCAATGACTTCTACAAAGATGGTAACCAGTATCCATCTGTTGTCTATTTTATATGGTAATGGTTGTCACATTTATCCTCTGTGGAAAATGTTTTTTTCTGTCAAGTGGATGCCATTAAGACGAATGTTATGCGCAGAGAAACTAAAGCAGATACCTTAAAAGCAACTGAGGCCAATAGGAAAAGGGGAACAGGTACTAGAGAAAAGGTTAGATCAAAAAGAATTAACCTAGAAGGTAACACCCACGCACAGGAAATCAATGTGAGTCAATGCCCTGTATAGCTATCCTTATCTCAACCAGCAAAAACCCTTGTCCCTTCCTGTTATTGCTTATACTCTCTCTACAACAAAATTAGAAATAAGGGCAAAATAGTTTCTGCTGGGTATGGGGGTGGGGAGAGGGAGGGGGCGGAGTGGGTGGTAAGGGAGGGGGTGGGGGCAGGGGGGAGAAATGAACCAAGCCTGTATGCACATATGAAAAATAAAAGAAAAAAAAAAGAGGAATGTTATGAAAAAAAAATCTTTTTGTTAGGGGGGTCCTGGATTGAGTAATTTATGTTAGACCCCAGGTCATACTTAATTACCTAAGGAGTGAGTCACTCAGTGATCCCCTGTAAAGGTAAGATTTATTATAGTGCCCACCACAGTTATACTATGTCCATAAGCAAAGGTTATATTGTAAGTTACAGTACTAGCCTCACAATTAAATATAAAGAAACTTTTATCTTTACTGAAAACAAATGATGCAGAGCATATATTTTAATTTAACTCTTATTGTTGTCATTTTAAGATAGGGTTCTCACTCTGTATCCCAGGCTGACTTCAAATTCACAATCCGCCTGCTTCAGCTCCCTGAGTGCTGGAATTTCAGGCATGAGCCAGCACAATATTTGAATCTTTTGAAAGGGTTAGGGATCTGATTCTGGTGCCTATAGTTCCTGATAGTCCTCACTCACAGGGCCTTATTTCCTTGTATACTTTGCAACTTCTAAAAATTAGTCTTGTTTCACAGAAAAGGAAACTGAGCCTGAGAGAGTATAGATGGTTTACCAAGGTCACAAGTTAACAAGAGGCAGAGTAAGAACTGTAGTTAGACTGTCAGCCTTTGAAGTCGATGGTACTTTTCTGTATCCTGTGAATCCTGAAGACTATTACCTGATGCATTCTTTTATGAGTCATCCCATAAGGGCTAACTTTGAGCTAAACCATTGTCCCTAGTGCTGAGATATAAAACCAAATAAGGCACATCTTCTTCTGGCATTGTCTGCCTGGTTGTATGGGGGCACAAACACATAAACAGGCAAGTGAGCTAGGTGAGCCAAGTGCTCTCACAAAGTAGAAGCAAAGTTTTATGGCAGCCTAGAGAAACCTTCTTTCTCTCCTTTCTTCCCCAAGCCCCCTGCCTCAGTACTGGGGATTGAACACAGTACTTGCATGCTAGGCAAGTTTTCTACTACTTTGAATCATGACCCCAATTTTTTCTTTGTACTTTGCTTTTAAGATAGGGTCTTCCTAACTTTGCCCAGGCTGGCCTTCAGCTCTTTTTCTTCTTCTTCTTTTTAAAATTATTACTATTATTATTATTGTTGTTGTTGTATTGGGGGTACATTTGTGAGTTTTACCAAAGTTCTTATAGTTGAATTCAAATCCTCCATCCTTCTCCTTTATCCACCCCCCCTTTCTTCATTTCTGGAATAATTTCAACAGATCTCATTTTTCCATTTTCATACATGAGTACATATTATTTCTACCATATTCACCCTCCCTGTACCCTTTCCCTATGTCCTCCCCTCTCCTACTGGTGTCAACCCCCAGACAGGACCAGTTTTACCTTCCTGTTCTCTGTTTTTGAAACAACATTTTTGTTTGTATAAGGTAACTATATACATGGGGTTTCATTGTGACATTTCCATGTATATATGTATTATAACCCAAATTGGTTTATCCCCTCTATTTTTCTCCTTTCTATCTTAGTCTCCTTCTTATGGTGATTTCAACAAGTTTAAGAATTCTATATTCATTCTTATATAGAAAGTACATCAACCATATTCACCCTCTTAACTTCCTTCTTTTACCCTCCCCCTCCTGTTAGTGACTTCCCCTTAGTGTGACCTGTTTTTCATACTATTGCTTGTATTTGTACTGTGGTCTTGAACCCTTAATCCTCCTGCTTCTGCCTCCTGAGTAGCTGGGATTACAGAGGTGAAATACCACGCTGGGCCTGAGAAAGTTTTCTCAAGCCATTGACTTCTGCCCAGAACACTTTGTCCTGCTTCACTGGCAGTTATCTATAGCAACACCACATGCTATAGGAATAGAGCTCCTTACTTGCAATTCCTTCTAAGTGAATTATGCCCTTGGAGCTGTACAGAGGTGAAATACCACACTGGGCCTGAGAAAGTTTTCTCAAGCCATTGACTTCTGCCCAGAACACTTTGTCCTGCTTCACTGGCAGTCATCTATAGCAACACCACATGCTATAGGAATAGAGCTCCTTACTTGCAATTCCTTCTAAGTGAATTATGCCCTTGGAGCTGTTCAAGGAGGCTGCATGTGAACAAGAGGAGAGCATTTTGGGCAGAAGAAACATACACAAAGGCACAGAATAATTTAAACCAACAGAAACGGCCTAAGAAGTCAAGTACTCTAATCCTGCAACATGTTACACAAATCTTTATTTTATAGGAAACATGTCTAATGTCTAATGTCTAATGGGTAAAATAAAGTCTTCCTCTCTGAACATTTCTACCTATTGTCAACTATATACAGGTACCATCAGAAAAAAAACCAAAAAAACCAAAACCATGATCTCAAAGAGAATGATGGAGAGGTGAATTCAACTATGATATATTGTAAGAACTTTTGTAATATCACAATGCACCCATAGAACAACAGTAACAAAAAGAAAAGAAAAAAACCCACAAACTTATTTTTAATTTGAGACCTTTCAAGGTAAGTATTTTGTACTTGTCACCTGGTTTCATGACAGAATACAAAAAGGTCAAAGGAGATCACTGGATAGCAGTGTGGCATATTAAGAAGATACTCGAGGGGTTAGGTTCTAGACTCAGGTTTGCATTATCTTCAACAAGTCATTAGGACAACCTTACCCTCTCTTTCTCCATCTGTAAAGTGAGGTCATTATGTTACATATTCCCTAAGGTCAGTTCCAGCAAAATGACTTTCTTGGCTCCAGTAATGCAGTCCACCTAGAAGAAGCTGTGTCTCCTCCAATGCCATGTATTAATTACATTAGAAAAGTCTCAAGGTGTGTGGACTTCCAAACTTGGGCTACTGCTCTTCCTCCAAGGCCGGCCAGGGGTCCCTTCCTCCACCTCCACAACGGGCAGAGGGAGGATCAGTGAGATGACAACCTGCCCTTCCCAAGTGGTTTCTCACGTTCATGTCACTAATGGGTCTCCAGAGTCCAGCCTTGGCTGTAGGTGTCACCAGGAGCAACTTCCTGTCTCGGTGTACTGGGATTCCTCCTGCACAGCAAAGGGGCTCTAAGGGCAGAGTCTTAGCTGGAAGTGGCAGTGATGGGAAACAAACCTTGATTTCCTACCATCTGTGGCAGCTTCAATTGTAGCTTAATCCGTCCTTTGGCTGGAGATGCCAGGCACCTACTCTCTCCTAGCTCTTTGCAAGGCTGTGCTGTGCCTAATTGTCTAACTTGTTGTGTTCTGTAAAGAATCCCTAAAGATTTTCCTTCTCTCCTGGTCACACCCCCTCCCTGTGTTAATGCATTTGTTTTGAACTCTTGGTTGCTCTGGCCTCTGGGAGAGGATTATGGAGTTTGAAAGGAGGAAGCTGTGAACTGATATTACACAACTTGAACCTCATCTGCCCAGCCAGTCACAACCAGCCAAGTGGAATTTTTTTTTCTGTATGGGGAGGAGGAAGAGTGAAGGAGGAGCCAACTGAGAAAACAGGAAAATAGCCCATGAGCTATGACTGAGGTGGGATCATTTGATGGAGGTATGCCTTTCTGAGCAGGCTGGGTGACCTAGGGGAATGGGCCCAGAGTGGCTTCATACCTGCTAAGAGCTCAGATGCTTTCTCCCCTGGATTTTGTAGATGAGGACATCCAAGGCTCTGTCCAAGGTAATAAGATGAGGCAGTACATCTTGGGATTCTGCTCTAGTTAGCTCTAAAGGGGGACCAGACCCATTACCCTTTAGTTCTCAGAGAGAAGGGGGTATGACATGTGCTTTCCCCATGGCCCTTAGGTAAATCATTTAGAGCATTTTACCTAAGGTAAAGAGAGCATGTGCTTGTTGGGATCGGGGCCTGGTCTGATGAGAATGCAGACTAAGGAAGGGGAAGGCAGAATGCCCTGGGCAGAGTACACTGAAGTGGGACATAGGATTGGAGTTTCCGCTCTTCTGTTTACCTCCTTCCATTACTCTGATGGGTTAGTGCAACTCTTAATGGCAATAGGCACCTGCCCGATTGGGTTTGCATGAACTTTCTTTCCTAAAGTGAACCATCTATTTTATCTAGCTTCACAGCACCTAAAATGTCTTCTTTGAGTAGAGATTTGCTTACTTGGAACAGTGCACTTTGCTTTCCAGGCATTATCTTTGAAAACACAGCTGCCTTTGAGAGAGGCATATGGGGCAAGATAGACTCTTGTGTGTGAATTAGGAGGCTTTCCTTCCAAAAGAAAGTGACAGGGGGCAGAGAGTGCTGGTCACTGGTGGGAGAGAAGCCACCAGGAGTGAGAATGAGGCAATAGTGAAGAAACAATGGATCAATTATCCACCTGGAGAGGGCTGAGGTCAAGGCTCAACTGCCCCCCAGCCCCCAGGGTGGCTTATAGTTGTGTCAAATCTTTCAGGACATGTGCTTGGGAATCCTGCTCCTCCTTCCCTCCCTTTTTTCTTTTCTTCTCCCCTCCTTCCTTTTGTGAATATTCAAGTGCCTAGCACATGAAGCTTTGAGATCCTAAGATGAGACTTTTTTTTTTAATTAAAGAGTCTGGTGGCCCAGCAGAAGACAGAAGTTAAACAGCAGGATCAAAGTTCTAAGATGTATAACAGCATGGTGTTTGAAAACCTCAGGCTTTCTCAAGAGCTGGAGCTATCAAGGCAGGGCTGTGATGAACAGGAAGAGAACTGAAAAGGACCCTGTGAGCTTCACCTGGGGCTATCTCATTTCTGGGGCCCCTCCAGAGGCTATGTCCAGCCACTGGTCTTGGACAGCACCAAAGCACTGTCTTTGCTATGTGCCTCAGAAAATGAAATCCTTTTCACATAGGAGATTCTAAATTTCATGCAGAGCTCAAGATTATTAAAGAGATTCTCGTTGTATTGGTTTAGAAGTCATTGAGGAGTCAAAGGATAATGTCATGAACACTCACTGTGTTGCCACTGTGAGTGTGAGAATTCATACCTTCTTCCTCCTGCCCCCTAGGGAAGCCTTGTGTTGCCCCTTGAGGAAGTTGCTGGAAACAAACAGTTGGCAAGCTCATAGTCAGTGTGATGTACCACTATCTGAAAATGGGGGATGGGTGTGGAGAGACAGAGAAGCCATCAGTCCTGCTGAGTGGCTTGTCAAACCTGGGGCAGTTAGACGCCAGGCAGCAAGCTGTGTCATGTCTTTACCCTAGGTTGCTGCACATATACAATATTCTGTATGCACCATGATGTGACAAAGGTCAGAAAGCTCTCTATTTAATGGTTCCCAGCCTTGGTTCTACGAGAGCAAGGGTGAAGGCTTGTGTTAGTCACCTTCTGGTTACTGCGTCAAAGTATCTGAGACTCACAGTTTAAGGGGTTTCAGTTCATGGATGCTGTCTCCATTGCTTTTGGTCCTGTAGTGGTTTAGTACATCAAGACAGGGAGGATGTGGTGGAGCAAAGCAGCTTACCTCATGGTAGCTGGGAAGTAAAAGAGAGAAAAAGAAGGGGGCCAGAGTCCCAATATCCCCTTCAAGAACAATCCCCCCCATGACCTAACTACTTCCCGCTAGGTCCTGCTTCCTTAAGTTTCCACCTTCCAATAGCACCACTGGACAACACCACGCTTTTAACACATGGACATTTGGAGAATATTCAAGATCCAAGCTATAGCAAGGTTGTTTTTAAAACATACCCCAAGGGGGTTGCATGAATCTAGGTGAACAAATGGGACAGCTCCCCATTCGGTGCACGTTTCTCACACATGTTCACTGGGATGACTCTTCTCCTTCACAGAGTCAAAACGGTGGATGCTTCTAGTCTACCATCTTGTCATGCTTCTCCAGAACAATTTATACTATATTGTAAATGACAGCACTTCTGACTTTACCCTTCCTTCAGGAGTTTTGTTTGCTTCAATAAAAGACTTTTTTGAATAGACTTAGATTTGAAAAATTAGATTAGAAAAATTGAGCAGATACAACACATAGTTCTCATACACCATTGCCTAACCCACACCCAGTTTCTTCTGCTGTTAATATCTTACATTAGCATGGTACATCTGTTGGGAATAATCAGTCAGTACTGCTATGTTATTATGAACTAAACTCCATACTTCATGCATATTTCCTTCCTTAATTTTTACCTTTGTCTGTTTTGGGATCCCATCTAGATACCACATTACATTTACTTGTCATGTCTTTTTAGTCTCTCTTAGCTGTGACAGTGTCACAGAATTTCCTTGTTTTTGATGATCTTGACAGTTTTAAACACTGGTCAGGTATACACAAGAAATTTCTCTATTGGAATTCTCCTAATTTTCTCATGATTAATACCATTTTTATTAAGTCACATCAAGACCAATGGTGTTGACCTAGATCACCTGGCTAAAGTAGCATTTGTCTGGATTCCCCATTATAAAATTACACTTTTTTCTCCCTTTCTGTACTTTACTTTTTGAAAACTAGTCATCAGTCACAGCCCATCCTTAAGCAGTAGGGACCCATATTCCACCTCCTGTAGGGTGGAATATCTGTATAACTTATTCTTCTTCATGAGAGATCTGTCTCTGACTCTTCTCCCTTTATTGCTTTATTAAATCATGTATTTAGATCAGTGTGGATTCATGGATATTTATTTTACTTGGAGTTATTATCCAATGCTACTTATTTTGTTTGCTGAAATTGTTCCAAGCCCCCATTTAAAAAAAATCACTTCCTTACTCTCTGTGACTACAAGATGCTCCAAGCTTCTCTTGTATATTTCTTACCCTAGTCCTAGAGCCAGCCATTTCTCCAAGGATCTTTGGTTCCTTGTACTGGAAAATGGCATCAGAAACAAATATCTGAGTAATGGCATGCTTATTTATTTCTACTAGGGTATCATTTCTCTTGAGTCTTCTCAACTGGTAGAGGAAATGTGTGTGTGCATGTACACACACACAAATCTATTACATACACATATGGATGCACCTGTATTAAGTTGAATATGAGCTTTTATGTCTCCAATTCCAAAGCATTATAATATGACAGTAATGGTGATTGAACTCGCCGATCTACAAATTGTCACTTCCAACAGTGAGAAGCTTGGTTCCTACTATCTGACATCCACTTAATTGTTCAGTTCCAATATAGGTGCATGGTGGTACCAGAATGTTAGTGTCTCAGAGGTTCTGTTTTTCTCATATTAAACATCATACCTTCTTTAACCATTTTTGGTTCTGCACCATCTTGTTCCTCTTCCATCAGTTCTGAGCCCACAAGTTTTCCAGAGCAAAGGTCATGCTCTGCATTTTGCAAATGAAAGAAATGAACTCTAGGACATACCCTCAGCATTTGTAAGGCACTGGTTTCAACGTTCTACATATGAATTCATTTAATCCTCATAACTACCCTATAAGGTTAGTCTTGATATTATCGCTACATTACAGGAGGACAGGCTATAACTTGTTCAAATCAAAGCAATTAATGATTAGTGACATTGTCAGATTCCAAAATGAAAGTCCATATTTATGAGCATTATTTTAGGCCATGTTACTGTTTTCTAAAATGCTCCTTTGCACACACTGTCCAAACTGTCAGTAGTTCACTCTTGCCCGCAGGTTAAAGACCAAGTTTCTTTCCTGGTTTACACAATCCAATGTCAGCCTTCTGCCCCAGCTTGCCTGACATGAGCAGTGAAAAGCTCTGGAGCATGCTGAGATAGTGGTGCATGCTGGCTTCCCTTCCTCTGCTTAAAAGAAGCCCCGTGCATTCCAGAATGTCCCCCCTTCCACCTGGCCTTCCTTATTCAAAGTGGTATCATCACTTTGTTGATACTCATTTTCCATGCCTTTTTTCTGATAGTCTGAGTTGTGTTTTGTTCATACACTTTTTATTTACCTGTCAGTTTCCCCACCACATCATCAGTGCCAACTCGTTATTACTGAAGATGCTTATGCGCTTCAACACTCTCAAACCCACTAAATGAGAAGTTGAGATTCAGGGAGCTTTATAAGTGTGCTCTCTCCTCAGATATCACTATTTTTCATTTGCTAGACAGCCAAATGCTGCATATTGCACACATCATCAAATTAATGTGGCTCGTCTTCTATGCAATGCATTGCGGGAGGTCAAGATTGACAGTTTGTTTGGTTAGGAAGTCACTCACGCATTGGTGGCATAAGGAGGTCTTAGCTGTGCTAATGATAATGAGTTGAAGTTTTGGGCTAAGTTACCAAATTTTACAGAGGTGAGTCTGGCCTTGCTCTTCCTCATCTTAATTCTCTAGGGGAGGTCTGGAGGAAGGGAAGTCCCTGAGTTGTTCTCCTTCAAAGAACAGAACCAGTTTTCCTGCTGAGCCCATTTGCCCAACTGTAATCACTCCAATGCTGTCTTCATGAGTTTTGCCATATCTGAGTGCTCACGTTCAATTTTATTGCTTCATTTACACTTTAATCTCATTCTTTTTTTAAAAAAAAGTGTAAAGCTGGAGAGTTTAATTGATAGAAAAGTGTAAAGTGGGAGAGTGGAGTTCCCAGAGTTGGGGGGGTCCCAAGAGAGGACACCCCTCTCATTCTTAATAATAACCTCAAAATTCAGATTTACTGTGCTAGCTATTGTTTTCCAAATGGACAGTAAAATAAATGTATAGCTACTGGATAACTGTTTATTTGTGTACTACATGCAAAGATATCACATAACTCCATAGTACGTTTTTTCTACCCTTTGGGACATATCACTCTAGGATTTAGGTCTTTTCCTCCCCACCCACTTCTAGACTTGAAGTCTCTTCTGATCAGATCACTGGTCTTCAGGCTGGGTGCCAAAATTCTGGCAGGTTCCACTAAGGTACCATTGCACATAATGAGAGTGAAATCAATCCTGGACAAGACTATAAGCATTTTCTTTTATAATGAGTGAAAGCAGCTTAAATTTTATTCCTTCCCAGGTCCAGGGATTCTAGCTAAGATTTTGTGTCAAGGAAAATGTTATACTGAGTTTGTTTGTGGGACAAAGTATTTCTACGTAGGCCTTGAACTTGTGGTCTTTTTGCCTCAGCCTCCCAAGTACTGAGATTAGAGGTATGATCCACCACACCTAGCTCTATCGATTTTTTTTAAATGTGAAAACCATAGGACAAGTCAATCCTTGATTAAATCTTCTGGAAAGGTCATTTGGGTAGTAATTTACTTACACATTCACTGAGAACTTCTTGAAACTCTTCCTAACTTTGGGGTCAAGGAAGCTGGCTTCAAGTTTACCTTTTTACTATAATGAAACAAATGTCCAGATGGTTTGGGATGAAGCCATGCCAAGTACTATTACAATTCTCTTCCACTTGATCTAGGTTGAGAATAAGCCTTTGGTTCAAGTCCAGAAGCCACCTTCCAAGAACAAGAACCTCAAAATGACCCGACTTTTGCAGAAGGTAGGGAGTGATGGTTAGTGCCTTTTCTCTAGGAGAAGGGCAGAGGGAGATGCATGGATGGGATAGTGTTTAGCAAGCATTTTTATTCAGCTCAGCATGGCGATGAGAGCACTCTGGCTACATCACCATGCTCCCACTTCACACAATTTTAAATAGTGCTATTTTTTGATAGATTACTACTCTTCCAATCATCAATAAACCAGTCAATGCAGGAGGGTTAGGATCCACATGAGGTCAAGTCTATAATGTAGCCAGAGAGACAATTGGGGGAAGGTTTATGTTGCACCAAGGAAAATTTGCATGTACTGCGGGAAGAACTTCCTGTGCTTGAGGGGTAGTTGCTAGAATGATAATAACAACTAACACATGGAATGCTCTATATACATTGCCTCACAAAAGCCTTATGAGGTAGGTCCCATTTTTGTCCCCATGGTAGCAATGAAATAGAGGCTTAGAGAGTCAGTGTGACCTGCTCAAGGTTTACACCTCATAAGTGGTGGAGTGGGGATTCAAACCCAGAGCCCATCTGCTAGATTACTCTCTTCCTGGAATCTGCGGAACCTGGGTTAGACTCATCCAAGTGGTGGGGAGGAGGCTGAAGAAATGGCCCCTGGTGACATTATCTTGCCTGAGGTTTTTGTAATGAATCTCCCTCTATAGAATACAAACACCAGTGTTACTTCACTCCCTTTTGTGGACACCACGGGAAAGAACACAGTTAATTTCCCACATATCAGCAACAAAATCCTGTTGAAGCCACCCTTGCTATATAAGGTAAGTACAGGCCAGTGGACATGCCCTTTAGGCAGACAGGTGAAAGGCCCCAGTTCAGAAAGACCCACGTGGCATGTAGCGGAAACCCAGTGTGAGCTGCAGAGCTGGATTCTAGGCCTGAACTCACTCATTACAATGAATGAAAACTTGAGCAAATATGATACTAACTTTCTCTTATCTATCAAATGGGCTTTCCAAGGAACTGTCATGAGGATTCACTAAGAAAGGAAAAATGAAGTTATAAATGGCAGAACCATACAAAACATTGTTTTCCTCCCAGGTTCCCTATCTTTTTTGTGAATGGGATGATATGTAGGGAGATGGCAAGTTGCAGTTAAGTGCTATACTCACATAAGTTCAAGTGTGTATGCTTTTGGCATATATATCTAGATCAGAACTGGCTCCTCAAGAGCAGTGGCGAAAACTGTTCCCATCTCTCCCCACAGTGACCACTCGGGTTGTCAACATGCCATGTAATATACATGGGTCTCCCAGGGCATAATACAGGACAGATACTTCCTTTGGGAGAAAGACTGAGAAAACCTACTATCTCTTAACTCTTAACTGTTTTCTTCCTGGAGAGGTAGGAAAAGATTCTGGCTGGATCAGGAAATTGGGGGTCAGATAGATAGTTTTTGACCCTCAGAAGAGGCCAAAGTTGTCCTTTATTGCAAACCTCTTTGCTTGAACAGGAGAATCAAATTCACAGTCGGGTGCTGACCTCTGAGATCAAGGCTTCAGAAATATCTTTCCACTCTGGCATTAAAACACAAGATCCCAAGGCAGAGGAGAACTTGCCACGGAAGCACAAGGTGCCCCTGACAGCGGCAGGTATGAGTTCGGGGCAGTAGCAGGGTGAAGTGGGCATGGTTATGGATGACCATGAGATCAAGAGCTGACACATGTGGGAGTAATTAGGTCAATGAGCCAAAATGAAAGCAGTTACGCCTCTTGCTGTGACAGGATGAGTATGAGGCTCGTCCTCATGGAACACGTGGGGAGATTTTAGACCCCAGGCCCAAACTCCTGAGTTTCATAGATCAGGTCTGGCTACTCATCCTAGCATATCAAATAAAGAGATAGTAATGGTGAAGTGCACAGAAAGGAGGGTTATTACACACCATGGTCAGGCTGTGGGAAGGAGAAAGGCAGCATTTCAACCCATCTTCCTCAAACAGACTTTTGTTTTAGGTTTAAATAGGAGGAATAGTTGTGGAAAGGGGGAGAGGTATGCATAATTAGTAAACAGTCTTGGTCACATGCCATAGATGGTAGCCACAGGTAGTACAGTAGGGAAGCTAGTTGACTCAAGATTGGTCAGGTGGGCCTTGTTACAGTAAGAATTATTGATGCCTGGCAGGTGTCCTTCCTGGAGTCCTGTCCTTTCTGTCCCCAGTCCTTCCTGGATTCAAAGTCCTTCCTGGCTGCAAAATGACTGCAGTAGAGAATGGCTCAGAGCAAAGAACCCAGATACAAAATGGAAGCTAGGATGCATAGCTTTTATTTTACCTTAATTTGTTAACTCGTGCACCCAAGTAAGGGATCAGTGCTTTTCAGCAAAAGCAACTTTTAAGTACCTGGTACAGGAGTGAGTGCTAGCTTCCTATTCTCCATTTCCCATGGAACTGTGTCAGGGCAGACAGAGAGCATCATTTCATTGCCTGGAGAGCCCAAACAAATGTCTTCTGTGATTTTATGGACCCAGGAACAGGGGAGATGATAGAGGGAAAGAGCTAGGGGTGGGCAAATACTGAGTATTGGGTCAGAGTAGAGAAAAATGTCTTGATAAGGCAGTCTTGGCAGAGGTGACTAAGGAAGACCTCAATAAAGGCCCAACAGAGGGCTCTGAAGAGGGGCTCCTGAGTTGGACATGCAGGTGTGCATAAGCAGCTGGGATGTCTACCAAGGCTGGCACAGGGAGGGCAGATGCACCTGAAAGGCCTGCCAGGTAAAGCCTTTGTAATTACCTATGGTGGGGCCTGAAAGATCCCACATAGGTTTCTGGCCAGCAGCCAGACTCCTTAGACGGTTCAGAGACTCATGATCTCTTAGGATTCAAAGGAAGAGAACTGAGATTCACTGAGCATCTACCATGTGCCAACATTGCCTACTACTCAGAGGGAGGTCTTCTGCCATAGTTATGAAATTGAAACTGTCCTTTTTCTTAAACCCATTAGAGGAGTGTCCATTCTGAGTTAGTTATGCTTTTACAGAGGTGACACTTGCTCACTGCTGTCTTAGACCTTGGTTCTATACTCTGGGAAGAGAATAGCTTAATCTAGCTTCTATACATGAAGCTTCCTATCCTTCACGTATAGGAAGACAGCTATATTGTGCCCATGTCTTCTTTTTCCTCCTCACATTTCCTTCTCCAACTTTTCAGCAGTTTGCCAAATAACATGACAGCCCTCCTCTAATCCTGGTTTCTCTCTCTGAGCTTGTTCTAGTTTCTCTACTAAAATTGTGAATGTTCAGCTAGGCATTGTGGTGCACATCTGTAATCCCAGCTCCTCAGGAGGTGGGGATAGGAGGATCATAGTCTGAGGCCAACATGGGCAAAAGAAAGAGACCCTATCTGAAAAAAAAATTTAAAGCATAAAGGACTGGGGGCATGGCTCAAGTGGTAGAGTGCTTGCCGAGCAAGTGTGACACCGAGTTCAATTCCTAGTACTGAAAAAAAAAGTGTGACTGTCACCCCACCTCCCACTGCTTGACCTCAGGTCATATGCCAGATGTGATATATAGCACAGCATACAGATGCCAACACGTACTCCCTCCTGTGCTCTGAGATGCTTGCTTCCTCACTGCAGAATCAAGTGGGAAGTTGGACTTATGTTACCTGCCAGGCCCTGGAAAACACTGCCATTTTCAAGCCCTCTTACGTAGCCTGATTGCACAGGAACTTGGGCAAATGCCACCTTTAAAATATGCTTCTGTTGACATAGAGTTTTCTCCTGGATTTTTTTTTTTTTTTGGTGGGAATGGGGTTTGAATCCAGGGCTTCACACTTGCAAGGTAGGCGCTGTACTGCTTGAGACACACCTCCAGTCCATTTTGCTCTGGTTATTTTGGAGGTGGGCTGTCTCGAAATATTTGCCTGGGCTGATCTTGACCCTTGATTTTCTGATCTCAGCCTTCCAAGTAGCTAGGATTAAGGTTCCAACAACCAGTGTCTGGCTTCTCTTGGATTTTTTTTTTTCATATTGTGGCAACCCCCAGCTCTTGGGGCACTGAATTCCTTTTCCTGATGTTTGTATTTTCTTCTTGGCTTACTGAAATAAGCACAATACTCGGAGATTTTTGTTCATTACATTTCCAACTGGTGAGATTCCTGAAGCACAGTTCTTCAGGAAGTCACATTGTTGAGGAAGGGACAGGATGTCACAACCATCTGTACCCTGGGCAAATCTCCAGGTTGCATCATCTTGACTGACAACTGTCATGTTTTCTTTACAGAGGCCCTAAAGTTTTTTAAGAACCAGCTGTCCCCTTATGAGCAAAGTGAAATCCTAGGCTACAAAGAGCTGTGGTTCCTGGGACTTGAAGCTGAGAAGCTCAACGTACCTCCTGAAAAGTTCAGTGCGACAAGTTTTGATGATGAACACGGCTCCTATATGAAGGTGCTGGTGGGTGGGGGAGGTCACTGGAACTCCTGGGTCTTGGAGACAAGAGATAGTGTTGAGAAGACAAAAAAATCAGAGGGTATTTAATAGTATTTCTTGCTGAAATATCATGGACTAGGTACTGTGAAGGATTCTAGTAACACCTAAAAAAGTACTGTCTTTTTAAAAGATGGGAAAACATGCGATTTAGTATGCAAAGTACTCTTCTAGCAGTACGCAGATTGTCTCTAAGGGTATTTGGAGCAATGGGTTTGCATCCTGGGTAAACTCCCACAAATCAGTCTGCACAGCTGTGGGACCACTGGTAAAGGCCAGACTAGAGTTGGGGATGTGGCTCAAGTGGTAGAGCATGAGGTCCTGAGTTCAAACCCCAGTAGTGCCAAAACCAAAAACAAACAGAAAAAAAAAAAAAGGAAAAAGAAAAGGTCAGATTGGAGTAAAATGCATCACTCCAGCATTCCTTTATCTCCTCCATACAAGCCCGTATATGGACCCTCTTCTATTTTATAGTAGATATCACTTCCCCAACAGGCAAAATTCATAATTACATTCTGTTTTCCAAAACTCAAGAGCAACAGCTCCTCCTTTTCTTCTTGTTCAGTGCTTCCCAGAGTAAAGTCTCATCCCAGCCCAAATGTGAACTCAGGCCAGTGATCCTCACTTTTGAGGATGTCTGGATGGGTGATGCTTAGTCCAGCAGGCTTTGGGCTGTCTGGTGTTTCCTCTTCTGATCATTTCATCACAACTTGGTTTTAGGATATGAGTGTTTGATGTCTTCCCAGGAGAAATAGATTATCCTGTTTCTATTTCAGGAGAAATAGATTATCCTGTTTCTCAATTATTACTATGCACAAGAATCGCCTGGGGGCTTGTTAAAGTGCAGACTCTTATCCAGCAAGTCAGGGGTGAGACCTGAGATTTTGCATTTCTAAAAAGCTTCTAGGTGGTGCCCATACCATTGGTCCTTAGATTACACTTTGAGAAGCAAGTAATTTCTGTCACACAGTCTTCATCTAGAGCCCTGGTTTCAACATTTTTAGGTCAAGGATCCCTTTGGGAGTCTGATAAAAGCAATGGGTCCTTATCTCTAAAAAGGCAACCTGCACTCACACACAAAATTTCAGAGGATTAATTGGTCCTTGGTTAAGAATCCCCAGTATAAATCTTAGCCATGATTCAGCCAGACAGCCCTAACCCCTCCCTCCCTGATTCCTCTACCTTCCTACCCTACTTGAGCCTGGGGTCTCTGGAAAATTCCTTAAAGATGTCAGACCTACCTTTAAGTGAATTTGCTGTAACTCAGTTCCTCAGTGTCAAACCCTTAGAGAGCTACGTATTGGTGGTGAGAGAGGAATAATGTGTGTTCTCCACATTCACTCCAAATTTCCATCCCTATTTCATTCCAGTGCACACACAAATACTTAAGGCACACAACCACATTCCCAGATAAGCACACAGCTACATTTTTACATTTATCTCTCAACAAAGATTACTTGCATATCTAATTATTGAGCACCTGTCATAAACTTGTGCACCTGCCAGATTCTGAAAACATAAAAGGAACTATCACAAATGAGTACAATACGGTCCTTGCTTTCAAGTAACCACAATTAATGTCGAAGTTGATATGGAAGCAAATAGTTATGGTACAAATAAACTGGCGACATGAAGGTAAGTAACAAGCTAGGAAACACACGTAGATTTATAGCAACATTTGTAAAGATTCTGTGTCATTCTTATGACAGACCTACAAGTAGACTAATCTTCTATGTGTCAGTAAAGTTATATGTGCTCAAATTCAGGGTCCTGTTCAGGGTCCATATGAACAGACCTCCACCCCCACATTTACAAAGATATCCTGAAATCTGGAACACAAACACTCATCCTTCACCAATCCCAGAATGACAAGTGTAGTACTAGAAATCAGACTCCATGGAGATCAAGGAGATCTTCTAATTTAGAGTCTCATCCTCATCTTTACAGATGAGGGCAAGGGCTTATTTGAAGTCACCTAGCTAAATTCTTTATTATTTTGTGGTGCTTGGGGTCTAATCCATATCCTTGCACGTACTAGTAAGTACTCTACCACTGAGTTACATTCCCAGCCTTTCTCTCTTTCTTTTTTTTTTTACAAGGATAAGGTTCTTGTTATGTAGCTCAGGCTTGCCTTGAAATCAAACTTGAATCCCACATGCTGGGATTACAGGCCTGCACCATCACACCTGGCTAAAGTCTTTAATAGAATATTTTATGTGACTTTGACTGAACACCTGTTTCCTGGTTTCCAGCACAATGAGAGACAGATGATTCTGGCTCTTGGAAAATATTTCTTTCCTTTTTCTTGTCCTTCTAACTTCAGAACAGGATTAAGTATGGATAAGTCTAAGGGAGGACCAAATCTGACCAGAAAGAGGCAGAGCAGACACGAAGCCTTCTCTGCAGACATAAAGTCTCTGTTGGAGGCACATCAAGGGTTAGAAGGTCAGTCCCTCAAACTGGGACTGCTTCCCAGCCTGAAGAATCATGAAGTACCCGAATTGGACAGGACCTTCATTTTTGCCCAATCCTCTTAGTCCATGGGTCCTAAAACATGCATAAAACCAGAGGACTGGAACTAGAGTCCAAGTTTCCCAAGATGATCCAATGTGCGCTGGAGTGTCCTTTGGAGCCTGTGTGACTTTGTCTGGCAATAAGCTAACCATTTCAGTAGCAATGACACGAAGGAGGGAGGTCAGAAAACAACACCCAGGAGTGAGCCATGAGCTGGGTGTTGGGATCCAGGGGATCTAGGGGTCTGAGAAACCCAGGAGCCTATGGCTCTGCCTCTCACTGCTTGCCTGACGTCTGTAGGTCCTGCACGATCACATTGCGTACCGCTACGAGGTTCTGGAGATGATTGGGAAAGGTTCCTTTGGACAGGTGGCCAAATGCTTGGATCATAAAAACAATGAGTTCGTGGCCCTGAAAATCATCAGGAACAAAAAGAGGTGTGGCTCAATGGATGACCTAGGCCATAGAGAGGGGACTGTATGACTTTAGCTACTTGAGAAGGGCAACCCTTTCTGCCTCTTCCCTTTCCTTCTGCCTTTCCTCTTTTCCTCTCTATCTGTCTGATTCCATGAAGGGGCAAAGAGGAAGGAAGAGTGTGGAGTTTTCCATGCTTTCTGACACCCTAGACATTCTTGTTGGAGTCACAGGGAGGGGCTGAGGAAATGGGCTAACTACTGTAACATGACATGACACCTGTGTTTTCTGTTCCCATTCCCCACCCTCCTGGCTACTTTCCAATCACTCCAGATTTCACCACCAGGCCCTAGTGGAGTTGAAGATCCTGGAAGCCCTCAGAAGGAAGGACAAAGACAACACTCACAATGTGGTACACATGAAGGACTATTTCTACTTCCGCAATCACCTCTGTATCACCTTTGAACTCCTAGGGTCAGCTGCTTTTTCTTTTGCATTCATTTGCTTTTGAAAAGTTCCATAAGTGACAGAAGACAAGCTTTGAGGTCAGAACACTAGATGTTTCTGGATGTGAATATTTAATGATGAGAGTGGACACAGAAGCCACTCAGTAATTTAGAGGGCTCAGAGGAAAGGAGGAAAGCTGAGATCTCAACCCATTCCTTTGTAAGCCCGTCAACTTGCCAACATCCTTGTTGTGCTTCATTGGTGCTCAGGACTGGACTGGGTGGCATAATCAAGAGCTAGATACCCCCAAGAGCTAAATTGAGACACGTGGAAAGGACTTTCCTTTGCTACCGTGTTCTGTATGCACTGGCCTCCCAACTTGATAGTGCAGAGGTTGGAACCCAAAGAATAGGCTTCCCAGAGTGGGAAGAGGGCTTCGATTTTGAGTAAGTAAGGACAGAGTAGATGTTTTTGGTAAGAAAGCAGAATCTTGACTTAAATAGACTGGCATCAGTTGAGTGTTGGAGCATGCTAACTGGAAAGGCATGCTAATTGGAAAGGTATCCTTTTCTGGTTACTTTTCTCTGTGAAGTTGTATCAGATACAACTTCAATAAAACCAGAAACCCAAAATATGTTTAGTAAAGAATAATAATCAGGGGTGAGCCACCAGAGGCCCAGTGTTGTTGAATTCCATGAGGTGGTAGCATGGTGTTCCCATAACAACATGGATAGGAAAATTCTAGAAACTGGCTAAATTTAATGAGAGTGGACAACGCTGCTCACCATCTCTGGTGATTTCAAAATGTGGTCTACTTTCCAATGTGCACAGGCGAATTATCTTCTTTATGGTAAAACAGACAGGCCAGGCCACTCCTCTTCACCATTACCTAAGAGAGTTCTGAGAGGTCAAGAGAGGCATCTATCTGGAGGGAGAATCCTAAATCCAGCAAGGCTGGGTTTTTGCTCAGAGTTACCAGTCAGGATGGAGCCAGAGCCAAGCCTCACTTCTCCACTGAATCCTTGAAGAATGAATGACTTCTTGAATACAGCCAGAGTTAGATCATCTTAGAAATGGAAGACTGAGAGGGACCAGCCAGAGGCTGATGCAGAGTCACTTCTGGGTCATGCTTGTTCCTTCCTCTTCCCCATCTCACAGAGGTCACAAGCTGGAAAAAGTATTGCTTATTCCAATGCTTTGCATTTGTTTCTAAGATATGTAAGCCAGCAGATTTCACATAGCAGAGCATTCTTTTATATACTATTTCAGGTTTGTGCTGCTGGAGAATAGAGACTGATTTGATGACAGCCAGTCTTTGAACTGTAAAGCCACAGTTACATGAGACCAAGTGGCCACACTTGCCTTTGATAGTGTGGGGACTCCCTGGTTTGCCTTAGCTTCCATCTGTCTACTCTCTTGTTCTCCTACTTTTCAGCAACCTAAAGAACTGAGATAGTCTAATTAGGCTGAGGCAGGCATAGCTGCTTGGTTGAGTTAATAGAGGGCTTCCTGGGGCCCTCCCCCAGGCCTGAAGTGCTATGACTATTGCAGAAGTTTGGTCTAGTCTCTTAACCCACATATGAAGCAAGGTACTTAAATGGCCTTGTCACATCAGAAGTGAGGGGATGTCCCAAGCAGTGGAGTTGATCTTCACTCTGGGCCTACCATGAGTCAAACGGAAGGCCAACTTCATAGTACACTGATTCCTTGTCTGAGATCTACCTGCTTTTAGAAGGAAACAGGATTGTTTGCAGATTCAAACCAAACGTGACATTCTGAAAGCCAATGTCCATCACTTTCTCTCTCTTTCCCAGGATCAACTTGTATGAGTTGATGAAAAATAATAGCTTCCAAGGCTTCAGTCTATCAGTGGTGCGACGCTTCACTCTCTCTGTTCTGAAATGCTTGCAAATGCTTTATGTAGAGAAGATCATTCACTGTGATCTCAAGCCTGTGAGTACACCACCTGTTCTGCCAGGGAAAGCTGGTTGTCGCCAGTGGTAGTTGGGACAGCCTGAATGGCCAAGAGCCTGCAGGGTGGAAGCCAAGTAGTCTAGTTTATAGGCTGTGAAGTGAGGTGCAATGAAGGCAAAGGCACAAATACTGGGGAGATGAAGAAAGATATGATATAACTGAGGCAGCTGGGAACAGCAGGGACTTTCCTATGGAAGGGGAAGAGGTGGGTGGTCAGTGTCTTGAGCAGCAAGATAATAACAAGAAGTCCTGGGAATCCAGTCTTACACTTTTGGTCTTGTTGGTCATCAATCCCTTGTAGTTCTTAAGAGTTCTCCCCAGCACCTAGAGTTCTTTCTTGTCTGCTCTGCAGACATGTGCCATGTAGGCAGATGGACATTGTTCTATTTAGTCCTCACTAGGTTCACTTTATTCTGAGTTGCTACTAGAACACCTGAGCTTCTTGCTCTATTCCCCTGGGTGTGATCTTGCTACTGTCTTGCTAGCATTGTATACATAACTCTATAGTTGCGCTTAATGCTTTTTGTAGGAATTACTTCTTTATCTGTATCTCCCACTAGACCACAAGCTCCTCCCAAGGTCAGGAACCATGGGTTTTCACCATTATGTCCCCAGGATCTAACATGGTACCTGGTAACAGAGGGCAATAATTTAAATGCTTGCTAAATGAGTTAATGGTTGCAAATATGAGGCTGTAATACAGAGAGGTACCTGGAGACATGGTGTAAGGGACTAATTCCAAAAACAATGTGCCCCTCCCCAATATGTAACTATCCCTTAACTTTCCTTAGTCCCTACTCTCCACCCCCAAAACATTTACCTTTAAAGCAAATTTAAGGAAATCATGCCTCTATTTCTTTGATTCTCTACTATTATAGCAGAATGGCAGCAGGGACTCTTAATATAAACTTTACACAAATTCAGTCTATGGCATTTGTAAGGCCTTATGCAAGCCAGGCATAGAGTCAGGTGCCAAAGAACATATAAATAAGCCCACCATCTTCAGGAGTTACACAATTAAAATGGAGAAAGAGACAAAATATAATTAAAAGACACACTGAAAAGTACTGAGCACTGGGTCCAAATAAGAGAGAGACCACAAGTCAATGAGAAGTCAGGGACAGGAACAATGGAATGTGGAAATGTGGGAGGAGGACTTTGGAGGTGGTTGCATTTGAACTGGTGACCATTTGTGTGGTGGTGACCATTTAGGTAAGCAGAATGGCGAGGCCAACATTGTTTTTTAATGCAATTTCTTCTTCCTTCTAGGAAAATATAGTACTATACCAAAAGGGCCAAGTCTCTGTTAAAGTTATTGACTTTGGGTCAAGCTGTTATGAACACCAGAAAGGTAGGCCCCATGCCAGCCCCTTTATCAGAGTTCTCCTATTGCAACCTCTCTCCCTTTGTACATAAAGCCAGCTGGGTGCCAACCTGGACTCAGCCATCACAATTGCCATCAATCGTGAACAAGGTGCTTTACTTCTTTGAGCCTAAGTTTCTTTATCTGTGCAATGAAAAAATTTGATTCACATATCACACAGACTCTTTGAAGCTCTCATAGTCTGTGGGTATGGAATTACCCATGAACACTGGGTCCTAAAACTAACTGGATGTGTGTCAGGATCATTTCAGGGTGCTAAAAAATTACAGTTTCTAGGGCTTCCCCCTGCATGTTCCAAATTCACATTTTTGGGTGATACCCAGGAGTCTATACTTTAGAAACTGGCTTTCTTACCAAATGGAAATACTCTCAGAAGCTGTCTACCCAGTTAATCTGAGAGTTTGAAAACTTAATTTATATTAGTGTTATTTTTTTTAAACCTGGCAGACTTAAAGAACAAGGGCTACTCTGGAGTTCTGATCAATAAAGTGGGGGTAATAACAATTCCATTATAATCAGGTTTCTGTGAGAAATTAATGTTTTGTTAGATGTGTAAAGTGACACCTAAGTTCTAGCTGGCTTGTACTTCCCTCAACCTGAAAAGCCTATAAGGTAAGGAAGGGTAGGAAGGTCTATAAATTATCAGCCACCCCCAACTTCTGAGGTATCATAAAGAGAACGTTCTGGAAAGGGGGAGATAGTCTCACATTAAGCTTCTCTCTCTTTGCCCCCCAGTGTATACCTATATCCAAAGCCGGTTCTACCGATCTCCTGAGGTGATTCTAGGCCACCCCTACAACATGGCCATTGATATGTGGAGTCTGGGTTGCATCATGGCAGAGCTGTACACAGGCTATCCTCTGTTCCCTGGGGAGAACGAGGTGGAGCAGCTGGCCTGCATCATGGAGGTGAGAGTGAGGGCCAGCCACTGGCTTTGCCTGATATCCCCAGGATGGCTTCAGCCCTCAGACAACGAGTTGCAACAGACTCAGCAAGGATAGTATTCTACAGGCTATATCTTCCTACATTTGGATGCTTCCCGAAAGTTCTTTTGAAATTATGTATTTCCTTATACATTGTTGAGTTGAGATCTAACATTTTTATCATAAATTTAAATAGGAAAAAGGATGTTGTTTCCCCCTTATTGTAAATAGGGACATTTTAAAATATTAGTCTTTCTAATAGATACAAAAAAAAATTTAAACCAGAGTGACCTGATACCACCAAAATCTACCTAAAAAGGAGGCGAATGAGTTCTTATTTAACTGTTGTACCATTCTTTCACTTTGCTCATTCTTTTCTCCTTGAAAAAGTAGGTGAGTAGCCAGATAAAAGTAGCTAGAAATTGTGTCTATGGTGGAATGAATAGTGGCCTGGCAGTTAGTAAACATGGGGTCTGTCTTTCTGGCAAATCACTTACCTGCTCTGGACTGAAGAATGAGGAGGTCAGGGAATGTGGCTTCTGAAGTGATTTTGTGAAGCATCTCTGAATTCCTGCTTCCAGTTCCAAGGTGAATGGGGTATATGACTCAGCTTCCTCTTGAGTGTCTTCTGTGCCCACCTATGCATTGCAGCACAGAAAGGTAAATAAGCTATACTTTTTTTTCCAAGGAGGCATTTTCTCTTGTAAGGGCATGATGCTCAGCTGGTGATAATTTATCTTCTTTGCCTCCCCTCTCTTCCCGTTGCTCAGTGCTGTTATCTGCCATTCTTAATTCAACATGGTCAGCATATTAACAGTGTGATCTGGCTGCTATCAAGGGTGGCCTACCTCTTCTTGGTGCGGAGGCCAGTGAAGAATAGCACGACCGGTGCTCATTGTTAGGTTACCGACACACCCCTGGAGTAGGAGTTAAAAGACCTAGGCTCTGGGTCTCTTCTGCCTAGACATCATTACATAAAATCTCTTGATCCTTGTCTGTAAAAGGCAAAGTTTGGCCGGAGTCTTACCTAGCTCTTAGTAGCCTTTAAATCTGTGATTCCACAAAGACTGAACCAACCACCCTGTATTTGTTGAAGGTTCTGGGCCTGCCGCCAGCCCACTTCATCCAGACAGCCTCCAGGAGACAAACATTCTTTGGTAAGTCCCCAGATCTAATTTGTCTAATTGTGTCTAATGAAATGTCACAGGCCTTAAAGACACCTCCTACACACTAGACTCCATTTTTTCTTTTTCTTTTCCCTTTGCCTCAGATGAACGGGCAGGCTATGTGTAGGAGCTTCAAAGATAATGAAGAATTGGTACCCGATAGCATGATGGAGATGAGACAGGCAGTAGCAATGGGGAGGGGGTCTTGATAGTACAGTGCACAGGAGCAGGGAATGACCAGGTTCCCACTCAGAAAATAGCAAATATGAAAACTCAAAAGACTATAATTTTACCTTCTCCTAGAAGCTCTCCACACATCCCTCAAGAAACTTGGCCTCTCACACCATGCACTCTGCAGGGAAATGAGAGAAGACACTTCTTTTCAAGAGAAGTGGGAAAGTCAATGGTTATATGGGAACATTATTCTTTACTACTAAAATTCTCCTAATCCCCAGGCCCTTACCACTCCAGATCATTGCAATTCTGGGATAAAATGGACAAGTAAGGCGGTCTGAATTGTTTTGCTTTAGAGATATCAAAAGATATTTATGATAAATATTTAGATATTTATGATGTCATCTGTCTGATTGCTGGGATTCAACCTCAGCTGTAGCCTCTGCCTACCCATCACCACAATTCCCAGACTCCGGATTTTATGATTCTCTGCCTTTCTATGTGAGTGGTGCCAAACAAGATGTGCAGATGTAGTAATAAGGTACCAACCTAGGCAGGGCTTCCGGGGCACCATGCACTGATGAAGTAAGTCCCTGACTGAAAACCCTTTGAAGAACACACAAGAAGCTAAGAGGCTCCCAGGTAGACAAAGCTGTATTGGCCTGAAAATTATCTAAGTGGAGGGAAGCCAGACACAAGGGAGAGGAGGCTCACAGACAACACTCCCTATCATTTGGAATGCCATTTTTGACCAGCCATTTTTGTCAGGTTACTTCATAGGCTATGCAATTCCTCTCTTCCTAGCCTTCCCACTCTTACTTTCAACTGACAATGGCCTTAGAATTGGCAGCCAGATCACACAGTTTCTCTCTGCAACGTGCTCCAGTAACAGGAGTGTCAAAAATATCTAGTGGGAGAGCCACCAAGACAAAATGGTTTCAGTCATGCCGGTCAGTAGGTATTGGCTCAGCCACAAAGGGGTTATTATGTAGTTTCCCTCAGTACCATTTGGTAAAAAGCTACAGTTTTGAGCCTTGTCACAGCTTCAGGTTTCCTGGCACCTTGGATTTCTCATGGTCCAGAAACTAAAAGTTGAAGACCCAGCAAGCAGAGGTGCTCTATGATACTACTTCATTGCCAAGGTGTTACCTATTCTGATTGGTTGGTCTTGTGCCATTCCAATGTCTCAATCTCTTGAATATCACCTTGTTATGCCTGGAGCTTTGAAGACCTTGACCTTGAATATGGCAGTGTCCTTGTCACCTTACAACAGGGGCCCCCCACACTAACCTTTCTTCAGAGCAGTTGGAGGGTAGGCAGAGACTCTGACTAACTCCTGGTGTAACTTACATATGGAACAATAGGGTCCTTTGAACCCAAATAATTTTCCCACTCACCACTTATATAATTAAGCCTTTCAATTTTGAAGGATTTGGGGGAAGAAAAGTGGGCATATTGGTATTCCCTCCTGCTAAGCAAAGACATTGGTGAAGAGTGACACCCTAAACCTCATTGGCATGAGACCAACCAATCAGAAACCTTTAAACCTTTAGCGTTGACCTCATGAAGTAGTATCAAGGTGGGTTCTAGAAGGAAAGAGACATAGGGCATTTTTATTGGAAGATGCCAAAGACATATGCACGTCCACATATAGAGTGCTTGACTTCTACCATCAGCACTAGGCTTTAGGATGGCAATGGGTTTTTGATAGTAGCATCCAATGAATTGAATTCCTGTGTAAAAGGGGCTTTGCTGGGAGCTGCATCCTCTTCATTGTTTCCCAAATTTTATTCTAAAAATCATTTGGGCACTTGGCAAAAATGCTGATTCTCCTGGTCCTCATCTGTGACCTATGATAGACAACAGTAGCTTGTGATACTTTTTAAAAGGTAACTTTAGGAAACACTGCATTTACTTTAGTTCTTTGACTCCTTTTTCCCCAGAGTTGGGCTCCAATCACTTCTAGTTAATTCTTCTAATTTTCAGCACAGTGATGTTGCCTCAAGGGTGAGATACATGCCCCAGGCAGCAAGGAGGGGACTGGGAGGAGGAGTAGATAATGGGATGGGCCAGGGAGATGAGAAAAACTTGGATAAAAAACAAATAAAGACAATTCTAGGTGCTATGCTATTTATAGAACTGTGAGCTTGATTCTTCTTTGGTTGTTTGTAAAAAGAGTGACATAGGATAAGGTGGGAACAGTGGTGCCAGTATCCACGGGAAAATGGGATTTGTGTGAGTTTACAAGACCTACACAGTTTCCTTGGCCCATTTTTATCCATATGGATACAGCCACACCCATGTGCTTAAGTACACACATACTCATACCCACATTGATGGAAGTCTTTCTCTAGGAATTCCATGTGAGCAGATGTCTTCTGGAAGTCCCTACAAATTACATTAGCTAAAAAAGTAGTGGAAGAACTTTATACACCTTCTGAAATGTCCATCTCATGACCATTATCTAGTTTTGTGAGAATTCAGTATAATTTGTAAACTGGGCCAAGAATACATTTGCTTACAGACTTACCTGGTGTGAGCATAAGTGGTAAGCTTTCCTAAACACACATAAAAAAATCTGAATGTGCAATTGAGTGATTTCACCTTTAAAGCATTGCACCGAACATCATTAGGAAGCCTTTGGAACCTGGGGGCTGGAGGCTTCTGTTCAGGAATGACATATCATCCCTTTGCTGAGAGGTTTAATCAGCAGAAATAGGTGAAGAAAGCCGTTCTTAACTATGTCTTCAGCAACCAAGTTTGAACATTTCAAATTTGGACAAAATTTTGGTGTGATTCTAAAGAAGTAATGAGGTGAATTTGCTTGTGTGCCTTGAAATGTGCTCTGAAAGCATCCTTCTAAAATAGAGGAGGTATTCTTTGGAACACCCTGTGGATGTTCCAAACTGTTGCTTTATTGGGCTAGGGAAGGAGGAGCAAAAACATAGATAATCCAAGAAGAAACAATATCCTTTTTGTTCAGGGCTGAATGTTTTATTTGATCATTATAACCAGCAGCACCACTATCATCTTGTTTAATGTTAAGCCATTTAAACTGTTTGATATAGGGAGGAAATGGTGGGAAAGAGGCTCAGAACATCCTGAATAATGGGAAAATTTGCTTTTTAACATTAATTGTATTCAGTGGATAATATACAGGGGATTATTTCAAGTTGACTGAGACTGTTTGGATGTGTGGGGGTGAGTAGTGTGGAGAGGGCATGTAAAACAGAACAAAAAGCTGCAAAGACTGTTGTAAGAAGCAGTGTGGTTCAAGTGGACATCTGTGATGTGACTGATGAAAATTTACACCTGGAACTAAATACAGAATGTTGTATCCCCAAAGATTCCAAAGGTTTTCCTAAAAATATAACCAACAATAGGGGGAAAAGAAGATACCCGGATTCCAAGAGTCTCACGATGGTGCTGAAAACCTGTGACACCAGCTTCCTGGACTTTCTCAGAAGGTGTTTGGTGTGAGTTTATTGGGGTGTCTTTGTCTCTGGGCTTCCTTTTGAGTAGGGTACTTTCACACATATTTGCTAGTGAAAATCTAAGACTGGGAAATAGTTATAAAACAACAATCATACTAACTAATAGTAGAGCTCTGAAGTCTCCAAACTGTTTCTACATCTGTCTCCTCATTCTGTGCTGTCCATACTGTGTAATGATCGGAGCAGATTATTTGCTCTGTCTGCAGGGGCCGCGCTCAGAGATTAAGTGATATTTCCAGGATTACATTGGGTGTGGGGAGAGCTGCTTGTCTTCCCGGCCTCAAGCTGCTTGTCAGTGAGGTTGTAGACATGTCTTAATGTCTGTTCTTTTGTGAACTAAAGCCAATCTCTGTTGTAAGTTTGTGCAAACACACCCAGTGTACACCTACTTTACCCTTCTCCCCTCACATCCCTAGGATTTAATGCCCAAACTCTCTTGTATTTGGAACTAGGGGAAGCATGAGCTGTAAAACGTTTATTATATGCATCTGTTTACAATCTAGATGCATATTTTGAATCTTAAAAATTAAGTTCTCTATTGTGATCAAGTCATAGAGAAAAAGGAGTGAACCCATGAAACACCCAGCACACTGTTGGTTTTAACAGGTGTCTGGAAAATGTTTAGTATTGCTATTATTTAAGAGGTTTTGCAAGTCTGTCTCCACTACGTGCAAGTAGATATTCGGCAAGCCATCATCTCTCTGGGCCTATTTCTGTTTCTACAAAATGTAGTATTCCTAAGGTACCTTCCAGCTCTATCAGTCCTATAACTGTTTAGTATTTTTAGGGGACTGTATCTTTATATTCTCTCCTTCTTTCAGTGAGATAGAGTAATTTTAGCAAGATAAACCTGAGGCATCCATGCATTCTGGAATTAGGTACTGCTGAAAGTCTTCTCATCTATATGGGCGGGGAGAGGTCATGCTACTTTCCTATGTGAACTTAACAAGGTAGAGAATGATTTTGTATCCCATTTTTATCCTCCATGCTGAGGCTATAGAATAAATGTGCCTTAATAAATTTCAGAAACTGACTTCTGAGACAGGGGCAAATTACCTAGAACACAGCCCAGCATCAGGAAAGACATTTTCTTTTTTAGTGCAAGGGTTGGATTGCTCACAATTTGCAAAAGGTGATGGGGCCTAGCATCTAATCCATATATTGCTAAGTAATCCTTGGACTAAGGGTCCAAGAGTTTTGAGGCAAAGCCAACAATCAGAAAATGTTAAGACCTGCATATTAGTTTTAGAAGCTATTGCAGTAGTTCAGGAGAGAGGAGACCTAGTCTAACAGCACTTTATTCGACAAAGAACTGGGAGCTGGAGTAGTTTATGATCGTGATGAATCTAGAATGTTCATTATCATCTCCCTACAGGTGGAAGTGATTCCCAGCATAACTGCTGGACTTTCCTATCATGGAAGCTGGCCATACGGTAGACCATAACATATGATCAATAGTTAATAGTACATCAATAATATTGACGTAAATGTTTTTAGATGGTTGAAGGACTGTGACATAAAAGAAGTCTTACTTATTTTATTCTGTATAACACTAATGGGTAGAAATAGGACCTGAGCAAACGTTATTAGGAAATTGAGCCAAATTTAGCTCATAAAAATGAAGAAAATTGAATAGGTGAATTTGTGAGTTAGTGCTTTGTCATTGGGATTGAGGATGGCAGGTTGAGTCTATGTTGGGAGTTCTGCCAAACGTTTTTTATTGTATTAGCAATTTGCCTGAATTATATTCAAGTCCCCTTATAAATCTTAATATTTAAAAATTCTATAATTTTCTTTGTGGCCTAAATTTCATAGTTGAGAAATTGAAAGTAAGCATTTCTTCATTTTTATCTTCTTAGCTTATCAAATCTTGAATTCTTCTGGTTAAAATTTTTAAAGTATTTATTGTAAGAGAATTTCTAGGAATTCCCCAAAACTTGGAATTTAATGTATCCCTGACTCATCCAAAAATTTTAAGCAGATGACTTCCAATAAGTTTTTCCAAATACTTTAAAATTCTGTGTCATAATCTTTGTTCTATGATGAAATCTTTGAGATAATGAGATGGTTTAAATGAAAAATATCTTAATGTGTTTTTAAAATATTTTAAAACGGAAAAGGGAAGTAAACTGTAACCTATGTTGGGCTCTTTTGGTGTGCAGATGGGAACCTTCTCTTCGCATGACCCCTGACCAGGCCCTCAAACATGCCTGGATTCATGAGCCAAGGAAACTCAAAACTTGGTCCAAGCCCCGGACTCTGAGTAAATCAAGATTCTTTTCTCCCTCTGAGACAAGCAAAGACAAGGATGAAGGAAATCATTACTCAAGCAAAAGCAAAAAAGGTACAGCCCTCAACCAGCCAGTCCCCATAGTTCTAGGGGTTAGGTGCATGGTGGGAACTTACATACCAATTTCTCTGAACTCAACCTTGGATAGTTCAGTTCTGGCTACACCATTACTACTGTTACTTATTTTGGGGATTTCCCTCTTTTGGGAATCTTGGTTTTATCGGAACTCCTTTTTGCTTCTTGTCCTTACTATTTCCCATTTTTCTTCTATATTCAATTCCCTTTCTCCTCCTTTCTTTTTCTTTTAATGTGCCTCCTCCTTTCTGCCCTACAATTACCTTGTTTTGAGTTTTTGTCAGGTTACTTGGGATCCAGTTATGGCTGTACCATTTACCAGGCGTGGGCCTTTGGGCAATTTATTTAACCTGTTTGTGTATCAGTGTGTCCATTTGTGTGGATGAGAATTATGCTTATTGTGTAGGGTTGCTAAGAGGAATAAATGAATTAGTAGTAAAGTGCTTAGAAAAATGCCTGTCATAAAATAGTGACATCACACTATTTTGATGTCATTATAATGACAATGATTTGTAGCTTTATAGAAAGTCAGAATATATAATTATTCACATTTGAACACTTATTCCTTCTGTCTTTTCTCTCCTTTGGCAGATGAGATCATCAAGGAGAGTACAGACAAATTAAAAGAAGGTGCCACTAAGCACATTCAGGATTCAGGTGATCAGCAGGGCTCTCTCCAGCACATGGCTGACACTGTCCAGCTGCCTCATCTAGCAGAAGCTCCTGGAAAGCCAGAGGTTGCTGTTGGGCCTGAGGTACCCATGGCCTCCACAGAACAACAGAGCAGAAAGCCCTCCCCCAAGGGCACAAGCATTTTACCACCTATTGTATGACCCTTGTTGAGGGGGTGACCTGCTCCTTTCCACCAATTATTTGTAGTAGAGATAGTACTTATATTGTACAATACTTCACATTGTTGTTTTTAATGCATAAAGATTTGTTTAAAAAAAGTCAAAACTCTGTTCCCATGAATAGTTGGCATGATTTTTCTAATGAGGGAAATGATGGATGCCATTGTACCTGAACTTACTCTTTAGGGTGTGTGTGTGTGTGTGTGTGTGTGTGTGTGTGTGTGTTTGTGTATGTGTGTTCAGAGTAGTTTTAAATGCACAATATTATATCATTAATGGAACTCTAAATAAAAGATTTTTTTCTTGCTTATGACTTCTAACCTATGTCAATCAGAGTTCTTACTTGAAAATGATAGCTGAATTTGCTAGTACCATCTAAGGGCTCAGATTTCTTCATCTTTGTCCTCCTCATCCTTCTTTCTTCTGTTCCTTCTCTTTCTTCTACTGTCTTCTTATTCTATAGTTAGCTTCATTCTGATGACAAGTTCTGCCCAGAAGTTAAAATGACCTCCACCATCTAGCCAAAGGATGCAGTCTTCCTTGCTGACAGGAAACTCTGAGAAATGACTATACCTGAAATAATCACTGTGCTTGAGATTGGGGTCTTATGATTGGCTGGCCTGGGTCACAAGCCCACATGGTGACAGTGGTGAAAGCACCATGAACTACACAAAGAGAGTGTAAGCAGGATAAGGGACTGGGGGCGGATCAATAGCACAGTGCTTGCTTGGCATTTGGAAGCCCTGTAATTTATTCCCAGCACTGCAAAAAAAAAAAAGAAAAAAAAACAGCAAAACAAAAAACCTAGGGTATATTCACTATCACCACTCAAATTCAACCATGTCCATATTTATTTCCCTTTCTAGTTCTTACCTGCATAGATACATCATTTGTTTATAATCATAGGACAGATAAAATTTTACGTGAAAGTTATAATCATATGCATCATGGAAAATATACCTGACTTCATAGATTTTATGTTGCTACTTAAATATTCCATAAAAAATGAGACCAGATAATTTGAAGTCATGGATTTGGATGACATCATCCAGGGAAGATCAGAGTGAGAATAGCACAGGGGCAAGAGAAAGGCCTAGGAATGATAAATACATAAGGAATTGACAAAGTAGAGCCCCCAAGAGACCTAGAAATATAGGAAAATTAGAAGTCAAAGGAGGACAAAGTTTCTGGAAGGAAAAGGTCAAGAACATAAAATTCTAGAAAGGTCAAGATAAGAGTGTAAAATGTTTAAGTGGAGTGATATGGACATAATGTCAGAGCAATGCCATAGCTGGTAACTTGTTCTGGGTTCTATAGTCAAAAAACCATAGAACTGGCAATAGAACTGAGGTCCCAGGAACCTCATTTTTTTGGGGGGGATGTTAGCACCTGCTAGGCAAGTGCTCTACAACACTTGCCTAGCCACACCCCCATCCCGAGACCTTTTCTTGGCACTATAACGGGATAAAGTTGGAGACAGAGAACAGAGAGGCCAAGCCCTCAACAGAATTGCAATGATTTTGATTGGCTATTAGAAATCATTTTCTGATTTCAATGGTATAAAATGTAAAATGACTTCTTGACAAACTGTGGCTTATTTTAAGGGAATAGTTTAAAGGAGAAGAGCTGCAGGTTGTGGCAACATAGGCACACCTGAAGAATAGGCCCAGTGACACTTGCCTGATCATTTTTTACCTCTTGAGATATTTCTATCTTGTTGTCCCACTGGATCCCAAGGAAACCAAAATCATGGAGCCGTTTAATTGTAACTTTTTAGTTTTAAGTCCTTGCTCGCATGGACAGGAAAATCTGCAAAATCCAGTGACTCGCATAGATGATGTGTCTGATGTGAGTGGCATGAAGGTAGCGTGAGGCTCTGTGAGGATGGAGGGGAGCTTTGGGAGTAGGAAGAGGGAGGGCGGGGACAAGGGCTGCGCCCACTGCAGGAAGACGGGTGCAGTGGTGGGTACTGATCACAGGTTCACCATCAGCCAATCCAGCAGCTGCAGCCGTGTGACATTTCCCACTGCCTCGTCCAGCTGTCGCTCCTTTTCGTAGCGCAGCACTGACTGCAGAACCTCCCCCACGCTCCGTCCTTTGTCCACAGCAGCCGCCGAGAGCTGGAGTAGCTGTGGAAAGTACAGAAAACAGTGGTGGATGGGCAGAACATCCCAAGAGGACAGAAAGACTCTACCATGACTAGAACCAAAAAGGCCAGGGTGACTTTGAGAAACTGCTGTAGGGGTTACTCAAACCAGATATTGAGAAGACTATCTTAACTGCCAAGTTTGCTGGCCTGTTTGACAGAAGGATGTTGGTGCTCTCACCCTCAATTCAAATAAGAGGTGTTACCATCCACCGGTCCATCATACAGAAAGTGATTTCTCATCAAGACTCCAGTCTTACTATTTTTCCCTCTTAAGTTGGTGCTTCCATGGCTGTCTGTCAATAGTGTTCTTGCTCTCTTAAGAATTCTAAGGTTCCAAGCTCACCCTAAGATGAAAACAACAGCCCCCACTGTTGTCCTAGTGCAAATGATGGTGAGAGAAAATACCCAATGGGCAAATGTGGACACTGCCCACCATTCCTCATAGACCAAAGATCCCTAGAACAGTAGAGCAGGAAGGCACCTCAGAGATCAGTGTGACCACTGATCTCTGCCCAGAGAGGTGCAGAGACTTGTCAGAATGATGTGCTAGCAATTCACAGAGCCAATCCACATCCAGGTTTTTGAAGTCTAAGTTTAGTCCAAAATGAGAAAAACAGTTGAAGTCACCATTCTAATATGAACACAGTACATTGCCATTCATCTGAAATCCTAAAGGCAACAAACCATCTCAAGGAATGAGATTGTTGTTTTGCATATTCTGCTCTTGACTTTTTTTTTTATATATATAAGAAAGCATCAAAGTTGAAATAAGTGAGACAAAAATCATGATTTTTTTCTCAGGAGAAATTTCCATGACAGAAAACTCCTGAGACAAGTAGAAAGACAAAGTTCCAGCAAAGAAACTATAAAGTTTGAAAGGACTGAATGGAAATGTTAAAACTAAAAAATACACAAAACATCTAAAATGTATCGGATGGGTTAAACATCAGAACAAAGATGATAGAGTAAAGTTAGCAAGCTTGAAGGTTGATCAATAAAAAGGATCTATCCTGCTGAACAAGGTAAAAGATCGAAGACTGAAAAAAAAAAAAAGAGCTCAGGAACCTGTAGACATTACCGAAAGGTTTAACATTTACATCATTAGAATCCCAAAAGAGGATGTCAGGAGCTCAGGCCTATAATCCTAGTTACTGCGGAGGCAGAAATCAAGTGGATTGCCATTCAAAGCCAACCCAGGCAAATAGTTCATGAGACCCTATCTCGAAAATATCCAACACAAAAAAGGATGGGCGGAGTGGCTCAAGTGGTAGAGTGCCTACCTAGCAAGTGTGAGGCCCTGAGTATAAACCCCAGTACTGCGAAAATATAAAGACTGAAGGTATAAATCCCAAAGGAGAGGAGAAAACCATGGTGCAGAGAAAGTGCTTGAAGGAAGATTGGATGAAAGCTCCCACAATTTGTCAAAAGTTGTGAATAGAGTCAAGAAGCTCAGATACCTAAAATAAACAAACGCAAAGAAATTCACTCCATGATCTACCATAACCAAACTGCTGAAACTAAAGAAAAAGAAAAAAGTCTTGAAAGCAGCCAGAGAAAACCAGAGCATTATGTAAGGAGGAACGACATTTCACGTGATCGCAGGCTGTCCATCAGACAGCAGAGAGCACAGAAAGAAGTGGCCCATTTTCAAATGCTTACTGAAAAGAACTGCCAAACCAGAATTCTATGGCCAGCAGAAATATGCCTCAGGAAAGAAAGTCAAAGACGTTCTAAAATTAAAGAAGACTAGGAGAATTCTTTGCCAGAAAATAGGTTCTAGAAGAATTACTAAAGGAAGTTCTTCACAGAAGACAATGTCAGAAGGAAACTGGGAGCACCAGGAATGAATGAAGAGCAAGAGAAGCAATAGAACTCAGTAGAGATAGCAGACTGTCCCTGTAGTTCCTCTTAAACAATGTTATATGGTTGAAAACAAAAGTAACTGAGAGTTTTTCAATGTATGTAGATTAAACACAGAAGACAATTAGAATGGGGAGGCAAAGGGACCTACATAGTAATAATATTTCTACATTCTAGTTTAAGTGAAAAGTTATTGATTTTGCAGACTCTGGAACATTAAATATGTATATTGCAATCCCTAGAGAAAAAAACTATGCAAAGAGATATAGTCAAAAATACAACAGATCAATTCAAATGGAATGTTAGAAATGTTCAAGTAATACAAAAGTAGGTAGAAAAGGAAAAACAGAGAAGAAACAGAAATCAATAATCAATTAGTAGAGTTAAATCCAAATATAACACATTTAACAACCCACAGCTCATCATGTTTTTGGTCTATATGAATATGGATTTGACTCAATTGTATGCTGTCTATAAAAAACGCACTTTAAATACAATGATATAAGTAGGTTAAAAGTAAAACAAAAAATGTGCCATGGGAACACTAATCAAAGGAAAGCTTGAACCTCATGCTTATGGTCAGTTTTTTTTTTATAAGGGGGATGAATAAATCAGAGGGGTTATGTGCTCACTGGTCTTTTCAACGAATGGTATCAAGACATCTGCACAGCTCCATGCAAAAGAATAAATTTGGGCCCATTCCTCATATGTACTCAAAAGTTAATTCAAAATAGATCACAGACATGACAAACACTTAGAAGGAAACAAGGAGAAAATCTTCATGTCTTTGGGATAGCTCAGTGTTTCTAATTCTCAGCATTACTGACCTCATGGGACAGATAATTCTTTGTTGTGAAGCTGTCTGTGCACTGTGGGATGTTTAATAATATCTTTGCCTTTCTACTCACTAGACTCTTCCCTATTGTCAGAGCCAAAGATGTTTCCAGACATTGTCAAATATCCTCTGGGGGGAAAACTGCACCCCCATCAAGAACCACTGACTAGGCAAAGATTATTAAATAGGACATCAAGAGCTCAGAGCAAAAAAAGCAAATATATGATAGATGACTTCATCTTTGAAACCTTTCTTTTAAAAAGACTCCATTAAGTTAAAAAGATAAGTCAGAAATGGAGAGAAATTGTTCGTAAATTATATAACTGATAAAGGACTTGTTTCAGAGTATATATAAATCTCTTGCAATCCCAAACAGAAAGAAAAAATACAACCAAAATATGGGCAAAAGATTTGCATAAACATTTCACTAAAGAATATATAAATGAGTATATAACAGTATGTTCAATATCCTTAGTCATTTTAATTTATGTATGTCAAATTAATTCATGAGATTCCACTATAATGCATAATACTACTGTAATACAAAAATACACACTACTCAAGTGACATTCAAGTTTCTTTCCCAAGCATTCAGCACATAGAGATACACCTGAACCTGTGAAAATTTATGTATATTCAAGGATATACAGCAATACTAACAGTAGAAAATATTGGCAACTACAATGTCTCTACATAGAGGAGTGGTTAAATAAATTACAAAACCTTCAAATATTAACATTAAAAAGAATGTGGCAGCCAGGTATGGTATAGTCCCAGCACTAGGAGGCTGAGATAGGAGATAGGAGGATCTGGAATTCAAGGCCAACCTGAGCTACATAGTGATTTATTCTCTCTCTGTCTCTGTCTCTCTCTCTCTCTCTCTCTCTCTCCCTCTCCCTCTCTCTCTCTCTCTCTCTCTCTCTCTCTCTCTCTCTATATATATATATATATATATATATATATATACATACATATACACATGCTATGTATATTTGTAACCATTTGTGACTTTTAAAAAAGATATCCCCTGTATATAATATGCATTACTTGTGTATGCATAGGTACTCCTGGAAGAAGAAATAAGAAATTTATCAAAGTAGTTTTCCTCCAGCAGGGCAATGGGATGAGGGATATGAGTGAGGAAAATACCCTTAGTTTTCACCATTGGATTTTGAACTTACACACACACTATTAAAAAAATTACTTAAAAGAATTGTGCCCACAATTCAATCACCCTCATTAGCATTAGAATATCTCTATACATTAATATATCTCCTCAAAAAATCATGTTAGGTAGTTTCCTTGGTGTATGTGATTCAACTGCTCTTAAATATATAGAAGTTTGAGAGCTGGAGATGTAGCTTGGTGGATGAGTTTTTGTCTAGTATGGATGAAGCTCTGGGTTCGATCCACAGTACCACACAGAAAAAATATAGGAGTTTGTACTGCTGGTCATTCTTTTCACTCTCTTCCTTCAATGAGATGTCTTTAAAGTGGACAAAAGTGTGTGTGTGTGTGTGTGTGTGTGTGTGTGTAGGGAGGGCCCACAAGTCTATTGTTCTCATTTTAGACAAATATATTATTGACATTCTAATTCAAAATCATCCACAACCAGAATTATTATGTATTTTACATATAGTGATTTGACTTAAAAGATGGCTGCAGAACAAATTCTTTTCCACACATTATATACATGACAACTATGCTCAGTTTTAGATTTTTTTCATTAATCTGAAGTTTTTGCTAGAATATAGCCCTGCTTCCCTCCCCTGTTGCTAATTGCCATATGTGAAAATAGTTGTCTCCTTTACAGACTGAACACCTTGTAAGAAGACAGAGTCACCAAAGACCCTAAGGAACAGATCCAGTATTGGAGTGTCATGTTCTGCCCTCCAGCTCATTTTAATATGCACTCCTATCACCTGGATATATTGCTAAAATGAAGATTCTACTCCAGTACCTCTGGAATAAGACCTGAGATTCTGCACCTCCTACAAGCTCCCAGAGAGTGCCAGTGCTGGTAATCCATAGATGATTCTTCGAGTAGCAACTGTACTCTTGCTAAGACTCAAAGTGCTGCGAAGAAGACTTAAGTCAAGACCAAACAGTTTCTTGTTTAGGCTTGATGTAACCTAATCAGGTTCTATATACTCCTGTTTTTTCACTCACTTGATTAGCCCTCAGCTTCAGAGGGCTAATTTATTAAAAAGAGAAAGCCTCTTTCTCTACATCTTCTGGTTTTTGAGGACACTTTCTTTCTTTTGGGAGTCAGGGGATGGAATCCAGGGCCACGCTAAGCGCATGTTATACCTAGAGCCCTAGGATGAATTTTCTAAGTAATCCCGGTCCCTTTTGTCACCGCTTACTACTTAATTGATAACAGCCATAGCTCCACTTTTCTCAATTAAAAGGAGATATTCAAGTGCACATGCACTCTCTGCAGACTCAGACTGCCCCTTGGGTAAGCAGCTCTAAGGTTTGCTTTAGCAACAGCTTCGAATGCATACTTACTTTTATCATAAGAACAGTGACAGGTTGATTTCCCTTCTGCCTTGTTCTTTACTCTTACTTCTCAACTGATTCAGAACTCAGGGTGGTAGAAAGAAAAGCATTGTTTATTGAATCCCTCTACATCTTCAACACCCCTAGACAACAAGCTCAGAGTAGTAGCAGGCCTGAAAATGCCATAAATCCAAACCTGTCTGCCTTCTCAACCCATCTTCAGGGATACTTTGCATGAGCAATGTCTCATTTTGGGGGCAATTCTACCCTATCCAAAGGTCAGCCTACAACCCAGACCTTCAGCTGATTCCTTCGCCAAGTCTCTTAGAGGTTCTTCATATGCGCATTGGAAACAGAGAAAAATATAATTTCTGCCCCCGCTTTGATATGTCTCTGATTGGGCAAAATCCTAATTTTACTTTATCCATCGTCTCTGCTAAGAGGCAAGATCTTCAAATGCTTACTGTTCCCATTCCACCCTTTGTTAATGGGCATATTCACAAAAGCAAACAAATAATAAGATCCAAGTTAATCCTTAGCAAATCTTTCCCAGATCCTCTGACCTTTCTTCCTTACCTTCTCCTGGATCCCTTCATCATCACCGGCAAAGTACAAAATAGGAACATTGAGCTCAGAGGCAGCTACCCATTGAAGAACAGCTTGGAGTTGTTTGTTCTGCACTGTGTCAGCGAGGTTATGGTTGCTGACAATCACCTTGGGGATTGTACATCCTTCAAGTGGGTGTCCAGATGTAGCCCTCAGTTCATTATGGATGGCTTGATAGGCGTTCTGCAGGAGAGCTTCCGCTGTCCCAGTGCCCTTGACTGGTAAGCACTCAAATAAACTATCTGGGTAGGGTGAGTTCGGCCTGCTGGCATCCCCAGATTTATCATCTCCCAGCTCTGCCAAGGGAGAGTCACAGGACTTGGCAATAATGAGGCACAACTTCATCACTGAGTCCATCAGATGTTCCACCATCTGCCCATCCATGTGGCCATCTAACTGGTTGGCAACCATCTTGGTCAGCCCAGAGAAGGTACCACCAGTCTCCTCACAATCAGAGAGTTTGGTAGGAGAAGGGGTCATGGGTCTTTCACAATGGTTGACTTCTTCTTCCTTAACTGGCTGTTCAGGCACTTTGGGTTGACAGCCACGGTCACTCTTGAAAATAGTCTCACCAAGTAAGTTCCGTATAAAATTGAAGATAACACTCATTAGATCCTTCTTTTCTGTTTGTTCTTGCTCACATCCTTTTAGAGGAGACTTGATTCTGGACCCATCAGGAGCTAGAGGATTCGTGTTGGTAGGAAGGTTGGTGCAGCTAGCAGCTTTGAGGAAGCTCTGGGCATCCATTCTTCCTCCCTGGGCCAGGTGGTATTGAATCAGAAGTAGGGCAGATACGATCAGGTCCTTGGCCCAGGAGTCTGAATCACACATAAAATTCTCAAGTTTTTCTGGGCATTGCAAAGGAGGACTGTAGTTGCAATCATCCTGACATTCAAAGGAAATGTCTGGCTCAGGGTTACACTGTTTGTGGGAAGCTGCAAATGTTGCATGTTCCATCCCTGGAGGTTTGCATTCTTTCTGTTGATTTTTATGCCACATGGTCAGTCCCTCTTTGATGATGTGTTCACCCAGGGTTTCGGCACAAGTTTTATCCTTCTCTGGCTTGCATGCAGAATACAACTTTTCTCTCATCTTAGCTTCAGATTTCATTGTAAAGTTCATGTTTCGACAGTTAGGGTCACCTCTTCCTTTCATGGAGATGAGGGAATAACTCTCACTCTTGTCCTTGGTTTTCCTGATATTCTCAGGGAATTTCTTGCAAAACATCACATTGTATAGCTTACCCAGCATGGCATCCATGATATCTGTGGCCTTTTGGCTTCCCTGAGAGAAGAGACTTCTTTTCACAGCTGAGACAAAGTCTGTATCAGTCATGAGGGTCCCTGTGACATTGTGGAGGTTCTTCATGAAGGAGTCTATGAGATCCGAGACGACCTCTTTTGCATGCTTGATCAGTACCTGCTTCAGCAGGATGGTGGCAATGGTTGTGTCTTTCACTTGGATCCTCAGTGTTTTCATGATGGAGACCATCATATCAGATACTACACTATTGGCATAGGTCATGATCCCTTGACTAACGGAGGAAGAAAAGTCATCAGGCCTTTCTTGTCCCCTGAACAGCCTTCTGTCTACAGGTAAGGATCTTCCACCTTCTTTGGCATCTCCTACATTCTGAGATTCAAACACTTCCTTATAGAAGAACGACTTTTTAGAAGAAGGCTTATCATCTGGGCCCTTGTTTTCCTTGATCTTCAAAGTGGTCTTGTATTTAAACTTTGGGGGACTCCGTGATGATCCAAAGGCTCTGTCTCCAGAGCCAGGAGCCTTGTCTGAGGCCACATTCTTGGGACATGCAGAGACAGTCTCATTCACCAGCTCTGAGGCTACCGTACTCAGGCTTTTTGGAGGTGCAGGTTCATCCCCCATATATAGTGAATGATGGATACATTTATGTTCAGAGCCATCAATCTTCTCATTGATCTCCTTGCGGGCCATGGCTATGACTAGGTTTGTGAGGCGGTTGGCATAGAAGGAAACTTCATCCACTGAACTTGTGTTACCAGCTTGGGCACTGGGGCCCTGAGGAGTCTCTTTGTGAGTCATCTCAAAATGCAATCTTCCTGGACTACCCTTGGCAGTGGTGTTATAATAGTCTACTGCAAAACCCTTGCGTACATCTCCTGGGTTGACCATTTCCTCACTAAATGGTAATTCTCCGGGCTTGAACCTAAGGTCTTGGAACCCTGCTGTGCTTTTTTCCAGGTCTCTGCGGAGCCAGCTGAGCACTCGGACAGGATCTGTTGAATCATCCTTAAAAATAGATAAGATTTCATCTGACTACAACAAAGTAAAGAAATGGGATATTCAGAACAACCTTAAAGGCTAGTTATAAAAATGGTCTCCCTCAAAAACTGGCTCTACCATCACAATAAAAGCAACCTACATTTATTGAATGCTTACTATGTATCAGGTCTGTTTTAAGTATTTTTAAGCTACCATTTCATTTACTATTATTCTCACAACAAACCCAAATGTTAGTTCTCTTGTAATCCTCAGTTTACAAGGGAGGACAATGAGGAAGTGAAAGGTTAAGCTGCTCATTTGAAATTACACAGCTAACCATTGATAAATAGGAATTCCAACCTAAGCAGTGTGACTCCAGAGTCTGTGTTTTCAGCTATCCACATTATATTGCTTCTAACAACATTTATGCTTAAGATCTGAGAGTCATCAGCCCCTTAGAAAAGTTAGCATTTGAACTGAACTGATATGAATTTGCTGTTCTCTATGGTTTACCTTTTTATTCAGCTCTCTTATTACAAGTATATTTTTTTAAAAGAGAAGATTCAAGGAAAATTGTGTATAATTAATCACTTTGCCAGACTACACAAGCACAATCTTGATCTACTAAGTGGCTGCCAATAGACTAGTGAACATCAGTCAAGTTAACAGTTTGATTTATAATGGAGGAGCTAATACCTATGGACAGTTAGTTTTATGAATACACTCTTTGATGGAGAGTAGCTGTGATAAGCACCTGCATATATTTGTAAGTTTGCATACTGCGATCTATATCTGGAAAAACTGTTTGAATGTGGGATAAAATAATATAAGTGACAGAGTCCTATTTACTATCAAATGTAAAGGATCCTTGTAGTTCCCACGTCTATCTAGCAATGACTGTCAGTTTTGTCCATCTTTAAAAAATAATTTGGTATTTTTATTACTGAATTACTAGTATCTCACCAAATTAATACTCTGTAACTAAATTAAACCTTACTAGCTACTATTTGTTAAATACTAGTAATGTTTGCCTGTCACTGTGCTAAGTACTTTACACATTATTTCATTTCATTCTCATCTCATCCTGTAAGGTAGGTTTTACTCTTCCAGTTCCTCAGGTAAGAGAATAAGAGGCTTAGAGAAGGTGGATAGTTTGACTAACATTGATGGGGATCCTATTCGAATCCAGCTCTGCTTCCAGAACTGGTGGTCTCACAGCACCCTGTGGGTGTTGATGACTTGGAGAGGCCAGAGCAGCAGCTATGCTTCCTCTACTGAGCTGGTTTAAGCTTCTCCTCACCATGCCTGGATTAAGAGCAGGTGCTTGGTTTAAAATTGTCTCAAACGGTTCTCCTAATTTGAGAAACAGCTATGATGGGAATAATATTGTGTTTCAGGAGAAAACTACACATTGTCTATGTGGAAAAATTATCCAATTCTCATTCTCTTGGGCACTTTACAATTCTGCAAACTGTAGATAACTGATGGTATAGCAATGTAGCTCTTGTCCACACACGTGTAGTGGGAGCTTTGACTGCTTCCATCTCCCACTATGGAAAAGGTCAGTGTAGCCACCCTGCACAAATTTGCTTCAATATTCCTGACCTGTATGTGTCTTCTGAACCTCACCAGTTCTTTGTTAATGAGTTAAACATCTGGCTTTAACATGTGCTCATTTTTATAAACACCTAAGTAATTCTTATATTCAGAGAATATTATCTTTTGATAGTTTTGGAAGTCTTCCACCAAGATGTACGGCAGATTCACTCAATGGAGGTGTCATTTTGAGTGGCACACTTCTCTTCTTGGCTCCCAGAGTGGCAACAGAACCTTGAAGAGGTTGTTTTTTTTTTTTTTTTTTTTGTGGCAGTGGGGTTTGAATTCAGGGCCTCACACTTAGTAGGCAGGTGCTCATACCATGTGAGCCACTCTGCCAGCCTTTTTTTTTTTGTGATGGGTTTTTTTCAAGGTAAGGTCTTGGGAACTATTTGCCTGGGCTGGCTTTGAATTGCAATCCTCCTGATCTCTGCCTCCTGGGTAGCTAAGATTACAGGCGTGAGCCACCAGCACCTGGTTATTTTCCTACTTTTAATTTTCCTCTCTACTAATTTTGTTTTGGTCCTTTTAAGGTCAATAATTGGTGGCTGTTAGGAATTGAGAATTTGGCTTATTACCTGACCATCTGGTGATCAATGGATTAATGATTTATGGATCTATCCTCTTTTGGGTGAGAGACAACAGAAACTCTGTTTTGCTAGTATTTTTTTCCATTTTAAGATCAAATCAATTTAAGAATTTTGTGCCAACTCAGAAGAAGTGTTCTTTTATATTAGGACAGATGAGTTTTGTGTTTCTGTGTTTACATTTGACTCTTGGCTGAAAGTTTAGAAATGAAGCTATAAACTACCTCTACCACTGTCTGTAATTCAGAAAAAGTTGTATGTAGGTAATAGTAATATTGTTCTACCTCCAATATAACCTACAGATTATTAATTTTATTATTTATTATTTATTTATGTACAAATACACACACATACACACACCTATCTACCTATCTATCGATCTAATTTGAATGTTCTTGAGATTCCTCCCTCCTAAAAAATTAGGGAAATTGAACTTCTAATATTTTACATGTGCTAGAGGAAAAAGTATTTTTTTTTGGCAGGACTGGGGCTTGAACTCAGGGCCTTGTGCTTGTCAGGCAGGCACTCTACCACTTGAGGCGCTCTAAGACGTATTTTTATAGCGCCTAACTCAGAAACATTTTAAGGAACCCAAGTTCACATAAGTTAAGTAAGTTGTGCAAACAAGATTAGGTTGATAATTTTGGAATAATAAACACAGATATGTCTTTTCTAATTTATCAATACTAAGTACAATACATGTTTTTGCTTTACTTTGATATTTTCCTCATAAACTTACATGTGTATAGATCCAATAATTCAGCATTATTTCTTGATGTTTAAGATTATGAAAAGTGTAAATGTTATTTTGGCAATTATTTTTGTAGTATGTCAACTAGATGATAACTTTCTAACACTTTACATAATTTAAATCACCAGATTGGTATTCAATTAAGTTAGTTACTGAATATTCATCAGATACATATTTTTTCTTTTCTTTTTTTTTTTGGCAATACTGGGGTTTGAACTCAGGGCCTACATCTTGAGCCACTCCACCAGCCCTTTATTGTTATGGGTTTTTCAAGATAGGGTCTTGTGAACTATTTGCCCGGGCTGGTTTTGAGCCCCAATCCTCCTGATCTCTGCCTCCTGCGTAGCCAGGATTACAGGAGTGAGCCACCGGCACCCAGCTCATCAGATACATTTCTAATAAGATAGAATACTGAAATTATTACCCATGAAACTTACATGCTTTTGCTTCTTGCTTTTATTACTATGGAGAGGCTATATCTTTGAGTCTACTAATGAAGGGGCTCATTTTTGCACTTGAAGACATTGTAGGATGTGTGGGGAGGGCTATAGGATGTTGGCTTTTATGTGTTCCTTTGCTTGCATTTTAGCTGGTATGCGACACTTCATTTATACATCACTACTTCTCATTCAGTTTTCCTTATGAAATAGAATAGGAAGTGCTTTGGATAGAAGTTGTGATTAAAATAAGTGGCTGAGACTATCATTAGGAACAATAGTTTTAGAGAATTATATACACAACAGGCCCATTTTTTAGGGATGCAGGTAAAACCTGATGCAGACAGTTTCTCTGGCTTGAGTTCCTAGAGTCAGGATAGGAAATAATAGAGGCCTTTAGATGTCCAATCTGAGATTCTTCACTAAAACTTCCTGGAAGGTAAACATCATCAGGCCAAATCTGATGAGACCACCTTATTTTGTGATCAAGGAAATTCTTAGAGATGATTTTTTAATTAAAATCTAGGAGACTTCTGGTGAAAAAAAATGTGCTTCAACAAAAAACTATGTGTTTTCTATAATCTGTGTCGAATAGACTAAGTATTTTCTACCGTATTCCACATTACCTGATTCTAATTCTGTGGGAGCTATTTTACAACTCTGTAAGCTGAGGATATTTGATAGCAACACAAAATAATTCTTACTTACAGACATACTTACATACTTACTTACAGATTTACTTCTGCCCAGTAGAGGTTCAGTTAAGTCCCCTTCCCTACTGTGGAAAAGGCCACAGTCTACTATTCATTTGAATATTCTTGATCTATGTATGCATATATGTAAATATCACGTCAAAACCTTCTATACAACTATTATAGACTAATAAAAATATTTTTGAAAAGTAAATAAATACCCTTAATTGTAGAAATCATACTTCAAACTTAAAATTGTAATAAAATTTGTTGTAATTTATGAGAACAAAAACTCCCTGATCTATAAATATCTTTTGCAATTCTCCTTTGACCTCTCCAATTTCCTAATTAATGAGTTAAATCCTAGATACATATTCATTTTTGTAGTTGTATGAGAGTTTTCGTTCTACCCTTTTTGAAAGTTATCTTTAATACTATTAGTAATTTACAGATGAACACACAAATCTACAAATACCCATGTTTCCATGCTTGGGCTGTTCCACATGTAGTAAAGTTTAATTATAATGCAGATGTGGAGTTTATTCTTTTCACATAACATTAAACAACAAACCTACAGCATAGCATAGAGCTTTATAATGGTTAGCTTTTTGTTTCTATAGATTTTTATTGTCTTATTTTTTTAAATCTAAAATGTGTATATTCTATATCCATTATTCCACCAGAAATTTTCAGAAGTGGTTGGTCAAGCCACAGTGATGGGCAGAAAGGCTAAGTACCCACATTTCCTCTTCTATCAATACATTCCACAAACCTTCAATTGGCCTTTTCAACCTTCCTCCACTTTCACAACAGCATCCTCAGCATTGAGGGAAGCAGGATGCCAAAGCAAATTTTCATATCCATGAAGGAGAATATAAAAAGGTCAGGGGGTTTAATTTTTCTCTGCTCAGTCATCTTCTGCTTCGGCAGCTTAATTTAAGTCAACTGTAAACTTCTCTGTTCTATTTTTCTTCCCCATATTTAACTCAATTAAACATAGCTCATAAAATTTTCTCTGACCACCTCCCAGTTTTGAAATGATCCATTCTTTAAACAGCTACAGCAATTATTGTCCAGAAAAATCCACTTGGCAAATAATCATGAACTGAATATATTAATATCCAGCAGGTATTTAGAACTTTTAAGTTACATTTATATTTTCACATGAACACTAAGGTTCATGGGGCAAAAATTGTTTTTGTTTTAATCTGAGTGCTGCTCACTTAGTGAAAAATCAAGAAATTTTTAGGCATTTGACTTAACATTGAAACTTCCCTGCCTTTTGTTTTTCTACATGAAAGGGCAGATAACAAAGAAAAGGTCAAACCGAAGAAGTTTGGGTTGGCCTCTAAAGCAATTCTATATTTATTACCTGTATGTCTTTATGTCTTATGTAGATTTGTCAGTTTCTCTTTTAGGCTTTTATGAATAAGAATATAGATTTTGGACAAATAGAAGATGAGTCATCTAAGATTACATGAAAATAGGTGTTTGATAAATGTTAGCAATAAGGGTAAGGTTATAATACTGATTGCATTAAATTGTGAGATCCTTAATAGGAGAGAATTATGTCTAATTTATTTCTGTGTCTCTAATTGTAACACCCAGCAGAGTGTCTGGGGCTGGATGGTACCTTAAAACATTTGTCTTTGGGGGGGTTGGTTTTGTCAACAGAGGGCGCTAGAATGGCACTGCATGGTCACAGCAGGAGGAAAGGGCTTCTTTCTTTCTGGTCCATCTTCATCCTCAGGCTAACATCCTGTGGCAGCCACTCTTCCAAAGAAACTGAAAGAAGCCTTACTTAAGGGGACAGGACCTCTCATGAGTTCTTAGTTTCTTCCTTGTTTACTCTCTTTCTCAGCCTGCTCTCTGCATTTGTTATTTCTGGAACTCTTAAAGTCCTTCCTTATATCTTTTACTAGTTAACTACCTTTTGCTGGTCAATAATTTTTACATATTAAATTACTAGTGTGGTTTCCATTTAATAACTGGGCCCTGACTGGTACAGTCCCTGACACTAAGTAAACACTTAAAAAAGGTTTGTTGAATGGTAAAGGCAGAATGACAAAGTTAATGACATGATAGTTTATAGCTCTCAGAATTTTAAGGCATCCTATGCTTCAGAAAATACTTTCTTTAGCCTTGGAGACATTTCCAATCTGTATCTATTTGAAAACTAGGCAAACTTTTATTGTAATATATACTTTTTTCATTAGTTATAGCATATTTCTCTTACTAAATACCATATGCATAGCATTAAAAAAAAGCCTATAGAATTTGTAAAGAAAAATTGGGAAATTTTTGTTCTATAGGAGCTCACTGTTTTTCTTACCAAGAATCCCACCTTCAAAGGTAAGAGGTATTCTTGTTCGTATAGTGGTGAAAACAATCTTTAAAAAGTAAGAGGTGGGCGGTAGCAGTGGAGAGAAGAAGGCTACGCTTGGTAACATTCCACATGTCTAAAACCTAGTGCCTGTGAAGAGGTTGACCCTTACCATTTTCCACTCCTGTGGTTGGCTGTCTCCGGGTGAATAGACATCAACTTTGCATACTCCATTTTGGCTTTGTAACCAATCAACCTTATCTGCCATCTGGAAGTACAAAAAGAAAAGTCATCGAAAGGATAGGTGACATGAAAGTAAAGAGAAATAAGGCAAGCAACTGAGGTGTAGGAAGTAGGGGATCATATTTTCAACAAGACCTGTCTCAAAAGACACGTTCAGACTTTTAGCTTTGAGTTATCTTCATCCTCAGTTCTCAACTACCAGGTGGTTTCTCAAACATATTTGTATCTCTAGTGATGCAGCTGGTGCCTGGCATATGCTACAGGTGCTTAATCTATATTTTTAAATGAATGAATCTAGGTAGAAATGTCCTTCTCTTTGTTTTCCAACCCTCTCCCTTGGATTTTCAGTAGACACTCAAAACTTAAAGTGACCAAAGTAGAATTAACTTACTTTTCCCTTGCCTGTTCTTTATATACCAACTTATGTCTAAGTAATAGATCCCTCATTTCATTAATTTCTAAAGCACTAATTTGCTCACACTAGTGGTGAGTCTGACAGCTCTGTTCTTAAGACCAGTCTCTTCCCAACTAGCCAGGGATCCTGGGAGGATTCTGAATCTCCATGGTTTAGTTAAATTTCTGAATGACAGAAGAGACGTCATATGCCCTATCCAGGAACTATGGATGCAGTGATGACCTTGCTGATGTGGAATTCATTCCCAGTCCTCTCAACATTTTGTTCTACTCCCTAATCTCAGTAATGGCACCACCATCTCCCTGGTCTTCTGAGCCAGAAAGCTGAGATTCATTTGGTTGTCTTCTTCTACCCCAACCACCACCCCAGCTACTAATTCTCTCTTCTTCCATCTGTGCTTAATCTATATTTTCCACTTTTCTTAAAAACGAATTGCTCATACTTGCTGCTTCCATTGCCTCACCTCACAATGAGTATCATAGTCCTTGTTCCTTATATTCTTTGTGGCTTCCAGAACATTGCATCTTATTTGGCATTCATTAAAAACATGGACAACTAATACAATGACTTATATTATCCACTGAACTGATAATCTAAAGGTAAGAAAATCTTCTTGGTGTCCCTTTCCTTCTATGCTAGACCTTTAGTTCTAGGCTTCTACACTGAAATTTCCTTTCCAAATTTTGCTCAAATCTATACTTCTCATAAGAAAGATAGAATAAGATGTTCAATTTGTCCTCTCCAGTGTCCTGGTTATCTCTGTAAAATAAACACATCTTTAAATTTTGATTCCAACAGAAAATTTGTTTAAAATTCTGTTAAAATTAAAGCCTAACAGCTTGTCTTAAGCTGAAATTATGTTTTATAAACAATTGCTTGAAATAAGTGAAACATGATTGGGGGGTACACATTGGTTAACTGGAAGTATTTGTTTTAAAGGATTTTGTTGTGGTGGGAGTAGACATCCTCCCTCCACTAAGGACAAATTAAACAAATGCTTAAACATATATAAGTGGATCTATAATTTTTGTTATGAGGGATATTATGGATAATTATTAAAAAGAAAATTAAGATTGCTCAAGAACTGCTTGGTCTTTGCTCCTACAAAGATTTATACCATTTTCACACCCTCACTGAGCTAGGAAAAGTTTTTTTTATTATTCTTCCAGATAATATAATACAGTTGATTCCTTGGGTAAACAATGGGCTCCTCACGCTGATTGACCCTTAGAATCACTCAGAGAACTATAAAAAGATATTGAATCTACCAGGGAATGATGGCACATGCTTGTAATCCCAACACTAAAGAGGCCGAGTGGGAGGATCACAAGGTTGAGGCCAGTCTGGGATACACAGAACGATCCCATCTCATTAAACAAGCAAACAATCAAACAACAATAAAAAAAAACCAAAAAGATATTGAATCTGACTTAACACTTTCAGAAAATCTTATTTCAATTCACTTTTAGATTGGGGTAATTTAGGCATTTCAGCTATATACAATTAAAGCAGATGAAAACTGAGTTTAAAAAGGAAATGATGTGATCACTTACTCTTACTGAGGATGGGTTTTGAGACATGAAGAAAGCTCTTGATTAATGTGATGTCTTCACTATCCCCAAGTCTACCCAGCCCTCCTGCCATGTAACATACAAGGAATCTGCAATGGAAAGACACAAATAAAAGTGATGGATTTTACAGATGAAACATTTCTCTTATTACCAAATAATGACGCTGACTTGTTGCTTTTCATGGGTACACACAAATGACATTCACATTTCATAGAGGAAGTCTGAATCTTATTCTTGATGCATTCTGATAGTTCACAGATGACAAAGGTTCTACTTTATTACCAGCAATTTCTCAAATGACTACTGTTATCCCTCACCTTCAAATCATTGGTGCATAGGCTTATTGAACAATGCAAATGCTGATACATTTTTAGCCTAATCTCTAACATGTTGAGTTGGAAGGTGGAAGAAAAACAGCTGAGATGGAGAATTAGTACTCTGAATTCATGGATCTTAAAATATTATGTAAGTATTCCTTTGAGGACTTGAGAAAAACATACATACTCATCCTCATATTATAAATGGAGTTCATAGCTAATATCTTTTAGGTCAATTAACTGCCTTCTACTATCTCTACTGAGACATCTTGGAATATCCATCCATTTAGCACCTTTCCAGCAATAATGTCTCTCTAACTCTATCCTTACTTCAGAGTCCAGGTCAAGTTATCCATCCATGAAATATTTCCTAAATACCTACTTGAATGTCCTTGCCTTTCCATTTTATTTTGTTTCAACTTTTACATCCTAGCTAGTATTTTCACTGATCACATATTTTTAAATCTCCTTCATTAGATGGCTTCATGAGGGTAGAGGCATTTTCTTGCTTATCTTGATATCCCTCATCATAGCTAGCACCTTAAAGCTGGTGCTTATAATCATCTGCTGAAAGAAGATAATTAATTCTACATTCACATAGAATTCTGCCCATTTCTAATGCCAGTTAGCTCAATTTTCTCTTTCTTAATTTGGAGAATCTGAGAACAAAAAAGAAACAATTTGTTCAAACTCATTATGGTGGTAAACCATATATTCAGATATTCTTGAAGTTGACTCTTTTTTGGGATAAGTTCACCCCAGAGACTTAATGTTTTATTATCAGAATTTCCCTATTCCAGTAATACAGATAAGTCCACACCCCCAAAATGGTCTTGTGTACTCTTTTCACAGAAAGTATACACTTAATTTACATATATCCTAATGTATTTATTCTATTTTCTATGTCTGCTCTGTGTTTATCTTTATCTGCATCCATGAAGCTTGTGCTAGACTGTTAAAACTCCCTAAATTGTTCTGATGGTACCACACAAAAAAGATGTACTTAAATACTTTTGATGATAATGATCTCTGGACTTCCAAATCAACGTACATAATTTCCATAATGAAGTAGAAAAGAAGAAAGGAAGATCTAAAGAGGTAAATGGAATGAATGAAAGGATTCCTAAATTTCTTCTTAGGTTCAAAAGTTGGTAATAATATGTTGGACTTAGTTTTATCTATTACATTGATAAAGAGAGAAAACTGTCTATATGTAAAATGTAAGGTCCATTTTAAAAGTAAATGGACCTTGGAAACTATTTTATTCTAACAGTCTCATCTTGCAGGTTAGGACACTGAGGCCGAGAATATCAGAACCAGTGGCTGCATTCCTTTAGACATTCTAGCTCTGCAGTTTAACAGCCTAGGTGCTGTGAAATGTTTTTATGGTGGATATATGGATTCTGTGGCCATAGAAGGATTGACCTGAAATGTTCCTCAAAAATGCCAATGTGATTATTACCTCAAATTGAGGGGTGAAAATCATGAATGCCACTGGCAGGGCATAAGCAACACAGGGGTGTGGCTATGGTTGCCATAACCAAGGCCACAGCTCCAACTGAAGACACTTTTTTATCTTAAGCAAGAGGTTCTTATTTACTCAAAGTTACTAAACTCACAAAAAATTAAATCATAGGCAGTATAAATGAAGCTCTTGCAGGGTCACGACGTGTCTGACAAAGATCTGAGGTTTATTTCACCAGGTTGTCCCCTCCATTTTTATTAGGATGTATTAGGCATGCAGGGGATTCATTGCAACAATTCTGACAATTCTGAATGCGCCTACGTTGTACAGTGGTTACAGCACTTCTCCCTCCCCCACTTTGATCTCCTTCCTGCCCCGCTTAAATCAGCCGCAAGAGGTTTCATTGTTCTATTTTGTATATGTCTATGAAGTCCACTAACCAATCATTCCCTCACCCTCATCTCCATTCACCTTCCTCCTCCCTCAAGCACCCTACACGTAGTATATGTATTTTATGGTCCTGTATTTTGTTGTTAATTCCTAAGTCAATGTTCAAAGGGGTTTCTTGATGTATCCTCACTGGGATTGTACATTGGTCAGCTCAAATCTTTACATTACTCTCCATTACCTCTTCCCTCCCATTCCCCATTATTCAACAGTTTTCAATACATATTGCTATGTCGTCTACCTGCACAGATGTCATGTATTTTGATATTGTCGATGCTCTATCATTCCCTTTTCCTTTCCCTCCTCCCCTGAGTTCCATAGAGTAGTTCCACTATTACAACATTCAACCAGGTTTTATTACTAGTTTTAAAGGGGATGAATATATTTATTATTTCTATCTTCTGTTTCCTCTTCTCTTTCTGGAAATGTCTGATACATTGTAGAAGCCCAATAAATTTGGTTGTTTCTAAAATTGGAGCTTCAGCTGATTTTAAGAAAAGATTAGAAGTATGTGTTTCCTTCTCACCATTCATTGTTAAACCTTTCGGTGAAATTCCTTTGTTTTTCATAGCTTCTTCCTCTAGAGCCCTGCTAGTACAGCACTTTCTCTACATAGTTACAAATGTCCTGGCCATTGCCTAGTACTCTGTTGTCTAACCAAGGCTTTGGAAATAGCAATGAGAGGACTAATGTGGATGATGATTAGACTAAGAGTTGTATCGATGTGATTTTATTCTTAGAACACTGGAAAGAAAAGAATTTTGAGAGTAGCCAAGGAAGATGAAAACTCAATAGGTAGGCAAGCTTCTACTCTCCATATCACCTTGGGAAGTGGAGAGTAAGACCACATACTCCTGAAAGGATGGTCAGGAATCTGTAACAAAATGAAAACTTTAGCAGTAAAGAGGGGCTTGGCTGCAATGCTACTAAGAAAGACTAATTTATTTCCAGAGAAGTCAAAGGTAATTTAAAATTGTCTGGGCTGAGCTGGACATAAAGTTGTCTATCACTTGTCACTGAATTCTCACTTTCAACCACAGAGGAACAGAAAATGAGCTATTTTACCAATCCAGTGGGATTTCATACCTCTGTAGCTCAGGAATAGTGAACCATAGAAGACTCCAGAACACACTTTTAAAATCAATGAAGATGCTGGGATGTTCTTGCTCAGCTCAAGATCTTGTTTCCTCCCCCAGCCTTCCATGCACTCCCCCCTTGTTGGGACTGGGGAGTGACATCAGAATTGCAACTGGTGACACCACCATCTCTATAGCAACTCTCTAAGGCTACTAGAAGTGAGTGGCCAAGGGGCAAGAGGAGGGGCTCTGATGTTCAGTTTGGAAGGCCTTGGCTTGTTTTCTTGATTAATTCTCTCCTTTGAGTGTTTAATCCAGGTTGGGGAACATGGGAGGGGAAAGTTTGCCAGTGGATTCCACTTAAAACAGCAGAGCAAATATTAGTACCAATGAATCCAGATGGCTGCAGGGAAGAAGAAAAGAATTAGTAGTTTACTAATTTTTTCTTGCAAAGCCCATGAGATTACTTCATTTTGTTGGTTCCAGCATGGACTCTTTTATAAGCATCTTACCTTTTGTAAAAAAAAAAAAAACCAAACCAAATTTTTGGAATATTTTGCCCAAAGTAAGCATCTCTGAGTTACAACTTGCCTTAGATGGGCAAAGATACACCAGTAATAACCCATCCTTTGCAACGCCAGACCTAAGGAACTGTATTGGGACAAATCAAAGAGACACTTTGTTAGTGATTGCTTCTAGGCCCGAGGAAGACTGTAATATATTTTCTTGAAAATGTTACTTTAGATACTACAAAGTTAATGGTTAAGTATAAGACTAACATATAGTTTTCTTGAAGCAAAAATTTCCAATCAAGACAAAGAGATAAAGTTTAAAATTGTAACACATTCAAAAATGACTGGTTTACTACAGACTTCAATAAAGTTATTTACCTACTGATTACCTTTTATATCAGGTCTCTTGTTTCTTCCATCTTTCAAATTAAGTTGCTGTAAGGGTCTAGGGCATGCAGGGTTATTGTGAAGACAGACAAGGGAGATAAGTTTCAAACCTCCTCCAGATTGGACCAGAAATGCCTCTTTCATTATTAACATGGTGGTTCTATGGTCCCCTGCATCCTGCAAAGTGGGGAAGGGGTGATAACCAGTTCTAACCAGTTCCAAAGGCATCTGCAATACCACCTACCTGTCATCTTAAGAAACCTTTTAGGTGCTTTTCCCTACTTAAGGCTTCATGAATATTATTTGCATCTCATGCATACAATTAGAGTGAATTATGGGGAAGGACATGCTCAGAAATCAATTATATAACATCTGGCCCTAACTCCACTTGCAGAAATGCCCAGGTTTTGCCCACCAACCTGACTCAAACCACATAAAAGCTAAAGAGACCCCAGACTATGGTGCTTTTGAACTGTGCAACTGGAGCTGGCTGTTTCTCCCTTGATAGTTACTTTCACTTTCTGCTTTCAATAAACTTTGCTGCTTTGCCACTCACTCCTGTATCTTGGATAGATTCTTTGATTATGCCCCCAGATGAGAACCTAATGCAACCTGGGTAACTTGCTGGTCTCTTAAGATCCTTTCCAGCTCTAGCATTCTACATTTGGACATGCGTGGAATGTGAGTAGGATTGTATATACCTGCAGCTAGCACTCTGCAGTTGATAAACCTCCTTCATATTCATTATGCCATCTGCTCTTTATGATAACGCAAGGCAACAGGGCAAGTATTATTTTCTCCTTTAGGTATAGTAGCTTGTCCAGATCACACCTAATAACTGGTAGAACTGGGATTGGAATCTAATAATCTGAGTGTTAAAATGACTGCTCTTTCAACTACACAATGACATCTTGAAAGCTATATTGACAATGTGATACATACAGTGTTTAACTTAAACATGTTAAAAAATGTAATTGTTGGGTTGGTTATGGTTGGGCATATCTATAATCCCAGCTACTCTGAAGGTGAAAATAGAAAGAGTACAATTTGAGGCCAGCCCAGGAAAGTTAGTGAGAATCTGTCTCAAAAAAGAAAAAGTCAGGTGTGGTGGTACACACCTGTAATACTAGCTACTTAGGAGCAGTGGTAGGAGGATCATGGCCCATGCCTGGGAAAAAGTGCAAGATCCTGCCAAAAATACACTAAAGCAAAAGGGCTAGGGGAAGTGCACAGCTAAAGTGGTAGAATACTTGTTTAGCAAGTGCAAGGCAGAGTTCAATCCCCAGTACTGCCAAAAAAAAAAAAAGAGAAAATTGTTACATGAGGTTAGGATGATAATGGGATCTGTCAATTTCTTAGAACCAGGAAAGTATGCTAATCTATTGATCTCAGAATCAAGTATTAGTAAATTGAAAGTGCTAAGTCAACATAGGATGAAGACAGGAAATATGACAACGTAGCATTACTAGGTTTCTCTGATCCCAGTCCAATTCAATTTGGTAGGTGAAGCTTCATAAACAGTAGGAGTGGGTTAGGGTGGAAACTTTGGATCTTACAACCCTAGTGTAGGCAAGCCCCACCCCACTACAGGCCTGTTGTCTATCCCAGCAACATACTTTGTTCCCAGGGGTGGGGGGGAGGGAAAGGCATTTAAAGAAATACCAAGCCAGACTATGCTATTTTCTGGTAAGCCCAAGGATCACTGGTCACCTTCTACTGAGGAATCTGAAAAGGATGAAGAGAATAAAGCATTCTAAAATGCAACTGTTTGATCTTTCTGGAATCTGCACAAACTCCATGTCTCTTTCTAGAACAATGCAGATTCACAACAGGATCCATAGTTTAAAAAACGAAAAGAAACCATACGGCCCTGACTGGGACATAACAAAAACCATTGCTGTACAGACAGCATATGGAGTTTCCTGATAAAAAAGTGTTGAGATGGCACACGTGGCATTAAATTTTACATCACATTTCAGACGCTTCACAGATTCCCAGAAGCCCACTAATGAATCACACTCCAGGCTAAGAACTCCTGAATTCATAAGTCAGGTGATGATTAAGGGGTTTGATAAATAAATTTAAAAACAAAAACAAAACCAACAACAGCAAGAACAAAAACACAACAGGATACGTGATAGGATCACTACCTTGGACAAGGTGGTCAAAGTAATCTCCAGAGATCACCTATGAGCAGACTTGAATGGGTGTTTGATGAGAACAAGAGTGAGCATTCCAGGAAAAGGGGCGGCAAGTGCAAAAGCCCCACGTACATTAGTTTGGGTGTATTAAAATTTCTATTTCTCTCCCCACCATTATCCACCTGCTTTTACACCCCTTCTCTCTCCTGGGCCCTGGGAACTTCCCGGGCCACGCCTCCTCACACGGTGGCTGCTGACTTAATATATACACACACATACACACTGGGGATTGAATCGGGGCCTTGAGCATGCTTTGCAAGCCCTCTTCCACTTGAGCCAAGCCCCTAACCCTGAGCAGAAGTTTTCAGGGACGAGTGACCCTAGTCAGCAAAGTTGAGCTTCTCCACTTTGGGTTCTGCCATTTTGCATGCCCTTGAGTCAGTTCCTGGTTGACTGAACTTCGGTTCCTCACCAATAAGAAATTTTCTTTACGGTCCATTCCAGACCTGAGATTCCAAATTCTTTTTTCTTTTCTACCCCTTCTCCTTCTCTTTCTCTCCTTCCCCACCTCCGCTCCCTTCACGGCCTTAACTCCACCAAGACCCGAGAAGCGCACCAGCCAGGGCCGACTGGCGCATGCGCAGACGGAAGTCGGAGTCACGTTTGAGCCCGCTCAGTGGCCGTAGTCGGCCGGAGCGCCGGCCGTGGGGGATTGTGGGACAAGATGGCGGCCGCCGCTCACCCCCGGGTTCTCTGGGCCCTTCCAATGTCACGTAAGTGTCACTAGGAATTGCAGGATTCTGAGACGGGAATCTAAGGTTTGGGGAGTGGCGCCGTGCTGCAGCGGCCCGCCGACGCTTTAGCACCCTCGTTTGTGTAGTCGGAGCTGCTTCTGTCCGTGTTCTCCTTTTCTACCTCCCTGGCTCAAGGATAAAATTGTGCACTTGGGACGGGGACAAGAGAACTCGAATAGTGGCATGGAAGAGGTGGAGACAAAGGATTGAGAAAGTCAGAGTTCTGATAGGGTTGTAAGGGTTTGGGGTTCTGAGAGATATTTGTTCTGGGAGCGGGAGGGAGGGAGGAATCTGAAAGGGAGAGGAAAAAATGGGGAGTGGAAAGGTTTATCTTGGACTGACTTTATGACCTTGTGCAAACCCTTAATTGGGCTCAGTTTCGGATTCTTCGTGTCACAATGGAGGTAATAGTCCCATAACCTCAGGGGGTCTCAGAACTTAATACTTACAGAAGCATGTTTCTAACGCAAAACGTCCTGCAGATGTAGAATGTGTTAGTTGAAGCGCTAGGGTCTGGGGAAGACAGGGATGTTTGTGGAGAAAGAATCAGGAGGTTTATGGAAAGGAAAGTGAAGACGAGTGAAGGATATCTTAGAGTTCGTCAGCAGTTTGTTTCTCTTCATATTGGATCAGCGCTTAGTCCTCAAACTGAAAACATACATTTAGTCTTCCATTCATTCAAAAGCAAGAAAAGCAATTAGGAGTACAGTTACACTTCGTCGTCATCCTTTCACCCTCTCCTCCTCCACAAACACGCTCAGTTCCCTGAAGATCTTTCCCATAGTGTATTTTAGTCATTACAGAATGTCACTTGCTGCTGGCGGAGTGGCTCAAGTGCCTAACAAGCATGAGGCCTTGAGTTCAAACCCCAATACCGCTCCCCACCCCCCCAAAAAAGTCACTTGCTCTCAAAATTGCCTCAAATTAGAATCACTGTTAGAGCTTTATGAAGACTAGAAATGGGGACTCATTTTAGAGCTCTCGAATCAGAATTTTTGAGAATAACTCTTTGTGCCTTAAATTTTAAAAACACGGGTAGTTCTAATGTCTAGCTGAGGTGAGAATCAGGAGTGTATAAAGGATTCTTTTTTTTGTTTTGCATATTGGCTAGTATTCCTGCATGGTGCAGTTTGTACTGGTGAAGCTCTGGGGAGGTCTCCAAAAGGAAGGAAGCCCCTACCTGGTCATTGTAGTGAGTTCATGACATTATCACAAAAAAAAAAAAATTTGGGACAAGTTGAGGAGGAGGCCGAGAAAGTTTATTAATAAAGCAAAGAAAGGATAATACAGCCACACCCAGAAGTGGGTGTGGGCACCTCTAAGAGAGGTGCACCGAGTGTTCTAACATCAGGGTTATTTTTGATGAAAAAGTGGAGATTTGGCTTAAATTCCTTTGAGGATTAAGTGTTCCTCTTTGTTCTGGACACCTGGTACATTTCCTCATTCTTACTGTTATATTGTTTTGACATTATCAGTTGGGCTCAGACATAGTTTCTATTTTCCATGATTATCCCCTTAAACAAAGGATGGTTTTCATTAGATGCTACTTTTAATCCAGGTGTCATTCCTTAAGATGAATATTTCTTCCTTTGCAAACACTTTTGTGATCAAAGGAGTAATTTTACCAAATGTTGTACCATCCTCTTCCCAACCCCCAACCAAGGTTAGGTGTTTTTAAGAAATTCTTGCTCAGTTCCCAGAGTATAGTAATTACTTAATCATTTGGGCAAGCAAGCAAGGTCAGAGAGAGAGAGCTTTTATTATTATTTTTTTTAAAACTTTAAGCTGCAGCTTAATGAGGGAGTATGAAGCTTAAAGCAAAAAAAGTGGTTCCTTTGTGTTTTTAATTAAGGTATTAATAAATGTGTATTTCTGAATTCCTGGCTGCTGTTTCCTGTGCCTCATTTTTCCTGTCTCAGGATAGATCATTTATAATGGTTGGTTTTTTGTAGCTATGACTTATTTGCAGAAGCATTTGCTAGTTCTTGTTAAACTGATACTGGTTGGTGAGACATAATGAAGATAGAATGATAACTGCGCTTTGAGTACCTGCTATCTGCTTACCATAGTTTAGATATTTTCAGATATTTTTTACTTTAAATTACTTTTGTAGCTTGTGCTCTTAACCACTGTGCTTTGTAGTTTTTAGTAATATGTTTTCAGTAAACTCTGAAGAGGCAAGTGTAGTGTGTAGCATATTCCACTGTAGTACAGAACCGTATTTACTTTAGACCCTAGGTATCCTCAGGTGTGTGGTTGCAAGGAGAGGACTGTTGAGGAAAAGCCACGCATGCTCAGTATGCATAGAATTCAGTACTGTACTGTAGATAATGTGGTTCATTTTCACCATGGAGCTGCCCAATTTATGCTAAAAGCATGCTGCCTTTCAACAAATGTAAAATTTTCACTTTAGCACTTAAGCACATTAACTTTTTCCTTGCTTTTTGGGTGGCATATGTTCCCAGAATTAAGGGCAGAGACACACTTGGTAGATCACACAACAATTTAAGCATAACTAAGATAACATGGACTGAGAGCTTCTATGTAAAGCACACATGGAATTTGAAATTTTTATTTTTTGGATTTCTTTTGATTTTATTTATTTTTTTGATTGTGCTTTGTTAAAAGTGAGTGTAATAAATCCACGAACAAGGTGGGCTTACTGGATTTAAGTGTGGCAAGACTATTGAGTATAATACAAAATCAAAAAAGGGAAAGATTGGTGTCATTTGAGGTAGTGAAGGAAGATTGGAACACCAGGGGAGAATTGTAGCCTCGACTTATCTCTTTAGGGTTCTTAGGATCTGAAAAGTCAACAAAGTTGAATATTTTCTGTTGACAAAGAAATGGTGATTAAGTGAAAATATCACAATGAAATTCCTTTGCACAATTAATATAAGTGAATAAAAAGGGAAAAAAATGGTAGTGAGAATTGAGTCGTGACTTTTCTTGGAGGCATTGAAATGACTGTATGCTGGGATACTAGGAAAAGAGGTTGCATGTGTTAGGTGGGATCAGATAATGGAGGCCTTTGAAAGCAAGCAGAGTTTAGCAGTCTCCAAAGTAGATTTTGGAAGATGAACCATTGGTGCTGTAATTTTTAAAAAATGTGTCCCGTAATAATAACAATAGCTAACAGTTAAATAGTTTAAACTGTATAATCAGAAACTATTCTAAGTGCTTTAATATATGCTATGTAATGTGTAACATATTGGTACTATAAAGAACATGTATATAATTTTTAAATAAATACTTTTATAAAACTAGTGCACTGTGCAAGCAAATATGTCAAGACTTACTGGTTTGGATATGACAGTGGATAATGAATATAAGTATTGGAGTAGAGGAATATAATACATAAATAATGAATAAGGAATATTATTCTCCTAATGGTATTAATAATAAATGGAAAAATGGAGAAGCTGGAGCCCAAGAAGATAATAAATTATATTGAGCACCTTCTATTTGCAAGGCATCATGACAGATGTGCTTTATGATAGTATTAATTCTCCTGTCAACCCTCTAAACCGTGAGCTTTATAGCAAGGCATTCTGTCTTTTTAATTTTGATAGCCACTGTTTCTAGACTAGTGGTTGGCCTGTAATTGTTGAAAAAAAATGTTAGATTAGGGTAACATTGCTTTATGGAGAATTTCAAAATTATTTTAAATGGAAGCAACTATTATTCATGGAGTAATACCTAGCTTCCTGTGCCAGATGATGTATAAGTATTCCGGGTGTACTTACTCTAATCCTTATAACAATCCTTGGCAATATCAATTCCTTGATCCTAGTGATTCTTCAATTTCATTGACCCTATCATATGTTTCCTCTTTTTAATCCTATGTCCTTCTTTCCTTGTTCATCGCTCTAACCAATGCCCTTCCCAACTTTCCAGCTCATCTTCTTTAGTCATAAAACCATGCATCTTGGATAAGCCAAACTCTCCACATAGTCATAGCCCACCCCAGTGCGGTAGAGAATGGGGCTAAGGAAAACTCAACTACCTGGCCTTATTTTAAATTTATGAATACAAATCTCAAGTAGATTTTTAGCAGTACATTTATCTAGGAAGTTTGCTCTCTCTTTCTTCATAATCATTTTACATAGCCAATTTCCTAAAACTTCTTGTGTACTTTTGTTTTATTCTCAGCTTTACAGAGAAATCAAAGGAATCAGATAAGAATGATTTTTTGTGCCTAACATGCACAAGGCCCTGGGTTCAATCTCCAGAATGGTGTTTTCTGCTATAAAGTCTAATAACTGACCTGTGTTAACTCTCTGCCTTCTCTCTTACAGTAGATGAGCTCTTTCTGACCAGTTGCTAAGTACAGTTCCTTCTCTTTGCATTTGATTCTGTCTTTTCTTAGCTACCATTCCCTCTCCTGAATCAGTAACTTCTCTCATCTACTAGGTCATTTCCATTAGCATAATGTAATATTCCATGTTATAAACAAACATCCCTCCCTGGTCCTCTTGTTTTACTTGCATTTCTTCTTTGCCTTTGCATCGTATCTCCTCAGAAGGATTATCTGTGCTGAAAATGGTATTTAATAAGATAATACCTATTAAGCACTTAGAATAATGCCAGAGATCTGGTGAGATCTCTGAAAGTTTAGCTGTTACTAATGACGTTATTATGTGTCTGATCTATTTTTATTCATTTTTGGTGGGACTGGGGTTTGAACTCAGAGATTCACTGTTCCAAAGCAGGCTCTCTACTGCTTAAACCATACCTCTAGCCCATTTTTCTTTGGTTATTTTGGAAATGGGGGTCTCACAAACTAGTTGCTTGGACTGGCCTTGGGCTGTAATCCTTGTGATCTCAGCCTTTCAAGTAGCTATGACTACAGGCAGGAGACACCAGCACCTGTCTTGATCTGTTTATTTTTTATCCCTGTGGTTTCAGTCACTATTCCATGAGCCAAGATATTATTGCAATTCCATACCTTTTTTTTTTCTTTTTTTTTTTTTTGGTGGGTCGGGGAGAAGAGGGGAATAGAATCTTGATGTACTGCCCAGGTTGGCTTGGGACTTCTGGGCTCAAGAAATTCTCCTGCCTCAGCCTCCCAAGTAGCTGGGACTGCAGGTGCTTACCTGGCCTTAATTCCATACTTTTTGATAGGGAGGAACAGTGGCTTCTCAGCAGAGTGCCACCAGGAAGTTAAACCCAGAGCCAAACAGATTTTCAAAAGAAATTCCCATTTGTTTCTTTTAGTTTTCCCTAAGTGTATGAAGCATCCATTCTAAGCTCCAAATTTTGTTGAATGGAACAGAAATTCTTTAGCAATTTAAACCTTTTAGTTGTTCCTATTTATGTGAAAGTTGGGTAACTTGCTTTAAATATCTGTCCTAGTAAATTATAAGGGGCTAGAAAACTAGAGTTTATCCAAAGGAGGTTTACATTTCTGCCATATGAAGAGTAGTTGAGAGAGTAGTTGAGTTTAAACTGGAGATGTTTAACCTGCATAAGAGAATACTTAGTTGGGGTACAATTGCTGCACGTAGTTGTAGAAGAGGAATTAGATTTACTCCTTGTCATTCCAGGGAAAAATAGGAATAAACACCTACTGGAGAGCAGTCACTGATTCCACTTGTGGTGGAATCTTCTCATTTAGAATGGCTCAAATCAGAATGGCTGCTACAGGAAACAGTGAGTTTCCTAACCCCAAAGGGATTCACGCTGAGGCCATATGTTCTCTTTTACACCCATAAAGGGTATACGCATACATCTTCTAGTAATGAGAAACTGGGTCCATGAAAACGAAGTGGTGGGAAAGTTGACATCACTTGCTGTTAACCTTTCTAAATTTTTTGGTGGTTTTATATTGAACTGTACCTTTTCCCCCAGTGCTCTGTACCAATAGCCCTCTGCCTCCCGCCCACATAGGTCTTTTCTGTTACCCTGCATGAGTCAGTCTTATGCAGTCTTATCACTGCATTGTTATATGTGTTATGTGTTTCTTGTGGAATTGTGTTTCTTGTTATTCCTCATTAAGTCTTTTCTCCAAACACTTTACCCAGGAATCGTTATGATCATATGACTTAATTTGATTTATTTTTCTAGGTAAACTGAGCATAGAATTTACTTTGTAATTGTTATGTATTTCCTTATGTACTAGTGATTTTATGCTATAGTAATTTGTGTTTATAATTGTTGGTACTTAAGTCATTAAGGTAGGGATCACAAAATAATGTTACAAGTTTCCAGGGTAAGAAGTGATTTGTATTGATAATTACTTTTATATTAACTGTGCCATTTTTGTATGCTCTGGGGTTTTCCTTAAGGTTCTGCTGTTACTGCAGTAGCCACATCTGTATTTCTTGGTCCACCCAGTCGCCAGGTTCATCATGCCCTCATACCTCATGGGAAAGGTGGGCGTTTGTCTGTTAGTGGTGTTGCGGCCACTGTGTTTGGAGCAACAGGATTCTTGGGCCGATATGTTGTCAACCAACTTGGTAAGTAAAATTCCTTGAGTTCAGTATGCTCTGTTGCCCTTGACTAGGATTGCCAGGAGCTATGTATCTCTTCATTTTAACACCATATGAGTTACTTCTATCTTAGATTTATGTAATTTTTATCTCTGTGGCATTAAGAATACACTTATGCTTCCTATACAGACATTTAGATTGGAATAAGGGACTCTGAAAAGTTATGGCATCTTTAGCATGGCAAAATATGTTTTTTGTTACAAATAGTATCAATTCATTTATCATGCCAGAATTTAAATATTTACCAAATCATTGTTGCGTAACATATCCATATTATGTTGATGTTGATCATTGTTTCAATTCATTCTTCTTAAGGACGTATGGGATCGCAAGTGATTGTACCCTATCGGTGTGATCCATATGACACCATGCACCTTCGTCTCATGGGTGACCTGGGCCAGATTATCTTTTTGGTAAGACTTTATAACTGGTAATTGAAGTTCAGACATGTAAATTACTAAGGTCATTTTTAGGAGTAAGAGGCAGTATAATAATGCAGCAATTTTTTCCCAGAATGGACAGGACATCTTTCATTCAATAAAGTTCCTACAATTCTTGCTTTGGCATTAAAAGCTCTAGAGTGGCTTTTAGCAAGACTTTTCTATGTACGACCAGATAATAAGTTTTTTAAATTCTGCAGATCTTAGGGTGTTTGTCCTCATTACTGAGCTCTGCCCCCGTGGCTTGGAAGCAGGCATCAACTGTGATGAATGCGTATGGTTGTAGTCCAATCAAACTTTATTTACAAAATTAGGCTGCAGACCAGATCTGGCCTATCAGCTAACTCTCTGCTCTAGATCCATGCACTTGAATTGTGCTCAAATTCAAGTCTAAATTGAGATGTATTGTAAGTGTAAAATGCAGATTTTGAAGACTTTAGTATGAAGAAAATACAATTTAGTAAATATTAATCATTTTTAGTTACTCCATATTAAAAATACCTTAGATATACTAGGTTAAGTAAAATATTAATTCAAATTTCTTCCTTTTTAAATTCTTTTCAGTGTGGCTAATAGAAAATTCAGAAAATAGAAGATTGAAAAAGTAGTAAATTTAGGATTACATCTGTGCCTCATGTTATGTTTCTATTGGACAGTGCTTTTATGGACAGAAAAAAAAATCACAAATAGTATGTTTTATAACTTAGTATAGACATAGCTTTAAACCATCCTTCCTAAGTATTCCCTCTGGGCATTCTTCAATCTATAGGTTCTTCCTTCAGGTTGGTAGTTGGCCATGGGGCAAGGCCAGGGGAAACGGTGTGGGAAGAGCCTTTAAAGGGAGTGATTAAGAAGGTATGGGCTTTTGATTGTACAGTGACTGTAGGGCCCTCCTGGGTGTTTAGGTGGAGGCTGAGGATGCTAATTATTTTATAGTGCCCAGGACAGGTCCTTTCCACATATAACTATATTGTCCCCAAAGGCCTACAGCCATCCCCCAAGACCTGCTGCCCTCTTTGGGCCTTGATGCTTGGCTGCATTGTTCTTTTAGCCAGCTTGCTACTATTGTCATCCTCTTCCATTCATACTCTTTGCCCTTTAAAACAATGTTTGGTGAACATTCTTTATTTCTCTGTTTTATATTGATACAGATTATTTGAAATCCCCTGAGATTTTGACTTATTTTAAATGACATTTCCATTTATCCTTTATCAAATACTTTACAGCTAAATATAATAGTTATATGGGAAAGTTCTTGTTTCTAAAATGATTTTGGTTTTCCCAAACTTTATTATCAAATATCTTTTTGTTATCATAATTGCAGGAGGTTTAAAATGTCCCTATTTCTTTGTGACTTTTTTTTTTTGTGGTATGGGGGCTTGAACACAGGGCCTATACTTTGAGCTATTCCACCAGCCCTTTTTTGTAATGGGTTTTTTCACAGTAGCATGTCTGTTTTCTTGGGGTGGGTTTGAATTGTGATCTTCTTGATCTCTTGCCTCCTTAGTAGCTAGGATTATAGGCATGAGTCACCAGTGCCCGGCTTCTTTGTGACTTTTTTTTGTTTTGTTTTATTTTTATTTATTATTCATTTATTCACATGTGTGTACATTGTTTGGGTCATTTCTCCCCCCTGCCTCTTTGACTTTTTATTGGTAATTTCATCAGAGCATCTAAAAGTATTTCAGCTGGGGGTATGGCTCAAATGGTAGAGCACCTACCTAGCAAGCACCAGGGCCTGAATTTAAACCCCAATGCTGCTGAAAATAATGAATAAATAGTATTTCACAAGTGGCAGCTGAAACCTATGGCTAGCTTACAAATGTGGAATCACTGGAATTGAGCCATATGACATTCTGTTCTTCCTACAGATACTTATTTACTGAATGTCTACTCAAGTTACTGAATTGAGCTGAGCTTTGAGTATGCTTTGATGAATAAGACCACAGGGAACTGAGTCTTGGGTGTTTAGTGTTTATGTGCTCTCTCTCTAGAAAGATGGACCATTTTGGGTGTGGGTGACATTACCCCTCTTGAGTCCCTGTTTAAGCCATCTGGATGGCTGGTCGGTGTACCAACTTGCTGGTGCGTCCTGGGCCTTATTCCCTAAGAATTTGGTTTCCTTTTGATTTCTCTCTTTGGCTCTTTGGCAATTCATGCTGCTATGCCTCAAGCTCTTCTTCTCTGAGTCATTTGGAAATCTTCCTCTCTCACCTTCGGCATCTTGCTTGAAAAAGCTCCCCTCCCCCCCTTTTTAATCTCTTTATGTATAGAGCTAGTTTTTTTTGTTGTGTATGTCATTCACTGTGCTGTGGATCTTAGGTATATTAATGAATGACAAACTGAATTTGCTTTTCTGTCTGTTGGACTCTGAAAATACCGTTCTGTATGTTTCTCATCCTCGCTCTCCATCATCACTTGTAACCAGGTCTTCTTGCTGGACTCATCTTTTTGTTCTTGAATCTGATTCTATATTTTCTGAATTGCATACGTCCTTTATATTCATTCTCGCTGTGTCTCACTCTTACTTTCACTCTTTCTAACTTCTCTCCTTTTCCCCTTCTCACTCCCTCCCTTTCCCGATACACTGACTCATAGGCATACACTTTGTATTTGGCCCTAGGAAATTCTTATCACTTCCATTGAAATGCTTGCAGAATTCAATTTCCATTTTAGCATAGAAAATTCTATACTTTGGGGCACCCTCTTTTGGGACACCCCCCCCCAACTCTGGGGTTCTACTCTCCCACTTTACATTTTTCTATTTCAGTAAACTCTCCTGCTTTACACTTAAAACAAAAATTCTGTACTTTTGTCGGGGGTTACTTAATCCCCAGTAATCCTGTCACTATTTTGTACAAATTCATTAGTCTGACTTATATCCCAAATGATTTATAAACTACTTGAAAGTATAGTTCTATGCCAAAAGGTGAGGTTTTAGGCAGATCACATCTCTCTGGTTCTGTTTTTGTGTTTTAAAGTAGAAATTATTAGATCTGAGATTATAAAAAAAGGAAAGAATTAAAAGAAATAAGAAAATAGTTATGAGTGCTCCCAACTTAATGTTAGCCTTTTAAAAAACATTCCTTCTCATCACTCTGTAAGTGGTTGCTGCCCAGAAGAGAACCTTTGTTTACCTCCTCAGTGATCCTTGGTTCTTTGACTATGTTTCAGGAAGGGAGACTGAATTACTGGATTCCTTTATAAATCCAGTGGGGGGGTGGCAGTTAGGTTTACAAAAATGATATGCCCCATTAAATATGAGTGACCTCTTTTCTGTTCTTTCATTTGATTTCCTGAGTAAAATGTGCTTTGACCTATTTGAGAAGAGTTAGAGAACCAACAGGGAGTTTGCAACATCTGTGTCATTTCTGTTGTAACCAGTGCCTAATATGAAAAGGCACCATATTAAGGCTACAACAGATGGCCCATTTTGAAACTTGCCTGGGAGGCTACAGAAGTGTTGAGTCCAGAGTGTGCCCTTTTGTTTTCATCTGATTGGCTATTGCTGTTACAGGAATGGGATGCCAGAGACAAAAATTCCATCCGGAGAGCACTGGAGCACAGCAATGTTGTCATCAATCTTGTTGGACGAGACTGGGAAACCAGGTGAATCTTGGTCTCTTTTGTCTTTTTTGCATAAGTCTCAGTGTTCAATAGACATTTATTGGGCACCTTCTTTATGCCAGGCATTGTAGTGACATTTTGAGTTGATTGAACAACCATTTACGTACCCAGTGACATGCCTTAGATTTGCTTAGAAATATGTCTGGCAGAAGTCAGCAGTGTGATATGCTACACTTAAAAAACCAGTGTGGGGCTGGGCACTGGTGGCTCACACCTGTAATCCTAGCTACTCAGAAGGCAGAGATTAGGAGGATTGCAGTTTGAAGCCAGCCCAGGGAAATAGTTCGGGAGACCATACCTTGTAAAACCATTCACAAAAAAAAAGTAGGGCTGGTGAAGTGGCTCAAGGTGAAGGCCCTGAGTTCAAGTCCCCGTACCGCATAAAAAAACAATGTGGATTGTGTCATTGTAGTTGTTATTATGAGTTTGACAGTGACAGATGTTGGACCTGTCCATGTGGGATTGGGTGAGGAAATAGGATTTAGCCTGTTCCACTGCTCAGCAAGCTGAATATTGGTTTTTCTTGGGTTGGTAATATAGATTACTTCTCTGTATTGTCAGTTGAATATGGCATAAGTACAGGTTTCAGCAGTTCTGTTCTGTCTTTGCCTGAATTATTAACAAATAATGTTTTAACCTTTTAGTTTTCTAGCACTTTGTTCCCATCTTTCTTTTGCATTTATTAAAATTTGACTTGGATGTGTTTGCATATGTCTGTTTCATCAAATATTTTAAGTTCTTTGATGACTTGCAGGGCTTTATTCAATTTTATATCTCCTGTAATGACTGACACAGTGACTTGTAAGAGCCAGCATTTGTTAATGTTTTGCGTTGAGTTGGTGATTGATTTTTAAGTTTATTTTCCTTGAGAGGAACAAAATCCCAGGATACCTAGTGATAACCTTTCTAACCCAACACTTCTTTCCTCCCCTCTAATCACTACAGACAGGTTTCCTTAAAGGGCTTCAACTTTGCTGGGCATGGTAGTTCTATAAACCCTGCACTTGGCAGGAAGATTGAGCATTCCAGGCCAACCTAGGCTACCTGGTTCAAACAAAAGAAAACAAAACATGGGAGGCCTCAGCTTCAGGATTCCTTGAAGCCACAGGATATTATGTATGCTGGACTTATTAAGTTAGAATATGCCTTAAACTGTGTATAGAAATGACATTGAGCAGGCCTGTAAGCTTTGAAAAAAACACTAATTCTGGCTTAGAGTTAAATCATTACTGATTAAAGGTTTAACTGTTATGTATTCCAGGACTGTCAGGAAACAAGCCTATCACAGAAAGCTTTGAAATCTTAAATCTGGAGTTCTTAACCTAATTTTTTTTCTTTTAGAAACTTTAGTTTTGAGGATGTTTATGTGAAGATTCCCAAGGCAATAGCTCAGTTGTCCAAGGAAGCTGGAGTTGAAAAACTCATCCATGTTTCGCATCTGAATGCTGATATTAGAAGCTCTGCTAGATCTCTGAGAATGAAGGTCAGTGAGACGTACGTTCAGCAAGTGCTTCACATTCACATGCTAATGTTTCTTACATTAAAGTAAAGAATTCAAGAGTTTCTAATTCTCTGTATCCAGAAGTACGTGTGTGTGTGTGTGCGTGTGCGTGTGCGTGTGCGTGTGTGTGTGTGTGTGTGTGTGTGTGTGTGTGTGTTGTGACATTTTGGTTGAATGCTTTCTATTTGTATTCTAAGAGGTTTTAAAGACGGGTAGACCATATTATTACCTGTTCTTGGATGCTTAAAGTTTCTTTGAGGCATGCATAGTAGAATTCCACAGAAAGCATAAAAGGTAAGAGTGTTCTTCTGCCAAAGGAGGCATATCTGTGTCATCTACCATGGTTAAAGGACCATCTTTCTTTCTTAAACCCTTGTACAGTCAGGGGCTTATGCCACTTTTATTTGGGTGATGTGAAGCTTGAGAGTGCCAGGGATAATATTTGCTTGCAAAGTGGTTCTTTACCTAGTCTTTAGTCTTCTTTTACTCTTAGAAGCCTCACTGGAGTCCAGATGATACCTAGGGAATTGACTGCTCTGGTTTGGAGCCAGTCTGTAAGCTGGAGTAGCTGGAAAGCTTCATTATCTGGGACTCTGAGGGTATATCAGTGTCTGGGTCTCCCCATAGCATTTGGCTTCTGCCTTAATGAGTGTCTTGATTCATACTGATAAAGATAAGAGAACCTTTGACAATGGCTCTTTTTAACACACTGCATTGGTTTATTGAACAAATTATTACTAAGCACTATGTGCCACATATTACGTTCAGTACATGGCAGCCATTAGTCAGTAAAACAGACCTGGCCCTAGCTCATACTAATTTTCTAATCCACTGGGTAAAATAATTCAGAGGCATCAAGTGTTACAAAGTAGTAAACTGTAATACATCATAGAGGGTACATAGAGCACATCATAGAGGAGAGAGAGCACCTATATTTATGAGCATTTAATTGCTAGCATCAGAAAGACTGATGTAAACATAAAGGGAATTTATAGGCTTGTGTGTTTTTTAAAATCCAGGAATAGGGAATGTGAGCCATAGACTGGTACTGGAAGTTTATCAGGCCTCCAGCTTTGTTTCTCTGATTCTCTCTGCTCTGACTTTTTCTTTGTGTAAGCTTTGTCTCTCATAGTCACAGAACTGGCTTTCACCATGTTCAGGTCTCGTGTTCACATGCTACATTAGAGAAAATGAGAGTAAGAGCAGGTGTGACTGCATCTTCCCTGGCTTTCCTGAAATCATGAAATCATCTGAATTTTGCCGTTGTTTGGAATGGAGTGGGAGTGTTGGTGGTGAGAAAGAAGTCAAAGCTTAGTGCTGTGGTTCTTAGCCTTAGCTGTATATTGGAATTACTGATGGAGCTTTTAAAAACCCTGATGCCCAGATTATACTCCAGACCAACTCAAATAGAATCTTTGGGAGTAAAACCTGGGCATCAGTTTTTTTTTTTTTTTTTTAAACTCTCTAGGTTATTCCAAGTGTAGCACAGACTGGGGGGGTACTGTTTTACTTGAGAGACTGGAGGATGATACAGGTTTTGATTTGGGTTTCAGGTATGTTCCAGATCTGTATCAGTCATTCAAGTAGCAGTGGCAAAGAGGTGTATGATCCTGGAGCTCAGAAGAAAGGTCTAAGTTGATAAAAATTCAATACAGAATTGGTATTAGTTGGAGTAATGGGAAAGCATAAGATAGCCTACTGAATAAATGTAGATTGAGATTAACAACCTGGTAGAGGAGAAGAAACCTGCAAAAAAATAAAAAAAGACTGAGCAGCAGTAGACATAGTGAAATAGAAGGAAAACCAGGAGGGTATGATGTTATGGAAGCCGATGACTCAAGGAGGGAGGAATTACTTATGGATGCCATTGAGAAGTCAAGTAAGATGAGAAATGTAAAGCCTTAGCTTTATTCACATGGAGGTCATCAGTGGTCTTATCAGACATAGTTTGAGATCAAGGGTTGAAACAGAGTCCAGAGTACAGGTGAGTGAAGGGGAAGCTGGAGTTAGATGATGGTACAAGAATGGCAGGCATGTTTTCAAGTAGTTTGACCAGAAGAGGAAGAGCTAGAGAGGGCAAAAGCTGGAAGGGGATGTAGAGTTAGAGGCTCCACATTGTTTCAGTGATGGTGGGAAGGAATTGGTAAAGAGAGTGAGACTGAAGATGTGGGAGAGGGAGCAAATAAGGCAGGCTTCTTCGGAAATGGAAGAAGTTGAGCTGCAGAGCATTGGGACAGCACTGCTCCACTGCAGTAGGGAAGGAGGAGAAAATGGTGGTTCATGTATTCAGTTTGTAGGTTTAGTGGTGAGAACTTTAAGATGGCTTTTTCTGCTGTCTTTCTGTTGTCTTCTGTTTTCTTTTTTAATTAGAAGGTGAAGTCATTTACTAAAAGGAAGAGGAAAGAAAAGACAGTCTGAAATTTGAATAAAATAGAAAATGTGTGACGTTGACATATGAGAGAGTAAATCAATTAGAGGAGAAGGCTATTTCTGGGAAATTTGATGGCCCAGTTATAATGTAACATAGATTTATAGTGGTACTAATTTGTGATTTTATTTATTTATTTTCCTCCAGCTGCTGAAGGCAGTAGGAGTGCATGGCTAAAGGGAGGCCAGTGGAGTTCCTCCAGGAATAGGATTTTGCCTGGTTGGTAGAGTGATGGACAACGGATGAGTTATTTTACAATATTGATAAGGGAGTGGTTGAAAAGATGGATCTTGGTATCTAATCTGCAATAGAAGAGAGGCCATGAGAGTTAGGAGGGTGAAACAGTGGACTACAGTTCCAGAAGGTTGAGGAACAAGTGACCCACAAGCAGATGGACGAAGAATAAACAGGCCATATGTGTAGGAAATAGTTAACTGAGAGTATGATGTCTTTGTTTAGTGTTTCACAAGGGCACTTTCTGTCTGTGATGTGACTAAGTTGAGAATGACAAATGGGGTGAAGAGGAGGTTATTGGGGTTGAGAAGCCCAAGAACCCGTGAGGTTCAAGTCCTCCTGGGCATTGGTGTCACCACAGCATTGCTGTAGGTGGAAAGGAAGACTGAATTAGGTGCCCCAAATAAGAGGCATGTGTAGGAGGTCAGTAGAAGATAACACACAAAGGTGTCACAGCCTTTGCCAATAGACAGGCTTATGGTCTCCTCTGGGTAGATAAGCACTGTTGCCACCTGGGTTAGTTTAGCCCACTGCCACCACACTCCCCTTTCCCTGGCAGGCTGGTAGGTCGTTGACACAAAACAGAGAATCTATAAATAGGAGAAAAAAATGGAGGCTGGAAAAACTCTACCATGATTTTTCTCCTTTATTCTTCAGCATAAGCCCTCCAGAATAAAAATAGAGATAACCCCAACAGAAGGTATAAGAGGCTGTGTGTGTGTGTGTGTGTGTGTGTGTGTGTGTGTAACATTCTGTGTGACTGAGTTTTAGGAATAATATGATTATTTTCATCTCAAGGAAAATAAGACTTTTGAAATATAAGTAGTGTCCTGCTTCTGGAAAGAATGAAAACTTTGTTTACTTGTCTCAGAATTTAGAACAGTTTTACCTTTGGTTAATTGTTTAGGCTGTTGGAGACAAAGAAGTGAGAGATGCCTTTCCGGAAGCCACTATCATAAAGCCAGCTGACATGTTTGGAAGAGAAGACAGGTTCCTCAATCACTTTGCAAGTACGCATTCTTTCTTTATTGTAGAAGAGGAGGGTACTGACTAACCAAGGTAAAGCTAAGTACAAGCTAGCAGTGTTGTCTGACTTGACAGACAGACTAAGATTATATTTTTCTCTTCCACTTGCCTTTTTTCTTCTTTAAGTTATGTTTTCATAGTCAATGTGGTCCTTCCTATTTCTGGGAAACATTCCGGCCCTGTTAAAATCAGTGGCATGGATTTATAGTGGTGTGAACATTTTCTTCCAGCTGCTGAAGGTAGTAGGAGTAATGGCCCAGAGGAGCAACTTAACTTATGTGGAAGAGCATGGACTTCTGAGAGTTGAGTTTAAATCTGTGGCCTTGGCAAGATATTAGAATATCATACAAAATAGTTTAGCTGCCCTAAAATTCCTTAAGTTTCCTATAAATATGAAGGGAGACTGAAGGACAAGCGTCCCTCCCCCATATTCCCATCCAGGCCCCTGGCAATCACTGATCTTTTTACCATCTCCAAATTTTTTCCATTTTCAGAATATTATATAGTTGGAATGCTATAATATATAGCTTTTTGAGATTGACTTCTTTGTAGTATGCTTTTAAGGTTTCTCAGTGTCTTTTCATGGCTCATTTCTTTGTCTAACTCTACTCAGTATTCCCTTGTATGAATCTACCTGTTTGTTTATGTAGTTTTCATGTTTTTATTATGTGTTTTCCTGTACTTACTTGTGTCCTCTGATATTCTATGTTACTTTCCACTTTCTTTGTAAAACTGTGATATAATATTCATAATATAAAGTGTATCATCCACTACAGACTGCGCTAAGTCCCCCCACAGTTCATATGTTAAAGCCTTAACTCCCAATGTGATTCTTTTTGGACATCAGGATTTTAGAAAAGTCATTGAGGTTAAACAAGGGGGTAAGGGTAGTTCCTAATTTGATAGAATTGGTGTTCTTACAAGTAGAGGAAGACAGAGAAGTTTCCTTCCTGCCTGACATACTGAATAATGGCCATGTGAGAACACAGTGAGAAACTGTCCATCCAAGAGCCAAGAAGAGGGCCTTACCAGCTAAGGCTGTCACCTTAGTCTTGGACTTTCCAACCTCTAGAGGTGTGAGAGCATAAATTCAGTTGCTTAGGCTGCCTAGTCTGTGGTATTTTTAAAAAACATTTTTATTAGCATGTATTAGTTGTACAAGGGGGTTTTATTATGATATTTCCATATATGCTTACATGCATCTTGGTTAGATTCATCCCCACTATCATTCTTCCTCAAGTTCATTGTTCTATTTTCATACAAGTATATAAAGTACATTGACCATATTTGCCCTTCTTCTCCCACAAGAACTCACCCCCTAACAGAACCTGTTTTACATTGCTGTTCTTATTTTTTAAAGTGTATGTTAATTGTTCAGAGGGGTTTCATCATAGTATTTCACCCATGAATATACTCTACTGTAGTCAGATTAACCCCCTCTATTACTCTCCCTTAGTCTTTCCCCTCTGCCCCTCATTATTTTTGTTTTGGGTTTTTTGGTGGCACTGGAGTTTCAGCTTAGGGTCTTATGCTTGCTAGGCAGGCACTCTACCACTTGAGCCACTCTGCCAGCCCTTTTTTGTGTTGGGTGTTTTCGAGATAGCATCTAGCTAATTATTTGTTTGGGACTGGCTTTGAGCTAGGACCCTCCTGATCTCCCTAGGATTACAGGAATGAGCTATTAGCATTTAGTTCTACTTCTTACTATTCAGCAGCTTTCATTGTGATTCTTCTGTCCTCCCCCATCCCCTCAAACAGTCCTACTATTACAAATATGTGTATAAATATACATGTGAATATGTTCATGTTGTGTTTGGGTATACATTTATCTTTTGGATCCATCACATGTGAGAGAAAACAAGCTACCTTTGTCTTTCTGAACCTAGCTTACTTTGCTTAACATAATGTTCTCCAGTTCCATCCGTTTACCTGCAAGTGACATAATTTTTTATTTCTTTATGGCTTAATAAAACTCCATTGTATGCATACAGCATGTACTCTTAATTCATTCATCAGTCAAAAGGCATCTGAGCTATTTCCATAGCTTGGCTATTGTGAATAGTGCTGCAATAAACAGGGGTGGAGAAGTATTTCTGTTGTATCCTGACCTGTGTTCCTTCAGCTATATGCCCAGGAGTGGTTCTCCCTTATTTTTATCTTTTTGAGGAACCTTCATACTGCTTTGCGTACTGGTTGTATGAATTCACATTCCCATCAGCAGTGTATTAGGGTTTCTTTTTCCCCTCTGCATCCTCAACAACATTTGCGGTGATGATAGCCATTCTGACTACAGTGAAGTGAGATTTCAGTGTAGTTTTGATTTGCATTTCCTTTATGGCCAGGAATGTTTTTTCATGAATTTATTAGCCATTTGTACTTCTTTCTTTGAAAATTGTCTGTTCAGTTCATTTGCCCATTTCTTTATTGCATTGAATCTTTGGGAGCTTAGTTTTTTGAGCTCTCTGAAAATTCTGGTTTTAATCCCTTGTTAGATCCATAGCTGACAAAAATATTCTCCCATTCTGTAGGTTGTCTGTTCACTCTAGTGACTGTTTTCTTTGTTGTACAGAAGCTTTTTGGTTCGATGCAGTCCCATTTGTTAATCCTTTCTCTTATTTGCTGAAGTATTAAAGTTCTATTCAGGAAGTTACTGCCTATGTCTATATGTTCTAGTATTTTCCCTAGTCTTTCTGTAGTGGTTTCAAAGTTCAGGTCTTACATTGAGATCTTTGATACAGGTTGAATTGATCTTAGTACAGGGTGAGAGACAGAGATTTAGTTTCCGTCTTCTTGTGGATGTCCAGTTTTCCTAGCAAAGTCTGCGAAATTTTATTGTGATAGCCTGAACACACTAAGATTTTGGCACTGAGAAGTGATATGCTGATGTAGTAAACATCTATAAATGTAGAAGCACCTTTGGAACTGAGTAATGAGTATAGACTGGGAGACTTTTGTGGTGCATACTAGAAATACAGGTAAAAAGGTCCCAGATGGTCTCACATGGAAATGAGGAACATATTATTGGAAACTGGAGGAAAGGGGATACCTGTTGTTATGTAGCCAAAAATTTGACCTGTATTCTAATGTTTGTGGAACATAGAACTTGAAAGGGATGAAATTGGTTATTTACCTGAGATAATTTCTAAGCAAAATGTTGAAGGAGTACCTTGGTTCTTCCTGACTGCTTATAGTAAAATGTGAAAGGAGGTTAAGTAAATTGAAGGAATTGTTAAGCATAAAGCAATCAGAACCTGAAGAGTTGAAAAATTCTCAGCCAATCTATACTGCAAAAACTGAGAAAGCTTGACTTGAAGACACCAAAGAGTATGGGTGAACAACCATTTAATAAAGAGTATGGCTCATGGACTAAACAGCCATTTCAATAGAAGCCAGGAATAGAGATGGGATCAACATTGCCAGTTTGAATGAGATGGAACCATGAGAATGGGACAGACTGCAGGAAGATTTTCAAACTTCTTAGCTCCTCGGGAACAGACCATAGAGCTATTCTAAAAGAAATGGGAAGAATGACCCCAACACATTTCAGCAGGTCAGATGGCCTCTGCCAAAGGCCTTGCAGGCGGAGCCACATAGAGTCTTGAAGATAAGAATGCCTGAAGCCTTGAGGGCAGGGCTTTCTGGAGCCTTTGGAGCCACCAGGGTAATTGCTGCCCCAGTGGGTCCTGAGGTGAGACCACCATCTCAGTGCATCTGCAAGGCAGGACATGCGGGCAAACAGGATTATTTTTCAGTCTTAGGGTCTAGTAATAGATTGCTTTGCTAGGTTTGGGACCTATCGCCCTTTTATTTCCTATTTCTCCCTTGTGAGATGATAATTTCTATCCTGTGCCTGTCCCATAATTGTATTTTGGAAGCACATAACACATCTGGTCTCATAGGTTCTCAGCTGGACAGGAATTTTGCCTCACGATGACTTGTACCTTTATCTCACACATGTCTATCTGAGTTGGGTGATATTTGGTGGGACTTTAGACATTAGAGTTGGTGTTGGAATGAGTTAAGAATTTCAGGGCCTAAGACTATGCAACATCTTTACCACCACAAGAATACAGTTCATTAGCATTAAATACATCACATTGTTGCACAGCCTGTCTCCAGAATTTTTTCATCTTACAAAACTGAAATTCTATACCCATTTAAATAACCCACTCTACTCTTCCTCCTTCCCTCTGCCTCTGGCAACCACCATTCTACTTTCTTCCTAATCTCATAAATTTGACTATTGTAGCCAGCTACCATGTTGTTTTATTCCCATTTTATGTTGGTAATAACACAATACCACAGATCAGGTAAGTTATAAAGAAAAAGAGATTCCCTCTGGCTCATGATTTGGGTCCATGGTACAGGACTTATGTTTGATGGTGCTTCTTTCTGGCCAAGTTCCAAGGCAGTGCAAGGCATCACATAACAAGAAGCAGGGAACACTGTCCAGAGACCTAGCCAAATATTTTTACAGAAGATCCACTTGAGATAGCCCATTAACCTGTTAAACCATTCATTGCATGAATGGAGCTCTAACTACCTCTTAAAAGTCACATTTTAATATGTCATTGTGGAGATTAAGTTTCAACATAAATTTTGGAAGGAACAAAACGTATTCAATAGTATTAGTTTTTGTTACTGACTTATTTTACTTAGGATAATGTCCTCAAATTTCATGTGATATATTTTCCTTCCTTTTTAAGGGTTGATAATAAATACACTGAATGTATGTCCCCCACTGTTTAACGATCCATCTGTTAATGGGTACCCGGATGCTTTGCACTGTTGTTAATAATGCTGCAGTGAGTATGGGTGTGTAGCTATTTCTTTGAGACCTGGATTTCAGTTTTTCTTGGGCAAATACTGAGAAGTGGAATTCGAATCATGTATTGTTCTGTTTTTACTTTCTTGATAAACCACCATAGTGTTTTCCTTAATGGATGTACCATATTAATACCTCCCAGCACTGTACAAGGTTCCAGCTTCTCCATATTCTTGTCAACTCTTGTCATTTTGTTTTGTGTTATTATTTTTTTAATATAGTAACCATCCTAGTGGGTATGAGATGGTGTCTCATTGTGGTTCTGATTTCCATCTCTAATTAGTGGTGATAGTGAACATTGAACAGTGCTCACTATCTAAGTTTGCCACTTAGTTTTTGATACAGGGCTTTACTAGGTACTCCAGGTTGGCCTTGAACTCATGATCCTCCTCTGTCAAGTGCTAGAGCAATAGGCACATGCTGCATGCCCCACTAGCCACTTGTGCATTTTATTTGGAGACATGTCTACTTATGTCCTTTGACCAGTTTTAATTGATTTGTTTATCTTTTGTTATTCAGCTGCAATTCCTCATATTTTCTGGATGTTAAACCCTTTCTAGATACATGACTTCAAAATACTTTCTCTTATTCTGTAGGTTGTCTTTTTATTACGTTAACTATGTCCTTTGAGACATAGAAAGTTTTGATTTTTATGTAATTCAATTTATATAATTCAATTTTACTTTTGTTTCCTGTGCTTTTGGTATCGTGTCCAAGAAATTACTGCCAAGTCCAATGTCACGAAGCTTTCCTCATGTTTTTTCTTTTAAGACTTTTATGGTTTTTGATCCATTTTAGTTAATTTTTGTATAGTGTATAAGTTGGGGGTTAACTTCATTCTCTTGCATGTGAGTGTCTGGTTTTCCCAACACTCTTAAAAAGACTGTCCTTTCTCTATCCAGTGGTCATGGTGCCCTTGTCAAAAATCATTTGACCATATATGCAAGTGTTATTTTTCTGTATTCTAGTCCATTGGTCTATGTGTCTGTCTTCATTACTGAGGCTTTGTGATAAGTTTTGAAATCAGGAAGTGTGAGACATCCAGCTTTGTTCTTCTTTTTAAAGATTGTTTTGTCTATTCAGAGTCCCTTGAGATTCCATGTGAATTTCAGGTTGAATTTTTCTACATTGCTGCAAAAATCACCATTAGATTTCTCATAGAGACTTCATCAGATCAGAAGACTGCTTTGAGTAGTTTTTGAAATCTGTCTTAATCTGTTTTTTGCTTCTGTATGAAGATACCAAAATTAGAGTTGATGTTGGAATGAATTAAGACCTTTGGGCCTGAGATTGGTAATTTATAAAGAAAAGAAATTTGGCTGAGTGTGATGGTACATGCCAGAAATCCCAGTTACACAGGAGGCTGAGATGGGAGAATGGTGATTTGAGGCCACAAAAAGTGCATGCGAGACCCTATATGAAAAATAACAAAAGCAAAAAGGGCTATAGACATGGCTTAAGTCAGGCCCTAAATTCAAACTCCAGAACCACCAAAAAGAAAAGAAAAGAAAATTATTTCTCACATTCTGGAAGTTGGTAAATCTAAGATCAACATGCCAGCATTTAGTAGGGGCTTCTTGCTATTTCATCACACAGCAGAGGAGCAATCTAGTGGAACACTATGTGAAGCCCCTTGTGTATGATCTGTAATCCTGTTTATGAGGGAGGGGTGCCTTTGGCCTAATAACTTCTTAAGGGCCCTACCATTGTTAGCATCATGTTGGCAACACCTATATTTTGGAGGTGACACATTAATAATATTAAATCTTCCGGTCCATGCACTTGGAGTGTCTTTTCATTCGTGTCTTCTTTCATTTTCTTTTTTAGCAATGTTTTGTCATTTTAGTATAAAAACCTTGGCCTCCTTGATTAACTGTATTTCTAAATAATTTGTTCTTTTTGATGCTATTATATTTTCTACTTTTAAATGCTTTAACAAACTTTTTAGTTTTACATTTAATCCATTTGGGATTTATTTGCATTTATGGTGAGAAGTAAGCCATTATCTTTAAAAATATTTTTCAATAGAATAGTTATCTTAGAGCTTTGCATTAAATAATATTTTCATTCCCCACAGAATTGTGATACTGTAGTCATGCTATGTAAATTCCCATTTTTACCAGGGTCTTTTTCTAGGTTACAAATGCCCTTTTACTCATTTATTGATTCCTGTGTTCCTCCTAAGAACTGGCTGTGGCCAGAGTCCAGCCCTGGGAGCGGACACACATTTGGCATTATAGATTAGAAGACTAGTTGCTATGCCACTTGACCTCTTTGTCTTGCCCTTCATTTCCAAATGTTTGCTGTTCTACTTTCCATGTTTATCGTCTGAAAAACAAATGATTGCTCCTTGTTAGGATCATTAATAAATACTAGAAAAGGCAAGTCTTTTAGCAGATTAGCCCTTCTAAGAACAGTTCTCATTTCTTTTGCCAGATATGCGTTGGTTTATTGGTGTGCCTCTTGTATCCTTGGGCTTCAGGACAGTGAAACAACCAGTCTATGTAAGTACCGGGGTGAAAGGCTTAGAAAGGGACTTCGGCTGGATTTTTCACATTTCATTCTAGTCCAGTGACTTGGTCATTTTCTTCTTTGTCAGCTGGTTGCCTCTCAATTTACCTAAGGATACATGACTTCCTAGTGTCTTCACTTGTTCATTCATTTCAGAAAGCTTCATTGGACCCTTAATGTGTCCAGAAAACTGTATGTGTCACTGGGAATATAGAGAGAGTAACTAGATAGACACAAATTGCTATCCTCAAATAGCCCTCAGTCATAGGCAAGTCAATAAGCAATTATGCAGTGTGATAAGTGCTATGATAGGAAGAAGGTTTTATGCCATTACATTGAATGGAACCCTAATACTGACTTTGACTTCTCAGCAGAAGTGGTGTGTGAGACTAACAAACAGTAAGTCAGCTTACTCCCAAGGGAGTTGGGCCCAGAGGTGAAGGAGCATGTTGAATTCCAGGGAGTGGTGACACCGACCAGATGATTCTTTGTTTGGGGCTGTTGCAGGATGTGTAGCAGCATTCTTATCTTTTAGCCACTAAAAAGATGCCAGTAGCACCAGCTCTTCGCTGGGGCAACTAACAATGTTAGGTGTTCCCTAGAAGCCACAGCGAGTCCTGATTGAGAACCATGGGTCCAAACTGTATGAAGTTGCTATTTTTGAAATTCAAAATGGTAGAATATCAGCAATTCCATGTGGTAGTTTGTGGTGGCTTAATAACATAGTTGGGAGGAGCTGTAGGCAAAGGCCAGTCAGCAGACCTTGAGCCGTCAGAAGATAAATGCTTCCAGCTAGAGAAAATTTTAGATCATCCTTGAGTATGGGGATCATTTGAGCTCATGACAGGTAGGTTCTTTAAGAAGCTTTCTGAAGAGCCCAGCATGGTGGTACATGCTTATAATCCCAGTGCTCTGGAGACTGATGTAGGAAGAGCCTCAATTCCAAAACAAACAAAGGAACAAACAAAAAAGAAGCTTTTTGAAGATAGTAACATTATTTTAACTGTCTCATTTTTATTCTGATTGATGGCACTTACTCTCCTTTCTCCCTTTTGTCCTCCCTCCTTCCCTCCTCCCTTTCCTTTCTTCCTATCTCCATCTCCTTTTAACAATTGTCTAAATATGTTATAATTTGTATAGGTTGCAGATGTATCCAAAGGAATTATTAATGCAATTAAAGATCCAGATGCCAAAGGAAAAACCTTTGCCTTTGCTGGGTGAGTGCCTATAATTTGACTTTAATGAAAGAGTAACAATGACTTGTAGCAATGATTTCTAAACAAGTCACTAACAAATGTATTTGTTATATTTTTATTAGAATCTCCAGAGTGCTTATATTCAGAGCTTGAGGAACCTAGGAATGTGCTTTTTTGTTTTGTTTTAGTGGCAGTACCAGGGTTTGAACTCAGGGTCTCACACTTTCTAGGCAGGCACTCTCCCACTTGAGCTACTCCATCAGTGTTGGAATGTACTTTAATGTAAATGATTTTTCTGTCACCAGGCTGAGACCACTGCCTTAGACCCTTACACAGACAGTCAGCCCTCTGTATCTGTGGCTTCTTTACCTGTGGATTCAACCGTCCTCCAGATTAAAAATATTTGGGGAAAGATTGTGTCCGTGCTAAATGTTTACCATTTTCCCTTGTCATTATTCCCCTGAATAGTACATGTAACTGCTGTTTACACTGTACTAGATATTACAGGTAATCTAGAGATGATTTAAAGTACACAGGGGGATATATATAGGTTATATGCAAATGCTAATATTCTATTTAAGAGACTTGAACATTCATGATTTTTGGTGTCCACTGGGGGTGAGGGTGTCATGGAACTCATCCGCCATGAATACTGAGGAACAGCAGTACTTTGATCAGTGGTCCTTAAAATTGGTTTTGCCACTGCTCCAGTGATGTAAAAAGATGTTGCTATAAATCCTAAAACATAAATGAAGCACTTTTAGGCAATGAATATAGTTGTAAAATTAAATTAATTTTCATAAAGTGTCACAGTGCCCCAAAGTTTGGAAATGGGTAATTTAGAATATACATTTACCTATGTGTCCTCCCCTTTAAAACAGAGCATGGTTAAGCTGTATCACTTATCTGAACTTGCTAAGTCACATTGAACAAGCTAAAAGTTAAAAACTAAGACAATCTACCAATTTGAGAAGTAACAAACTCACCTAATAATAAGTGGTCTAGAACCTCCCATTCTGTGAAGCAAAACAGTGATATTCAATATTTTATGCAAGGTGAGGATCTTATTCAACAATTAAGTGATAGCCCAGTTTCTAAGAAATACTTGTTTTTAGAGAAAATAACTTTCTAAGCCAGGAGTGTGTGTGTGTGTGTGTGTGTGTGTGTGTGTGTGTGTGTGTGTGTGTGATACTTTATGTTTTATTATTATTTAGTTTAATAAAAACCTTTTCCTGTACATATATTGTATTTCCTTGTTACCTAGCTGCTGCAAGTATATGTTTTTTTAGTTTCCTGTTTGGTTCATTACAAGGAATCAGCTATATGCTCTAGTCACAGAAAAGTGTATTTCAGCAGGTTGTGTAGAACGCTATAGACATCAGGCTTCCTTGGAGACGCACTTAAACTAGGATTCTGAGGACAAATGAACAGAAATGGTTTAATGAACTTCCTTTGCTTACTGTTCAGTGGAAATGGCACTGGATTAAGTCTTTGCCCAGCAGCTGTAGACTCTTCGAACCTCCACTAATTCATTCTTGTTTGGTAGTACAATAGGAAAAATAATACTAAATCTGTCAGTTCAGGCATTTTCCTTATAGATATGCGTCTGTGTTTTGTGGGTTTTTTTCCCCTCTTTAGCCTCAGGAAAAGAACTTCGATTATTTCTCGGGTAGTTTGAAGGTAAGGCAGTCATTAGGCATTAATTTTGTTCCTAGAGGTTTTTTTGTTTTTTTGGTTTTTTTTGTAGTATTATATTTTGTTTTATTCTGTCATTCGTTCATTAAATACCTAACAGCACAGATACACACCTCACAACCATGAGAGTAAAACAAGCTCAGCAAAATCACAAGGTACAAGATCAGCACAGAAAAATCATCTTCTGTGTACTGGCAAATGAACAATCTCCAAGTAAAATTCAGAAAATCTTCATGACAGCATCAAAAAGAATAGGATTCTGAGGTGTAGCTTAAGAAGAGGTGCATAAGAGCTGTATGCTGAAAATTATGAAATGTTGCTGAAGGAAATTAAGGAATACTTTAATTCCAAATCCACATTCATGGATTGTTAAAATATTGGTAAAAATTGTTGAAATGACAGTTTTGCCTAAACCAATCTGTAGACTCAGCTCAATGCTATCAGAAGTCCAGCAGACTCTTGCCGAAACTGACAAATTGATTCTAAATTTTAAGTAGTAATGCAACAGACCCACAGTAGCCCAAACCGTTAAGCTTCCCACTTTCAAAGCTTACTTTAAAGCTATAATTGTCAATACATGGTGGCATTAAGATAAGAATAGATATAGTGAGCTAGGAACCTAAATTGATAGTCCTGAAACAAATCTTTGTGTTTATGGATAGTTGATTATTGACAAAGCACTTGAATGGAGAGAGGATAGTATTTTCAACAAAAGATTCTTAGATATTCACATGAGAAAGATAGACTCAGTCTCTTACTTCATACTGTGTGTGAAAAAATTTACTCAAAATATGAGTTAAAAATTATTAAAATTTTTGAAAAAAGTAGAAAATGTTCTAGACCTTGTACAGGGTGATGATTTTTTTAAGCTATGGCATCAAAAGCATAAACAATAAAAGAAAAAAAGCCAATAAATTAGACTTCATCAAAATTTAAAGCATTTGTGTTTCAGAAAATGAAACGAAGCCTGGTGAGGTGATGATGCCTATAATCCCAGCTACTTGGGAAGTGGTGATAGGAAGGTCATGGTTCGAGGCCAGCCAGGCAAAGTTAACACAAGACCGTATCTGAAAAATTAAAACAAAAGCCCTGGGGTCTTGACTCAAGAGATACAGCACTTGCCTAGCAAGAGTGAGGCTCTGAGGTGAGTCCCCAGCACTGAAAAACTAAAGAAGGAAGGAAGAGTGGGAGGAAGGAAAGAAAAGAGAAAAAAAAACACAGACTAGAAGAAAATAATTATTAATTATATATCTGATAAAGGACTAGTATCCAAAATATACAAAGAACTGTTAGAATTCAATAAGAACAGAAATGCCCAATTTAAAAAACGATCCAAGGATTTGAATGGACATTTCACCAAGGTCTAAAAAGCACACAAAAAAGATGCTCAGTGTTGTTAGTTACTAGGTAAAATGTAAATCAAAAGTACAATAAGATATCACAGCACAGTCAGATCTAGCAAATGATAATGAAGATGTAGAGAAATAGGAGCCTCAGACATTGCTGGTGGGTCTATACAATTGTACAGCTACTTCAGCGAACATCTACAAAAGTTAAACATAAATTAACTGTGTGACCCAGTAACTCCACTTCTAGGTATTTATCACAGAGATGTGAAAACATGTCTGTGTAAAAGCTTGCACATGCATTTTCATAAGCAGATTATCATAATAGCTAAAAATTGGAAACATCTCAAATACCCATCCACAGATGAATAGAGAACTCAAACATGGTGTATCTCTATAGTAGAATACTATTCAAGTATAAAAAGGAATGAAATACTAACATGTAACATGCATGGACCTCAAAAATATGGTAGATGAAAGAAGCTAGACACATGATACCCATGAACTATCCATAAAAAGACAGATAATCTGTAGAGACAGAGGTAGCTATGTTGTTGCTTGAGGCTGGGGTAAAAACTGGGTGCTGTTGTAAATGGCAGGAGGGAATCTTACTAGGTGGGTAAGGAAAGACATTCCAAAGCTGGGTTATGGTAGATTTGCACAGTTACTGAGATTGTGCATCTTTGTGAATTTATGAAAAATCACCAAGTTACATATTTATCACAGGTGGATTTTCTATAGTACATAAGTTACATAAGGATAATGAGTAGCCTGGACAAAGTTCTGCTTTTGTGGCACTTTACGATTAGTTGTGAGACATTTAAATATGAAAGTCAAGTGAAATAGAAAACCAGGAGGAAGGAGTGGCAATGACATTGGATGCTGCCCTGAGGTCGAGTGAATGGCAGCAAGGTGATTAATGGACACTTTAATGACCTTCATGACTTCACTGGATCATTGTGGCAAAAGACCAGTTGGACTAAGGAGAGAGAGATCCATGGTAGGACAGGAAATAGGAGAAGGTTTGTTGTGAAAGTGGGCAGAAGAAAGTGATTGAGAGATGGTGATGGAAGAAGAGGGATGACCAGGAAGGTCCCACTATGGTTTAGAAAAGTTGTTAAGAATGATCCAGAGGAGATAGGGGAGAAAAAGGACCTGAGGCCTTTAGGAATCAAGAGAAGTTGGCTACAGAGTGCAAGTGAGGGGCTTGGCCATCTTAGAAAGCAATCGTTCCTTTCATTTTAACAGGAAAAAGAAGTCAGGGATATATGCAGATGTAGGTAGGTCTGGTTTGGGGATTTAGGGGAGTATCTTTGCTGGAATGAGATCATCAGCTGAAAGGCAGGATGGGCTGCCTCAGAAAAGTATATGGAAGAGCTGAGGACAGAAGATAGAGCATAGAAAAGACATGGTAGAATTGCTATGCAGACCTGAGAGTTCCATTTGAAATCACTGATCAAAGATAGAAGGCAAAGCCAGCTAATTCAGGTTTATTTTCTCTCCTTTGTGTTGTTGGGATTCAAGCCTAGAAAAGGCAGAGATTTAGCCTAACCAGAATAAGGATTCTGCTGGGCAAAAATACTAGAAATGAGTGTGGTAGACAGGTTTGCTGAGAATGTTTGCGGAGGACTGTGACAGTGACATGAAATCTAACCTGGAAAGACGTAGGCTTCAGTGTACCTGTTCTGAGAGCAAGGACATTTAAACGAGTCTTCTAGTCACACATAATGGGATGCAGAGTGCTTCACGACAGCTGGTTATGTCTAGCTAGTTTCCCCACGGTAACAGTTTGCTTGCATCATAAAAATTAGAAGTTGTTCTTAGCTTAGCATGTATTATATGTCCTGCAGTGAAACTTGCAACTCTTTCTGGAATTTGAAGGAAACTATTTAAGGGCTTGTATGGTATTTCTTTTAGCTGATAACATTCATGAGTTTGTTTGTGGTTTTTTTTGTCTGTTTTGTAAATATGTTGAATGATGAGGTTCTCACTGAATTGATCTTCATTAAGTTCTCAACTATAGATTTCCTGAGGCAAAAAGGATTAGGAAAATGGGGGAGGCCATATTAAAATAAGTGATAGTAATTATTAAAGCTGGATTTTACCATTACAAAATGATTCAACTTAATAGCATTGAACAGAAAGTCTGGAAACAGCCACAAATATGTGTAAGAATATAGTATGTGCTAAGGGTCACATTTCACTGATTCAGTAAATGGTATTAAAGCAATTGGCTCCCATCTTGGAGAAATTGAATTAGATCTTTACCTTATGTCATGCACAAAAGTACACAGGAAGGGATTATTTTATGGTTTTTAAAAAGAAACTTAGAAGCATTAGACAAAATATGTGGAAATTATGTCACTGTAAAAGAATTTTTAAAATATGAAACTAGGTGACAGAATACCTGAGAGAAAAAATTTAAAAAGAGAAGAGATTTATTCTGGCTCATTGTTTCTGAGGTTTCAGTCCATGGCCAACTGGCTCTGTTATTTTAGGTCTGTGGCAAGGCAGAAGCATGGTAGAGAAAAGCTGCTCAACTGGTAGCAGCCGGGGAAGTGGGGGGAAAGAGACAGAGAAAATGAGTGTGTCTGCTCGTGTGTCTAGGGAAAAAACCCTTCAAGGGCATGCTGCTGGTGACCTACTTTCTCTGACCTGTATCCTAATGTTTCACCACCTCCTAGTTACACCACCAGCTCTGGGCCAAGTGTTCAACATATGAGCCTTTGTGGGCTGCTCCAGATCCAAACTATCACAGAAAGAAAATCATAAAGGGAAATAAATCAATAATTTTGATTAAATAAAATGTTTACGCTTTAATGTGATACAAAACACCAAAACAGGATTAAAAGGCAAAATATATAAATAAAAACCTGATTCCAATTCTACTCCTAAAATATGAAAGAGTCTTACAGATCATTGTTAAGAACACAAACTAGGAGAACAGATAAATGTATAAGTGACTGAAAGTATATAAGGAAAAATTAATCTTGCATATTAAATTGCTAATTAAAATACTGAAGTACCTTTTTTACCTAGCAGATTGATACATTTTATTTATTTTCATGATTGAACTGATTTTTGGTGAGGTGCATTCTTTTAGTATTTTATATAAACCGATATAACTGTTTTGTAAAGCAGTTACTTTGACCCAGTTCCACTTATATAAATACATTCTAGACACATGATCATAGGTAAGTATACATATTTATTACAGGAATGTTCATTGAAACACTGTATAAAAGATATATTTTATTAGCCTAAGTATCTCCCCAAGTGGCAGTTTATAAAATAATTCTGTTACATCATTTGATTATAATAATTTATGATTATAAATTGTGCAATTGAATATTTAATGACATAGGAAGATGATTGTGATGTAATGTTAAATGAAAAAGACATAACAGACTAGGATGTATTGGAAAATCTTATATTTATGAAGGAAATATTTGTATGTAAAGGGATGAAAAGTACATATATAAAATAAATTAACTTTAGGGAGCAGTGGGATATGGGTGATTTTTCTTTGTGTTAATCTATGTTTGCTACTGTGTATACGTTTCCTTTTCATTAAGAAAAATCTTATTTTGTTGAATGTAAAATTTGTGAGGAGCAAACACTTTGAAGAGCTTTGTTTCTCGTTTCCTAGGCCCAGTCGGTACCACCTCTTTGATCTGGTTCAGTACATCTTTGGTGTGATTCACAGACCATTCTTGCCATACCCCTTGCCACACTTTGCCTATCGGTAAGTACAGTGCTTTGTGCACCCACTGAAATCAAGCTATCTCCACACACTTGTTCCCATGCTCTCCCTGGGGTAACGGGATCTATTTATGTCCTTTACATTGAAGGCTAACCTATGTACTTCTAACAAGGGTTAACCCTGATTTGGCTTGGCAAGAGCCAGTGGTGTCTGAGAAAGCAAAATGCAGATTAGTGCGTGTGAGATGAACAATATGTGTTGGGAAGTTCTTTAGATTCTCCAATTAAAAATTCCTAGGTTCTGACCTGGAGAAGTGTCCTGCTTGGAGATTGTGTAAGGGAACAATAGATTTCTCTGTTTCCTACCACTCACTCACAAGGAGAAAGCTTTTTCATGAAAGCAGTCTGGTCCTGTAGTTGGTGAAAGGAGCCAGCTGATTTACACTTGCCCTGTGTTGCCTTCTTTCCCTGCTTCTTGGTTCATATCTTCCCTTTTTGGGTTTAAAATCTTGGATCCATCATGTCATGCCCTAGTGGTCTGGTGAGGGAGATTTTCCTGTCCAGTTTGCCAGAGATAGAGTTATAAACCAACATAGAAGTGACATGTAGTTCAAGATACATGTAAGGCTCTGGGTTTAATCCCCACCCCCACCCCCCAAGGAAAAAAAGAAAGAAAATAGACAATTAGAATGCAGCGTGATGACAGTATTTATTAAGAATGTTCTCTTTTCTAGACTATTTTCTTCAAATCACGTAATACTCAACTCTACAAAGTAGGTAGGGAAAGCATATGGAGGGAGTGAAAGAGGAGGCACAGAAGCCTGAAGATTGCCATCAGAGAGTGAGAAACTTACCAAGCAGGCTAAAGAGAGGGATCAGACAGTTAAGTGGCAGCCTAGATACCACAGGGAAGGGAGGTTTTAAGGAGAACAGAGTTTTAAGAAGGGACCATTACTGTTTCGTTCATCTGTATTGCCAGCACCTAGACCAAGCCTGTGTGCAAAAGGCACCCTGTTAATGTTTGTGAACTGACATGCATGCTGCAGAAGAGTCAAACAAGATAAAGGAACAAAAGATCCCACAAATGAGTGATGAGGTCATTTGGGGCAGCAGCTTGAGTGCCATGGAGGGACTGTAACCAGATCACAGTGAAGGCTTTCATGTTATGCATAAAATTGGGAGTTAAGAATGGTGTTGGCCCATGCAGGTAGTATGGCCCACTGAGGACAGAGGTGGCCCATTAGTGTGGAGCCCAAGTGTAGGGAGTTGGAGGGCATTTTCATTTTATTTATCGTAGCTCAGTAAGTTATTTTTCTGCATAGGTTGGCTAGAATCTGAGATTTTATATGTTGCTAGAGAATCTGACTAGTCTTTGGCTTCTTTTTTCATTTTTTTATTCCATTCCTTGGAATGGTGTTTTTCAAGCTTTTAAAAAGCTGTGGGTACTTGTGTTTGAGGAAGTTTTATGGAAAGACCCACTGGTAAATGAAACAAAAGGCAGAGCTGATGTGTTTGTAGCATGGGTTTGTGCTCAGAACACATTTTCCCTCCCCTGGGCCACCAGGCTGCTGGGGGGGAGATGGGAGACAGGAAATTCCTAATGTTCCCCAGATGCTGGTTGAACCCTATTATCCTGAGGATGCTCACAGCAGGGCTCTAATGCCCTTTAGAGAAAACCTGCAGTTTCCACTAGCACAGGAGAGGCACAGTGATTGGATTCTCCTTACTTTTGGAAGTTTTTGTCTCCAGAGGCCCTGCATTTAGAGGTTACATTACTTATTCCATATAACACTCAGCTGGGCCTGCATCCTAAAGCAACAGTGTGTTTGAGTTTCTCAGCCTTAGGTTATGTTGTTCTTCACAGCCTTGATTGAGCAGTGAATCGTTTCTGTTTGCTATGTTGTTTGTTGCTAAGATTTCATTTTAGTCTTTAAGAGCTGTTGTGTCTTTGTAATAGAACGAGTAGCTCCCAGTTCCAGCAGTCAGTGGGTTGTCCTGCAAGGAAACAGAGTTTCAGAAACAGATATTGCCTCATAGGTAGTGGAGCCAGTAAGTGGTTATTTTCTTAAAAAAAAAAATAAATAAAGATAAGACTAGAATCCTGCCTTTACAGTAGCCTCTCTTCCTACGGGTCTTGCAGCCTGGCCTAACCACTGAGCATAGAGATGCTTACCACATGTGCTGTATATATTCCTTTTTTCAGATTGATAGCAAGAATGTTTGAGATAAATCCATTTGAGCCCTGGACAACAAGGGATAAAGTGGATCGGGTGAGTCTGGGTGTGGAAACATCTGTCTGGGGAGATGCTGGACAGAGAGCCGCAGCAATGGACAAATTACTTAGTCTTTGTGCTTGCTTGGATCATTGCTGTGCTCCTGTGTGTTTGCTTTTCCTTCTGACTAAGGCTAGACCCTCTGAAACTCACTCATGCTGCTCCATTATTTACTCTATGACAATATCAGGTTTGTTTTTTTTTAATCTCTGCTGGGTCATTCCCATAAGCATACAAATGTGTCCAACATTCTGCTCACTCCCTTACTACAGGCCAGACTCTTTCTTCCTTCATATCCCTCTAGCCACTTTCCTATTTGTCTGTATCCCTTAACATCTTAACCTCAAAAGTGCTATCTGGCTGGGTGTAGTGGCACATGTCTATACCTCCAGCACTCAGGAGTCTGAGGCAGGAGTATAGAGAATTTGAGGTCAACAAAACAAAAACAGAAAAGCTATCTGGACCTGCTGTTAACAGCTGCCTACCACAGTCTTTCTTAGGCCACCTTTATTCAGGTTTTCTTCCTTTCTCTGCTCTGAAACTTCTCTTTCCAAGGTCATCCATGATCTCCATGCTGCCACATCCAACAGACAGTTCTCTGTCCTCACCTCTGTGTCTGAGCAGCTCATCAGAGGTCCTCTCTCCTCTTTGAAACATTGTCTTTCCACCTGCATTCTGGTCCATGCATGTTCTTACGCTTTTCCTCATCATACTGGGCTATGCTTGGAAGCTTCTTCTGCCTAGCCCTGTCTTCCTGATTGCTGTACGATGTGGGGCCGGCAGGCTAATTCAGCCTTTCTCTTTTCTATTTTCACTCATTTTCTAGATGATGTTCACCTTGTCCCAGGTTCCAGCTACTGACTGAAGATCATGCTACATTTTTTCCTCAGCCTTGTGTTGCCCCCTGAGTTATAGAGTCCTTTGTCTAACTATTTGTATATGTTTTGGGTTTGTGAAATGTGACATGCCCATCAGTAGAACTACAAACTATTTCTCTCCGAGGCTCTCTCATCTCAATGAGAGGCCTGTTCTCTGATGCTCACCCCAAAGTTCTAGTCACTCCCTTAGTTTTTTTCCTTTCCCAATGCAGATCTAAGCCAGCACTATTCAACAGGACGTCCTGCAGTGATGGGGATGTTGTCTGTACTATTAGGTAGCCACTAGTATTATGTGACTGGTGTGCACTTGATAGGTGCACATGGTAGCTAGTGTTACTGCAGACATCGAATTTGAATTTTGGTTAATTTTAGTTAATTTAAGCTTAAATGTAAATTACTACATTTGACTAGTGGCTTCTGTGTTGAATAACACAGACCTAGACCATTAGCAACCCTTAAATAGATGTCAGGTCTCACCACTCCTCCCTATTCCCACTTTGTTTACCTTTTTAATTATGAAAATGCTTACACTAATATGAAAAGTTTTCAGCTCACAGAAGGGCACAGTGCAGCATTGTCTCTCTGTTACTCCACAGTGTGTTGAACTCCAAAGCCCTGACCCTTCCCTTGTCACCATCTGCCACGCTCATTTAACTCATCAATCGTTTGCTTATCACGTGTACAAGTGCTTCTAGGGAGGATGCCAAATAAAATAGAAGTGCTATACAGTCTCTATCCATAAAGTGCTGTGGACTTTATGTTGCTAAAAAGCAGCCAATTGTCCCCTGAATGTTACCCAAGAGCTGAAGTGTAGAGAAGACGAGAAAATAGTCTTTAGAGAACAGAAAGGAGCAGGCAGTAAAACACTTCCTCTGACAGGCTATGTCTGGAAAGCTGACACCATTTCTGTGGTGTCGCCTCTGTGCTCCCAAAACATCAAGCAGGAGATCTGCCTGATACCTGACCCTAAACTAGTCTGCTTTGATGTTGGTGACCGAGAAGCATTGGCACAGTGGGCACAAGAGGTTTGGGGTTTGGTTTGGAGACTTCCTTATAGCATTTGGGAAAAGAGCTGCAGGCTCTGGGGGCAGAGGAGGAGGGATTTAGTGCTGCCCTCCAGACATAGATTGGGTTTGTGTCAGAGTCGGGGATGAGTTGGGATCTTAGGTTCATTCTTCCTGAAATGAGATGAGTGTGGCTGTTAGCTCTGTGGTGAGCATTGACCAACCAGACTGAGTGTAACGAACAAAAAAGGTTAGTGAGTTGTCTCTTAATGGGCAAGGAACAAGTGCTACATTTCTCCTTCATTCAAAAGTTAAAACTGGGGCAGAAGGCCTGAGCTCAGAGGCCTAGCACAAGAGGAAACTGGGGAATCGACTCACCCTGCCTTGGCCTGTTTCGTTCCTTGGCCACAGTGACTCATGCTTTCCTGCACTAGGTGCAATTTTGCCAACATTATATGTAGACCAGCTCATCTAGGGCATTGTCCCACACTGCTGGATAGTGCTGGGACCCTGATCTGATATTTGGTGAACTTCATTTTTTTCTTACTTTTTTTTTTTTGGAGATAGGGTTTCTCCATGGAAACCCACCCTGGAACTCTCCACCCTCCTGCCTCAGTCTCCTGAGTGCTGGGATTATAGGCATGTGCACTCCATGCACCTACTTTTTTTTCTTAGCCTTCTTTCTGTGTTCTACTTTAGTGAGCTCGAATAATCAAAAGTTGCCATGTGTTCTTTGAAAGTACTTAAATCTAAGTGATATAACTAGGATCAACTTAAGTGTTTGTTTGCTAGAGTGGTACTTTGTGCTCTTGGCCAATTTTCAGCATTCTGTTTGATCCTTTGTTCAAAGATTCACATCACAGACAAGATACTGCCTGACCTGCCTAGCCTGGAAGACCTTGGTGTTCAGGCCACACCACTGGAACTCAAGGCCATCGAGGTGCTGCGGCGTCACCGCACCTACCGCTGGCTGTCTTCTGAAATTGAGACTACGAAGCCCGCCAAGACTGTCAGCTATTAGTTTCTCCAAGTAGCCTTAGTTTTTGGTGTTATTTAGGTCACCTGGCTAGCCTGTGTTCTGAGGGAAACCTGTACATAGGGATAAGATCCCACTATTAAAACATCTGAAGTTAAATGCTGTAGCATTTCCTTTTTTGGTTTACAAAATGAGAAATCCCAGCCATTTTAGAACTGGAGCGTAACTTTCTTTAAATAGATGTAATTAATAATGACAGGTATATCATCTCTTCTTTGAAATGTTGGAGGGTTTGAAGTCTCTAACAAACTACTTCTAGCATGTGTTCTAAAAGATAAGGCCCCTTCAATGTCAAAATACTGTGATGATCTCAGATGATAGGTGATTATCTTTCAGTTGCCAACTTCAATGGAGACTAAAAATTAAAAATACAGTGTCTCATGACTAATCTGAATTTATTCACACTGACAGTATTTTTAAATTTTATTTTTTTGCCGTACTGGGGTTTGAACTCAGGGCCTCACCCTGGCTAGGCAGGCATTCTACCGCTTGAGCCACTCCACCAGCCCTTTTTTATGTTGGGTATTTTCGACATAGGGTCTCGTGAACTATTTGGGCTGGTTTTGAACCATGATGCTCCTGATCTCTGCCTCCCAAGCATCTAGGATTACAGGCATGAGCCACTAGCGCCCAGCTTGTTAAATTTTATTTTAAACGTGTCTAAACCATTTAGAAAACAGTGGTACATATATTTAAAAATATTGTCTATAGGCATGAATTCTCAAGCCATGTCATCTTGGTTCTGAGTGCTCTGTGTTAGGACTACTTCTAGATTATTTATTTTACTTGGGTAAAATAAATCCTTTCCCATAAAAGGAGATGCTTCAGCTTCTGTAGTGATAAGGAATGAGAACTTTTTGTTCATGTTGTTAATATTGCAGCTCAGATCCAGTTGAACAATTGGTTTAGTGTTGGCAAATCCCTCAGTACAGTACAATTAAAAACTCCTATAAGTTGCAGTGAAGCCACCATCTCACCATCTTAGGGAACCCAAGTTTGGTCACTGTGCTTGGCCATCATCTGTAGGATGGAAAGGTCAGTAAAAGCCCTGTTCCAGTAACGTGCAGAGAAGGGCACATAAATGTTGGAGGCGAGTTGTCTACCTGCCCTCTCTGTGCGCCACAGTTCTGACCCAACGTGGGCAGTAGGGTGATCTGGATTGGCAGGCCCAGCATTACCTGGAAACTTGTTAGGAATGCAGACCCCTAGGCCTCAAGACTTGGACCTACATGCAGCCTGGTGCCCGGGGGACCTATGTGCAAGAAGCACTGCTGCCTTGAGGAGCACCGCAGAGTTCAGTGGGGTTGTTGCCACTAATCTACATGGCTGAACCCCACTCTGGTCCTACTGAATCAGAATCCTAGGTAGGAGGGCCCAGGAATTCTTTGATTAAACATACCAGTTTATTCTCATGCACACTAATATGTGAAAAATCAGCATACTAGGGAAAGGAACCCAACTCCTGATGAATGTATTTTTCTTCAGAATAGATATCTCTTGTTATTTCGGATAACACCCCTGCTGGCCATAAGCTGGTCAAGTAGGCACACAGGTGGACAATTCAGTTTGAAAAGAAACAGTAATTCTATAATATACAGTATCCTGTCTTAAAATACTTACATTTTCTAGCAATCCTATTTCATGATAATACATATTTACTGCCTCTAGAACTGTAATTCAGCCAGGATAGTTTTTCTTTCCTATCACACCTAACGCCACTTTTATAACAAATACTTTATTATGTTCCTCTTATTATCCTGATAGGAAAGTTATAGTTACTACACCCTATCTACATAAGTAATCAAATTATAATGTCATTTTATTACAACAAGTTAAAGTAATACACAATAGCATATATAGATGCATGAGCACAATGACATGGAAGGCATAATGAAGTCAACTGTACACATCATGTGGGCAGTCACCACAGCTGTCATAGTGACACACAGATAGGCCTGATGTAGCAGTTTGTGGTATTGACTACTTAAATACTGTGAGAAGCATGGCTCTTGGTAATGTCAACCTCTAAAATGATGAGTGACTTCTTGTAAAGGGCAGAGCAATGTAATCCTTCCTAGATTACACAATGCTTTGCAGTCTTAGAAAACCTGGCCTCTATTAAACACATACTGAAGGTCCTTTTTTCTCTAAAACCATTAGATTATAAATTCACATGTCCATTAGTGGGTTTTGAAAATCAAGTGATATGTGTTTTCAATTCTTCATGTTTTGGCACCATGGCAAGTCTACCATTCCCAGTTCCCATTAAAGGCTGTCAGTGCCCTTCACTTGTGACAACCAATATTGCACTGCCAGATTTCCAAGGTGCCTTCTGGGGATTAAGCCACTTTTGATAGCTAGGGCTGTGATCCATGTCATGGAAATCTTTGGAAAACATTTTGCTGTAATCTTGAGGTTGGGGTGGGGCTAGGCAGGGTAACCATGCTTTGTTTTGTTTTTTGTTGTGGTGGAACTGGGGTTTGATACCAGAGCCTTGTGCTTGTCAGGCACGCACTCTACCACTTGAGCCATGCCCCACTTACAGCCTCTGAATAGCTGTGATGACAGGCGCATAGCACCATGCTGGGCGATAACCTAATGGTTTCATTCAAAAGTCTGAAGCCATTTATCTGAAGTAACCTATCTCCCTCACCTATCTGCTGATTGTCCAGGTGTGGAACATTCTCCGTTGGCCTTGCTGCCCTCCAGCACACCAACATTCCAGCCTTTGCACTTCTGATTCTCCTTCAGGACACTCATAAGTCAAGTACATATTTGAGGTTCACAATGCAAAAAGCTACCATGGCTTCTCTATATCTGGATGCTAACTTCAAACAGGTAAATTAGAAATCTAGACTTGCTACTGAGAATTTGCCATAAGATGACATCAAAACTATATATAAGTGGTAGTTTTGCTTGATTTCACTTCCAGGCCAGTCACTGTTAATACTGTTCCTTTGGGCTAGCCTTCCTTGCTTACCTTGCCATAAAAAGCTCTCCTTCATTTTCCTTCGTTTCTGCCTTGGTCTGGGTTATGAAGCATTATACCCTCAACTCCAAATCAAAATGCTGCAGCAGTCAAATGACTGTGAGGGAAATTTTCCCTTGGGCTCCACCAAGTACAAAGAAACCAGGTAGCAATTCTCCTAATCCTTTGAAATGAAGCCAACCTGCCTTCTCCATCCCTGTTTCCTTCCTTCCCCAATCTTTACAATTTCTGTCTTTTAAGGAAGACTCAGCTTTTTTACTTTTCTCAAATACTCCAGGAATCTCCACCTGGATCCTATATCCCATCTGAATCCTGACGGGGGGGTCACTTGTCTGTGTAAAACAATTCACATCCATGTCTGTAGCACTGCATATTGTCATCTCGGCTCAAATACATCACCAGTCCCACCATTAAAAGAGCTTTACCTGCAAATGTGGTGGTGTTACCAGTCTTTGTCTCCAAGGTAAGGGTTTTTCCTCAAAACCGGTACCAATAACAAGACCAAATACCAACTGAGTAGTAAAGGAGACTTATTCTCATCCAGCAATAGGAAAAGAGGGGGATAAGCTCAGATTTCAACTTCTCAACCTTGGGAGTTGGGAGGTTATGGATATAGAGTAAAAGAAATGGGGGGGGGGTGGAGATGGTCCAAGAAAGGAGGGTGTTTATTTCTGGGGATGTTTTCTGGGAATGGGTGGGGGCTTTTCCAAGGATTTGGGTTCTGCCGATTTTTCCATCCTTTTTAGTTGTTACCGTGGCTGTTGTCAACTGTTATGGCACTGGAGAGTGTGTCATTTGGCATGCAGGTGGAATTACAATGAAGTTAGAGTTTACCTGGAGGTTGCTCTGTCAGCCATCTTAGATCCAACCAGTTTTCATTAGGCTAACTGCAGAGGATCTTCTGTCCTTCAGGTGTCCTGTCATTAAACATAAAAAAGATTAGGTTGGGGTAGAAATTCAGCTAGGTCACCTAGTCAGTACTGTGGGTAGCAAATCCCCCCCTTATTTTCACTCCTCATTCTTGAGGGTTGCTAAATTGTGTATGTCTGGCTTATGTAACTTCTTCAAGTTCAATTTGGGTATCATTAAGGTGCACATTAGAGGAGTGAAAAGCATTTAAGAAAAAAAATTTTTTTCAGAACTAGGGTTCTAACTCAGGGCCTCACTCTGCTTAGGCAGGCACTCTGATACTTAAGCCACGTTCCCAGCCCTTTTTTGCTTTAGTTATTTTTCAGGTAGGGTCTCATGTTTTTGCCCAGACAGCCTCAGATCATGATCCTCCTACCTATAGCCTCCATATAATTGGGATCACAGACATGAGCAACTGCACTTGGGCAAGGAAATGTTTCCTTAAATACATTTGGTTCTTGTCTGGTCAAGGCCTGGCTGTTTATATCCCTGAGCAGCTATGAGCTCTCAATAGGGCATTTTGGGTGTCCATCATTGTTTCTGGGCAATATTATTTTTTAAATAACCCAGATAGTTAATCCTAAAGTAAGAAAATCCATTATAAATCATAGAGCAGAGCACAGAAAGGACCCCAGCCTGACTGGAAGCCCAATGAAGATATCTATGCTCCTGTGTGACCATTAGGTAATTAAACACTACAGGCATTTTGTTATAACTTCTGATACAGGGCTCAGTTCCTGGGATCTATCTAGCCTTTACCCCTGGTCCTTGTTAGGATGGTCCAAAGTAGGGTGAAACTATACCAATTAAAAATTCTGTCCAAAAGGATGCACAAAAAAAACCCCCAAAACAAAAAACAATCCAATACTGCCGAGAAAAGAAAAGAAACAGAAAAAAGAAAACAGCTGCCTCCCTCCTGTTGGAATTGATAACCCTCCGGTGCCAAAAATAGACACACATTGACAGAAAATCTTGACAAGGTAATTTCTCTTGATCAAGAGGGTGCAAGCATGTGCTCACTCCAGCTAAGCAAACACGCAAGCACACAATGGCTGTCAGTGGCTCCTCCTTATATCCCTGACGCAGTTGTACCTGCCCCTTACCTGGGATTTGTCCAGGTCAAAGGTTCACAATCCCCCTCGATTGGCTAAAAGGCTTGGGGGATGGGTTAAGGCATGCAGTTTGGTGGGCAATGGAGTTGTACAGGAATCTGGAAGAAGAAGCAAGGGCCCTTTAAACATGCAAGTCACCTAAGATGGTGACCTGAGGAATTTTTAAGTAATCTAAGAGAGTAACAAATACTTTAATATAAAAGATCATCTTTCTTACACTCCCTTTCAGGAATGGCAACTATTTTATAAAGCCAGGGAAGAAATGTATAAACACTCGCCGGCACAGAGTTCTCTACTTAAAGAATTAACTCACATTGACTTAGCACCTCCTAGGCACTAG